AGTTTTGAAGTACAATGCTATAAATGAGTATGTCAATTCGAGGTTTAAAGACCCAAATGAGGAAATGCAGAGAATATTAGAGAAGAAACACTTCAGAAACAAACAGAAAGAGATAGAATACATTTCGAAGAAATTGCAATCTTACGATTGGAAGACATACCCTCATAGGTGTCTTCTTATCTTAGATGATTTCGCCTCTCATCCTTTGTTAAAGAATAGAGAACAAGATATGTGTCGAATTCTTAAGAAGCTCAGACACTTTAACATCTCAGTTGTCATTTGTGTACAGACAGCAAAGAGTTTAAGTAAGGATGTAAAGAGAATACTTACTGATATCATACTTTTCCCTGGATTGTCCGAAGACGATTTCATGGAACTTATGAAAGAGTCCATGGCAGGTAAGTTTGACAGACATGAACTATGGGAGAAGTACAAAGTCATACAAGACCCTCATACTTCTTTCAGAATTCATATCTACGCAAACAAAGTTCAAATTGTAAAAAGTCAAGCTTGAAAAATGTAAGTGTTTGAGTCTTAGTCTGTTGTGGTGCTGGGGCTGTCGGTTCTTCTGGCTTTGGAAGGCATTCAGGAAGAGGAACGTCGGACATTCGTTTGTGTCTTAACCGTCTTTGTTCTGAAACAATATAATATTGTCTTGAAAAAGTACAACATTGTCTTGAAAAAGTACAACATTGTCTTGAAAAAGTACAACATTGTCTTGAAAAAGTACAACATTGTTCTGAAAAAGTACAACATTGTTCTGAAAAAGTTCAAGACTTGTTCTGAAAAAGTACAGCCGTACTCAAATTTGAGAGACATTGTACTGAATTTATACAACATTGTTCTGAAAAAGTACAATATTGTACTGAATTTATACAACATTGTCTTGAAAAAGTACAACATTGTCTTGAAAAAGTACAATATTGTCTTGAAAAAGTACAACATTGTACTGAATTTATACAACATTGTCTTGAAAAAGTACAACATTGTCTTGAAAAAGTACAACATTGTTCTGAAAAAGTTCAAGACTTGTTCTGAAAAAGTACAGCCGTACTCAAATTTGAGAGACATTGTACTGAATTTATACAACATTGTACTGAATTTATACAACATTGTTCTGAAAAAGTACAATATTGTACTGAATTTATACAACATTGTCTTGAAAAAGTACAACATTGTTCTGAAAAAGTTCAAGACTTGTTCTGAAAAAGTACAGCCGTACTCAAATTTGAGAGACATTGTACTGAATTTATACAACATTGTACTGAATTTATACAACATTGTTCTGAAAAAGTACAATATTGTACTGAATTTATACAACATTGTTCTGAAAAAGTACAATATTGTACTGAATTTATACAACATTGTACTGAATTTATACAACATTGTTCTGAAAAAGTACAATATTGTACTGAATTTATACAACATTGTCTTGAAAAAGTACAACATTGTCTTGAAAAAGTACAAGTATTGTTCTGAAGCAGTGCAATGACCGACATAGACCCAGAAGGATTTGACAAGACAATTTACCATCTAGAGCTACCTGAGCCATCTTTGGTGTCAAGCTTGAAAAATAAATGGTTCATTTACTCTTCCTCTTTGAAGTTATCGAAATACTCTGTTATCTTTTCTTTCAGTAGCGGCAAATCTTCTTTGAATGTAAGTATTGTACAACCTTTCATATCATAGTGTGTTTGAGGTAACGTATCTTGAACTATCTGTTTAACATCTTCATTTGGTGTCATTGAAATCGGTAAGTTTTCGCGATAGAACCAATTTCTGTCAGATTTGTAAATCTTAGCAAGGTCGTAAAAGCTTTTGTTGTTTCTTCTGACTAAATGCAACATAACCATATCTCTGTCTTCTTCATTTTCCATCTCTTCAGTGTAAATCATATACTTATAGTTCTTTTCCTTTCCTTTTGGTACCGAACGTGGTATTCTTTTCTGTATGTTTTTGTCTTTGGATTCAAGCTTGTTTTCCATCTCTTCACGTTCTTGTCTATGAATTTCATCTAACATCATGAAAATATAACAAGCGTAACGAGGTGAAGCCCACATTGCAACAGCATTTACAAGAAGTCTATGTACATAATATCCTCTCAAACCGTTTGGCAAATTTTCACGATTTTCGTACGGAATCTCGACCCGCGGTTTTCTACCGGTCGCAAACATATGAGGAAATTCTTCTAAAAGTTCTTTTGTCTGTTGGTTTTCAAACCAATGACGTGCTTGCTTTGTAGAACGAAGAGTATTCAAAATACTTTGCATTTGGTACATGTCATCTTTGACCGAACGAATGAGACGGAGTTGTTTGTTAAACTGAACCCACTCATATTCTTCATTTATAGCTTCATGGACTATAACTGTTGTTGTGTTCTCTGTTGTTGACATATCTGTCTTTACATACAAAATAAAAAAATAAATAAAAATAAAACTAACTTTATTTTTTCTGTCTTAAGGAAATTCATGATTTCATAGAGTTTTGGCGACCCCGAAGGAAGTCGGTCTAGAGAAATTTCACTGTTTTCATAGAGTTTTGGCGACTGGGGTTTCTTCCCTACTCGCTGTGCTTCACTGTTTTTCGTACGGAATCTCTATCCTCGGTTTTTCGAGGGTAGCAATCTTATGCCATTTTACTCAGATTTTTGTGCTGAATTCAATAAAAATATAATTTAGGGTAGATGGGTATATCTACCCTCTTTTCTACCCTCTTTTCTACCCCAGTTATTTTATAAACGTTTTACATGGTAAACGTTATTTTTACATGTATTTTTCAGCAACTTCGTCAAATAATTTTATAGCTTTAGCTATCTCATCTACTTCGAAAGTTTCTTTACCTCTCGTGGGAGCACCATACATTTTCTCAAACTTTTCAAGTAGTTCTGTTTCTGCAGCTCTCATATCATTAACAAACACAACCTTGACTCTATTGACTGTACTGTCATATCTTTGAGTTATATTATATGTTCTTCCTATCTTATATCTTTTTGTATTGAAGTCCTTCGGTTTCTGAACGATGTAAAGTAAGCCTTCACTGCAACGTTCAGTATCGAATGAACCATATGTTATGAAGTTATATCCAACAACTGGGTCAATCCAGAACAAAACTACTGGTATAAGACTTTTGTCTATAAGATATGCTGTAGTTCCATGAAATCTTACCGATATCATAAGCTCAGGATTTCTTGTCAAAATTTTCTGAGTAGAAGCAATTCTAACCCAGTCGTGGGATGTTTTCTTTTCAGATAGTGTTAAAATGTCTGACAAAGAATATTTGTTGTATTTCTTTGAGTATCTTACGTTTAAATCACCAATTCTAACCAATTTGGTGTCATTGTCTATCTTTTTAACTGTTTCAAACTCAATGTTTAACATTTCTGTTCTTACATACAAAATAAAAAAAATATTTTATAAAAAAACTAACTTTATTTTATTTTTTCTATCTTAAGGAAATTCATGAAATTTGGTCATTTTACTCAGAATTCAATAAAATATATTTTAGGCGACCAGGTCACTCGGTTAAATGAACTTCTCTGAAAAAGTGTGACAACATGACATTTTGACAACAACACAGGAAATATACTTCTTCGTAAATGTTTTGTCAAGACTTCTTCGTAATGAGCGTAAATCAGACAAAAATATATTTTAGGGTAGAAGGGTATATCTACCCCGTTTTCTACCCTCATTTCTACCCCATATGTCCTTACTGAAAAAGTATGTGTTCCATATGTCATTTTACTCAGAATTTTGTGCTGAATTCAATAAAAATATATTTTAGGGTAGAAGGGTATATCTACCCCGTTTTCTACCCTCATTTCTACCATAACTATTTACAAGCGTTTTACATGGTATATGTTGTGATGGTTCATGACTTTAAACAGTTTTGTAGCTTCTATTTCTTCACGAAGGATATCAAAAATTTTAACTATGCCGAAGGTTTCTTTATATTTCTTCTTGACATCTGAAAGAAGGAAATCGTTAGCAGTTGGATAGTTTTTGTTCAGAAATGTCAACATGTCCATTTTATCTTCTGCTGGTTTCTCTACTTCTTTCTTTAAGTCAGTATGGTCTTTTCTCATTCTTTCTATCTCTTTGACGGAGTAGTTATATTTCCTTGTTGCTGCTTTACATTTTGAACATTGTGAGTTCATTTTTGCGTTATATTCTGAAATTTGTCCTGCTAGTATGACTAAGGCGTAGATGGTTTTCTTTAACTCAAAGGTTGCTGGTTTTATCTGTTGGTTCCATACCTTACCTCTTCTATCTTTATCTCTTATCTGCAAGACACACTCAGCAACTAACGAAACAAAGTTGTCGTAGGTCTTAAATTCTTCAGATTTATATATGTCAATGACTTTGTGGTTGCAATGAAATCCAAGAAACTCATAGTTTACCTTTCGTATGAACTTCTTTATTTCTACTGAGTCAGTCAGTCTGACTTCAATTTCATCGAATTCTGGAATAGTGAGTTTTTGTTGTTGGATTTCAGGAAGTTTAGGTAGATGGTCAATAATATCCTGCATTTCATAAAGATATTCTTCATCTGTTTCATCTTTTGCAGTGCAATCTAAATCTCCTTGGAGAAGTTCTTGCTTTATCTTCTGGATTTCTGTTTCGAAAGTATATGAAGAAGGAATGAAGCTTTTCATCTCTACTAACATTGAAGTTGGGTTCATGACTAACGAGTTTGGTGCTGTTGTTGCTAACATGTTCTTACAATAAAAATAAAAAATATTTTTTGGTGGGACTACCTTTATTTTATTTCAGCACAAAATGAACGAGTTTGGTTTAAAAATACGGTGGAGCCAAAAATGGCTCGACCTCAAAACAAGCATTTTGTGAAGAATATACCAACCCGCGGAAAACGGCGGGTTGCTTTTTTTATACAAAATTCAAGAGTTTTGTGTGTTTTCTACGAGGGTAGAAAAGAGGGTAGAAAACGGGGTAGATATACCCTTCTACCCTAAAATATATTTTTGTCGAAAAAAAATGGTTCATTTACTCACAATATTTTTGTACAAAACGACCCCAAACTTTTAACTTCTTTTCTGCAGCTTCTAATGAAATTTTAGCGAGTTCATATTCTCTAAATTCTCTCTTTAAATCTTCTTGTTCCCATTGGTCTAGTTCGTATGGAGAATCTCTATAACCATAACATATCTCACGTTCATGTTCTAATTGTTTTTCGCACATTTTTCTAACTTCTTCTTCGAACAAAGGTTTTGCATTCTCTACTGTATCTTCAAGTTCTTCTTCATCTAATTTCTCATGAACTTTCTTGTCTATGGAGTCCATAATTTTTCCAACTGCTATGCAATATTTTGGAGAAGCCCACATTGCAATATAGTTTACGAGTCTTGGGTCTACATACATTCCTCTAACCTGTTTGATTTCATCAGGAATTCCTGCATGAACCTTGTATAAAAAGCAACCGTCGGAATTCCGGCGGTTGGTATATTCTTCACAAAATGCTTGTTTTGAGGTCGAGCCACTTTTGGCTCCACCGTATTTTTTCAACCAAAACTCATTTTTGTCGAATTCAGCACAAAATTCATGAAAATTCAAGAGGGTAGAAAAGAGGGTAGAAAACGGGGTAGATATACCCTTCTACCCTAAAATATATTTTTCAATACTTTTTCAGCACTTCTCCGTAGTTATATATGAAAGACAATTCGAGATAAAAGTCGTAGTACAATGGAACAATATGTTGCACACCGTTTGTTGTGAACCAAACTTGAAAGTCAGAGAAACTGTTACTAGGTGGTTCGTAGAATTTAGAAGCAAAGTCATAAAAGTCCTTACCAATACAAAGAAAACTATTGTTGCTTGAACTGAAACTTGCATGACACATGACATTTTGAGGGTCAAACACGTTTCTATAAACTGTCAAATCTGTTGGTGGGCGTATAAACCAGAACGGACCGTCAGGTGGTAATGGTTCGTTCTGGTTTAGTAACCGAAGAAATTGTGCCCAAGAACGTTTGTCTACTTGCCAAAATAAAAACTGTGTATCTCTTGGAGGGTTAATTTCAATCTTTTGAAATGAAACGGTGGAGTTCATCTTGTCATATTCTAGTTTCAGATAGTATGTTCCATTTAGTAAAGAGTCGTATTTTTCTTGAAATTCCCAATAGTATTTGTTCATTTGAGTTTGAAAGTCATTTAGAGTCTTCTCAAGACTTTCGTCTGAACGAACTGTAAAGATTCTCATTTCGTCAAATTTGTCTATTAGACCATCATGACCTCTATACCGCCCATGAAAATATACTGCGAACATAAATGCGTTAGTTCTTTTTGAAAACAAAACTCTTCTAAATCCTATTGCCTTTGCATCTGAAGGACTTTGAAGCCAACGAATTGGAAAGTCAAACCTGTAAGCACCGGATGAAATTTCTTCGTCTGATATAGTCCTACCGGCATTTGTAAAGATATAGTCTAACGGTTTTGTATCTGCTGCTTTTGTTCTTTGTTTTTCAACCTGAAACATTTAATATATGTAAAAATATACTGTTTTAAAAAATGTTTTAAAATGGTATGCCATTTCATATTTCTCATCTAACAAACAAGTTGTCTGACTGCTCGAGGGTTAGGTTGGTATCGTTCGAACTTCACGCTTACAATTCCTTCAATTGCATTCAAAATATCTGAGTCGGAGTCAACCATTTGTTCTCTCTTTGTAGTCTTGAAAGCGTCAAGAAGTTGTGCGGCTGTTGTGACATTGCCATGTGCATAGTAAATATGACCGTCCAAATCTGTTATGGTTAGTCTGAGATTGTATCCTTTCTTATTTCCGTCTTGTATGGCAGCAAGTACACCCATGAAGCCTTCTTTGTTCTTTCCTTCGTCAAAGTTTACTGTAAAGGTTCGACCAGATGTAATTTTACTTCTAACTTCACGGTACTTTTCATATGCATATCTTGTTCTTTCCATGGGAGCATGACCATCCTCTGCACTACCTTTTTTCCTTCTCAAAGGATGCAATTGTTCGTTATGTTTCCAGTAGAATCTGGCAAAGCCGTCTTGTCCTTCAACTTGCGGCTCGTTAACATTGAAAGGCAAGTTCATAAGACGTTCTTCTTCTAACCTCTCTAATCTGTTTGGATAGTTTGCGCGCGCTGTTTCTAAGTCCATTTCGTAGGTCAGACCAGACAATTTGTCATAGACTTTTATGGGTCTTCCCTTCCTATATTTAAACTTCTTCGAAACTTTCCAACCATATCTTTCTAACTCTGCTTTTATTCTAGCAGATTTTCTATCCATTCTATGCGGTGGCATTTCTATAAAAATAAAAAAATATTTTTTTCTTTACTTAACATAACCTCCCGCTACCAGAAGCCTTTGACGCCAACCCATACCAGCTAATGAAGGTTGACTAAACTTTGGTTTTGGTTTATCTTCAGTTTTTGGTTTTTCTTCTTCTATCGGTTTTTCGTCACTTTTCGGTTCCTCTGACTTTACCTCACTTGCTGGAACAGTAGTGTCGTTAACATCTTCATAAATATCATATGCCATTTGTTTTTGTTTTCCTTTCAACTTTTTGTGTTTGTTGTAAAGTTTAGAATATTTCGACTCTAAGTCAATGAGATGTTCTATAATGAACTGTTGGTCAGTGAAGAATACCTTCCCATCTGTTGTCTCGAAAGCTCCTTCAGACTTCAATATTTTATTTGTGAGAGTCTGTTTCTTTTTTGAGATACTAGCCGTTCCATTTCTATGAAAAGTGACTTTATAGTTAGGGTTTGTATTTCCAGACCTGGCACTTTCTATTATTGAATTTTTCTCTTCATCTGTAAGTTCTTTGACAGGTTTTGACAATGGTTCTGAACTTTTTGTTTGTGGTGTCAAATCTACCGTTTCAACTTCTTCCGTCATTTCATCTCAGTAAAAAATTTTAGTTTGGTTTGTTTTCAACTGGTTGTTGTTGTTTTTTAAGTCGGTCTAAAACTTCCTGAGGTATAGGAAGAACTTGACAAACACGTGGTTGTGTAACTGCTGGAAGTCGACAAATCCATCTTGAGCCCATTTGTCTCAAAGCTATATTGTTCATTTCATCTCAGTAAAAAAATTTACATTCCCCACGTTTGAGGTGGTTGCGGTTGGTTGTTGTTTACCCATTGTTGTGCATGGTTATATCCTCTGTTAAAGAATCTTTCACCTTGGTCCATATAGTGCCCTGCTTGGTTATAGTAGTCATTTGCTTTGTTATAGTAGTTTCCTGCTTGTCTTCCTACATTGTCCATCCATCCTTGAACTTTTCCTCTTGTTTCAGGATTTGGAATAAGATTTGCTGCATCTCGTGCTACCTCCCAACCTTTCTGTACAGTTTGTATAATAGGTTGTGCTTTCTCTTTCAGTATACCTAATGTACTCAAAATCTTCCTTCCAATTCCAAATGCACCTCTGGCTATTGTTCCCACTGCGGGTAAAAATCTGGATGCAACTCCTGCTAATGCGCCAAATAAACCCATTTCTTATAGGGTAAAAAATGACGAATCCAAACAAGGACCCCTATGTTTCTAAAGCAACAAAGAAAGCACTCATGGTAAAAATCTTTAGTTCAACACCAAATGCTTGGTTTATGGATATCTTGGAAAACATTCCGAGGTATAGAGAAGATGGACCACCATACTGGCTAATATTTGTTGGTCAAAACACAAGATACTGTGAAGCCATACCATTACAGTCCAAAAATATTTTAGATGTGAAAACTGCTTTGACAATATTCGTTGACAAATACCATCCAACAAAACTGACATCTGACTGTGAAAGTTCTTTCAAATCAGACGATATTAAAAACTATCTGCGTTCAAAAAATGTAAACCAATATTTCATTGTCGACCAAAACCATTCTGCTCTTGGTGTCATTGACAGTTGTATAAAAATCTTAAGAGACTTAAACCAACCACAAAGTGGTGAGGTAGATGAAATGTCATATGACGACAAATACAGACACTTCTCCATGGCAAAGATGAGACAAGTTTTAAATATTTACAATAGCCGTAAACAAAAAGGTTTGGGAAACCACTCCCCCGAAGAAATGAAAAACAACCCTGACTTAGAGAAAGACTATATATTTAATAGTTTAGTCAAAAGAGACAAACAAGAAAGAATGCCAGGCTTCAAACTTAAGAAAGGTGACAAAGTAAAAAATAGAAATACCTAAACGCGACCCATATGAAAATACTATTGACTATGACAACAATGGGAACTCGACAGGTACTCACATTCGTGTTCGTAAAAATAGAAGAAAGTATACAAGAGAATATTATGAAGTTTAGGCAAACATGGCAAAATGTACAGACTGCAAGCAGAAGATAAAACTACTATTGTCAGACCTCGTTTCAAACTTGTCAAAGTTCAAGGTGGTATACTTTCAAAGACAGTTCCTAACAAATATAAGACAACTCCTGACGAATATGCTAAAGAAGTTGAAAATGACGACTAAGCATTTCTATACCATGCGTTAAACTGTCATGTAAGGTGGCATGTAGTCTTTACTCTGTCCCGTTGTTTCTGTATATCCTGTAATGCGATGTGTATGGCTTCCTCCTCCCTGAGTGTCATCCCAGTAACAATTTATAGCAAACTTAACGTCGTCTTTAACATCATATCCTTTACCTTTTGTCATTCCTGTCCAATCCCAATATCTATGCTTATGCCAACCTGCTTCAGCTGTAGTTAAATTTATGTAATGACTGTGTGCAGGTAGGTTTTCACCTGAAATCGTTTACTTCCACCTGTTTCCTTTGAAGAGTTTGCACAATACAAAAACTGTCGACTATTTGAGTCCAAGTTCCAAAAACCAAGTACTACTTCTGGTCTGGTAGAGTTCATTGACGTATAAATAGAACCTATAGGATATACTGTTTGAAGTATTTCTGTCTTTAATGTTTGAAGCTCTGTTTTGTCTGCTTTTTTATATAACTTTTCTTCAAGTTTCATTTACGTCAGAGATGCTATGTCTATGATATTTTGTGGGTATGTTCCTTCTGTCCATGCGAAAATACGTTCTTTTGTTGCATCTACATATCCTTTTATCCATGTCGAGTCTGCTTTTGTATTCCTTAACTCTGTAACACCTTTCTCAAGCTCTTTCAACTGTTGTCCATCTTCCATTAAACCTCTGGTATGACTGAAACCGTTTGTGTCAACATATCTACAGTTTCTTTGTCGGCTTTAAGGTCTAAACATCCTGAAACCCACCCTGTATTGGCTTTACCTTCTAAAATCTTCGATGTCCGTTCATGGTACCATTCAACCCTTTTATAATTTCATTGTCTTTTTCATCCACATATTCCTTATCTGCCTTCTTCACTAACCCACTAGCCAGATATGCTAACTCATCGTCAACATACTCTTTGTCAGCTTTGTTGTCAACATCTGCTTTCGTTGCATATGTTGCATCTGCTCTGTCATGTTCTTCTTGAACTTTTTCAATGACATACTCTTTGTCAGCTTTGTTGCCAACTCTGCTTTCAAAAGAAGTTCATCTATAGGTTTCTCGTTTAAAGTTCCTTTTGTTGGATTTATACAACAGTATGGTTCTTACTGTCTTGAACAGAAACTCATCTGTCATTGGGTTTATCGTCAGTTTTAAGTTTCCTTCTTTCAATGACTCAGATATCTTAGAATAGTTTGAAAAGTTTGTTGTGTTCTTATTTAGAGCTTGCAAAATGAGTTGTCGGTTGTGTTGTATTTTCTCTCATAGACGCTGTTTCTTTCGACATTTTTATTCTAGATAAAAATATGCTTTCAATAGAAAAAGAAAATTCAAGAGTTGCTACAACTAAACCATTAGATGAACTTTTTACGAATGTCGGTCAAAAGTTTGAGACAGGACCGTAAGCATGAAGGCTATCGTTTTGACTACCCGTTAAGATGGCTAAGAGACCATCCGTCACAAAAGCTATTGGCTTTCGTAGAATGAAATTCATTTCAGAAGCCATACATGGTTTCCCATTTACGGTCGCTTTTGAAGTTCGATACTATAACAAAGAAAAACGTACGTATGAGAAATTTGAACAGGGAAAACTTTTACAAGTTAGTTTGCTTGTAAACTTAGAAACAACTCTTCAAGCTTTTCAAGAAAAAAAATAAACGATATCTATCTCGAATATGCAAAACAGTACAACATTGACGAAGGAGAGTACCATCTCGATATTATATATGACAGGAAAAATGCAACTGTTAAAATCAATAGAATAGAAGACCTTGGAGAAGACGTTTATATTTCTACAAAATATAACAACTTGGCATGGTATAGATTTTTGAGGATGTTAAATCAGCCTGCAGAATATCCAGTACACCCGAACTTTTATGAAGTCGAAAACCCTAATGGAACATATGAAAATGTTTTCGACTCAGATGCTATTATAGTTCATGCTTCATTTTCTGGCGCACAAAACTCTTTTTTATGCTTGGCAAATGACTTTTACGAAAAACCTACAAAGCTATATGAACCACCGAGTGAAGTATTTCAGACTTTCAAGTATGGTTTACTACAGATGGAAGAAAGAGAATAATTCCATTATACCATGCGTTTTACTTTAGAACTTAGTTTCATATACAACTACTATCGAACGGTAAAAATATAATTTTTTAATACGGTTGAGGTGTTGGATTGGTTGCCAACTAGACTGTGGTGCAGGTTCAGGCTGTTGTATAACAGGAGCTTGCTCTTCTGGTTCAGGGTCTTTAGGTATAATACCAACGAACTGACCTACTTTTTACCAATATTTTTGACTCCGTTCCATACTCCTCTTCCGACAGATTTTATTCCATTCCATATACCTCTTCCAACATTTTCGAAAGAAGTTTCCTATTCTTCCAAAGAAACCCATTTTACTATATGTAAAAATCTAATGTCCGCCTAGTCTCTTACGTTTCCTGTTGAGTTCCATAGCATTCTTTAACTGGAGCTCATACATTCTGTTTCCTCTGGTAGAAACATACTCTGGGTCAACTCCTGTGTTCGCGTCATCTGCATAGAGTTGTTTATATCCCACTTCAGGGTTTGTATAAAACTCTTTCCATCTCATATTTGCATACCATGGTGGTAAGCCTAACGCAGCGTCATTTGACATGGCAGTTTGCATTTGTACATCTGTTGGCACTTGACCATAGTTTGCCATTGCAGTTTGTATTCTAACTTCATTTGGAATATTCTCTGGGTTTGGTTGTCCAGGTTGCTGTGCATTCGCTAAGTTCTGTGCGTCCATTTAATATTAGATAAAAATATCTCTTACGAGTACATATGCTGAACATTTGCTGGTATTGGTTCATCTTCATATTCTCTATATCTTTCTGCCACGTCAAATAAGTAAATGACACAATGGAAAAAACCTAAAACAAGTAGTCCTATTTCAAACCACATTTACTTACCAATAAAATTTCTTTGTTATGACACTTTCTCCAGTTTATAGGACCTCTCTCATATTCTATCTTATCGTATCTAAACTCATAGTCATGTATGTCCTCTAACCATCTCATGACACTTTCCAAACCACTTTTATCGGATGTAAAGTAAAAGCATGGATGGTTATGTAAAACGTCTAAAGTTTCTAAAGAGTCTCTCAAAGTCCAGTCTACTTGGTATTGAAAATCCATGTGTTATAGAACGGCGGGTCCACTATAAAGAAAACATTTTCCTTGTCTTTATATTTTTCATACAACTCTGTCCAATGACATCTCACAAACTCTATACCCTCAATATATTTTTCTATGTTCTCTTTGAAAACCTTTGTATAGTTAAGATATAAAACTTTTGACATAAGTGTTTCAATGTCATGAACTCTTATAGAACCACTATACAATAGTCTAGAAGATATACTATCCCAGTCAATATACTCTGCCTTTTTCAAAACCTCTCTCACAATATTTTTTCTTATCTAATGGTATACGTTCCATCTTACCTATAGGTATCTTTTCTTTTAACTCTTTCAATATATTGTTTGTGTCTGGAATATGTTTGAGACGGTTCATATAGTTGTCGAAGTCATTGCATATAATCTTTGAGTCAGGAAATATTGTATGGCACAAATGAGATATATAGAAACTTCCACCGAACAAGTCTACAAATGTTAGACCATTCGGTAGTTTCTTAAGTTCTCTCAATAGAATATCTTTACATTTACTCTTATTTCCAAAGAAGGGTAACGGTGGTTTTGTAAAATTCATTTTATATATATAATAAAAATGTTTTTTCCTGAAAAGTGACAGATGTTTTATTGTGACTTCTTCGTAAAGACTTTGTCAAGACTTCTTCGTAAATGACCCAAAAATATATTTTAGGGTAGAAGGGTATATCTACCCCGTTTTCTACCCTCTTTTCTACCCTCTTGAATTTTCATGAATTTCTTCGTAAAGACTTTGTTAAGACTTCTTCGTAAAGACTTTGTTGAGACTTCTTCGTAAAGACTTTGTCAAGACTTCTTCGTAAAGACTTTGTCAAGACTTCATCGTAAAGACTTTGTCAAGACTTCATCGTAAAGACTTTGTTGAGATTTCTTCGTAAATGACCCTAAAATATATTTTTGGTGTAAATTTCATGAAAATTCAAGAGGGTAGAAATGAGGGTAGAAAACGGGGTAGATATACCCTTCTACCCTAAATATATTTTTGGTGTAAATTTCATGAAAATTCAAGAGGGTAGAAATGAGGGTAGAAAACGGGGTAGATATACCCTTCTACCCTAAAATATATTTTTGTCTGATTTACACTCATTGTCTATGTTTTGTAAAGACTTTGTCAAGACTTCTTCGTAAAGACTTTCTTGTCTATGTTTTGTAAAGACTTTGTAAAGTTCTTCATCGTAAAGACTTTGTAAAGACTTTCTTGTCTATGTTTTGTCAAGACTTCTTCGTAAAGACTTTGTAAAGACTTTGTAAAGACTTCTTTGTAAATGTTTTGTCAAGACTTCTTCGTAAAGACTTTGTTGAGACTTCTTCGTAAAGACTTTGTTGAGACTTCATTTATACTCATTCATCCTCAGGGCTAGAAGGCACGAAGTGCCTGGAAGCCCCACTCCCTTTTTTTTTTTTTTTTTTTTTTTTTTTTTTTAAATAAAAAAATAAAATAATAAACATAACTAAGTTTTAATTTTTCGTAAGACATTAATTTTTAAAGTTTATTTTTTAAAAATTTTTTTATTTTTTATTTCATTATGGTAGTGAATCTTTTATTCATGAAAATAATTATTTCTAATTTCTTTTACTCTCTCGTATATACTAGATTTAAAGAATTCAGAACATTTCTCATAATCTCCTAAATGTTTTCTTATCCCTAACGTGTGCCAGTTATTATATGAAACTGAATAAACTTTATCTTTATCTTTACACCTTTCATCACTTCCAATATATTTATATCTCAGTTTTGATTTAGCATTTTCATATTCATTAGCGTTTAATAATTCACAGTCTTCCTTTTTAAATAAATGTTTAAGATATTCAGGATTTAATACTCTACGTTTATATGCTCCTAACTTAGTTCTAAAGGTTTTTCTACAAAATTTAGGAATTCCATCCTCTTTAATGTCATCAATGATTTCCATTTCATTATTTTCAATTTCTTCTTCTCGTTTATGAGGTCTTTGATTATGACTCCATTGATTCCATGAAATTAAATATTCTTTATCATTACATTTATACCTCATTAGCTTATTTTGGCTTTCATATTCATTTAATAATTCACAATCTTCATTTTTAAATTGAAGTTTAACCCATTCAGGATTTAAACAATGTTTAATTAATCGCGGAATATCTGACATCATCTATATATAGCTTCTTTTATAAAAGATAAAATAAATTATTTTAAAATTAATGTTAATTTTTTTTAATGTGTTTAGTATATAATATTTATTACTAATTTATTTAATAATGTCGCGCTTTCTTACGAATTCATGACTTAAAAAACGTAAGAAAAAATTTTTATATCATCTATATATAGAAGATGTGAAAAAATACCTTCATCTATATATAGACGTAACAAAAAAAGTCACAAAACCCTTCATATCCTACTACTATTCTTCACTCACCGCAAATTTGATTCTCATTGTATTTATATCTCCACAATCGAAATTGCTAATCTTTTTTCCGATCGATAATTACTTTTAAGATTATTGCCAAATATTTTGATCAAAACAAATGCATAAAATAGTAAAAAAACATGATCATTTAAAAATAGTAAAACTCTAAAATATCTTTATTACTCGCCAAGTTCCTCTTCTTCATTCGGAATTGGAATTTCTAATTGATTAAACAAAATTCTTGCATCAGAAGCAATTCTATCAACTTCAAAGAACATGTGTATAACAGCTAAGAACTTTTCATCGTTCGTCAATGCATCTCTTAATGCATTTACTCCGTCATCTCTAAAAACTTCTGAAAATCCTTTCAAGAAAGAGCAGATTTGGACTAAGAAGCTATCTCTATAATCATCTGATTCCGCGCAATCTATTGCTGGGCTGAATTTATGCATTATTGCTATCATTGGATCAACCCACTGCAAACAGTTCTCCGGATACTTCTCTAACAGTGTTGTATAGAGAGCTGTGATGTTATTAAGTAGATCGCATGAATCAGTAGCGAATGATTCGTCTTCAATAACGAATGAATTAATTAATTTCAGAATTTCAACTCCGCCGACCTTGGCAAACAATTCAGAATAGCTTGTCTGGAACAGGAAGTTAACGAGCGATACAATATTCATCATACATTCAGGGAAATACTTATGATCTGGGATAACAGCATTTAATGTATAAACAATGTCCTGGAGACGATCAGAAATGAATCCTTTGGCCTTAATAAGGTTTTCTATGGCTATACAACCATCGGAAACATCTGTTGGATTGCCAACTCTTTGCAATAAGTATAAACATATGTCTCCGATGATTTGGCCGTACTGAGATTGTAGTTCTGCGATGCTTCCATCTCTTGCGATTGCAAAAATGATGGAAGAAACAACTCTCGCGTTGACAGAATCACATGATTGATTTGCAACGTAATCAGCGATCAATGCATCAATGAGGGCGACCTTATGATCGTCAAAAGCAGAGAAACAGTGCTGGAGGAAGATGTAAAGAAGATAAAATATATCTCCTGAGTTTCTCTTGAGAATTTCGTTATCTTTTGTACCTAGAACTAACTGTACAATAGTAGGAACTAGGTTTACAACATCTTGGACGTTAGCTGCTTCTTGAATTATGATATAAATAAAACTGGAGATTGTTGAAACGAAAGATTGGTCATTTGACTCAAAAACTCCAATAAACTTATTGAATATATCTGTTGTATATGGGAATTTATCCTTCTGTTCTGCCATTTTTATGACAATTTCGATTGCTGCTTCAGTAATATATGAATCAACATTGTTTTCTATGTAATCTAATATTACTGGTAGCATCTGTGTAAGTGGCTCTAATAATACATCGTACTTCTTGCACTGTATGTAGTGATTTACAATTTCTGACAGAGTTATTAGGGCAAAATAGACAAGTCGAGGAATTTCAGATGTCAAACAGTCTGCAATAGACTGAATGATGAGGCTCGTGAAGTCATCCAACGCTTCATTCTCGAGTAATGATATGGCGGCATAAGAAATTCCAAGAGCTGTCACTTTTCCTCCAATGGTCTCTACCGAGATATTCTCTTGTACGAATTCAACGATGATAGGGAGAGTCACTGATGGGCAGACCCTGGTCATTATATTGAGTACGTTGATTGCTTCATCAGCTGGAGTCAATGCCTGGTTTTCTGGAGGTAAATCTGTTGAATCATCTGAAGCAGAAATGGTTGCGATCGGCATGAATATTGTTGGAAAGACTTGCTCTATAATACCATATGTTTCCAAGTGGTTGTTAATGTAAGAAAGCTCTGCTCTTGCAATTTGTTTGAAAAAGTTGCAAATTGCGCATTGATCTACACCTGTAATGTTTGGTTCTGATAAGTACTGGTTGGCTCCAAGTACTACGTTAGCAGCAATGTCGCCAAAATGAGAATATGCATATCTTGCAATTTTTCCATAAATTTTGTAGCAAATTGGCTTGAGAGAAGGTATGGAAACCTTAGATTCGATCACCTGGAGTATGATACCTCTGTTATCTTCGTCATTTAATATTGCTTCGATTGAACTCATAATATGAAGCAAAGCTGTAAGGATTTTCTTCTGCGCATCTTGTGTTAATGTATCTATGTATAGAGAGCTAATGATAAATGACATAATCGGTTGATACATCTCTGGATCTGGTATAAAAACTTCATCTGATAAATTATCAAAGGCTGTTGCGAATGATGTTGTGAGAGAATCAATCTTGTTTTTCTCCCAATATGATGTAATTGTTGTAATAATTTCAACAGCGGCTGTGAAATTGTCAGGATTTAGTCCGGAATTGATAATAAACTCTACGAGAATGTTGCAAAGTAAATTTCCTGATTGATTTGGCATTTCTGAGGCATAATTTAATGCTTTTTGAGTAAGTTCTTGGAAAAGTCCCGTTTGTTGGTGTTCAATTAATGCAATTGTATCTGTTGTGTCTAAATTTAAGTCTCTTATCTTTTGTAATGGTGTTTTTGTTGATAACATGGCTCTTGAAATTAATGTATGATCTACATTATCTGAAATAATTACATTTGCAAGGCCAAGAAAGTATTGAAGTGGATTACTCTGAAGATATTCAGCTTCTGCAGCAAGTGCTTCTGAATTACCAGAGCCTCTTGCCTCAAGGAATGATAAAACAGTTGATAAATCCATAAAATCTTCAAAAAGACAAAAAATTTGGAAACATGCATAATTTTATAAATCAAAAATAAGTTAATAATCATAAAGTCATAAACATGTCTCGCCTATTTCGCTTATTTTGAATCAATAAAAGATGGAAAAATCAGTGAATTTGTGATATCTAAGTGGTATCTCTCAATTTTGTTGAAATATATCATGTCAAATCAATAAAATCAAAGATTATTACCCAAATAATTAGTAATCTGCGTATTGGAAAAATGAGGAAAAGAATACCTTATATGTAAAGCAATCTAAATGGTTATAAATCATTTGTTTTGAGAATGTGAGCTCATAACTAAAGCATTTGTTTCATGTGTTGGCTAGTAGATTCAAATATATATTATTTTTAATGAAATTTCAATTGAAAAAAAAAATTAAGAGTTAGACTTGTCACATCAAAGAAAGATACTGTTTGGAGATTAAAGGTGTGTATATTGTAATTCCGAATTCTTATATGTTCATATTTGAAATCTTTTGAAATTAATATTTTGACAACTCGCACAATTGAGTTAACATTAATATCTCCTTACTAAATCTGATATATTTCTCGATCAAACTGTAAATGTCAGAAACTGTCAAATGACGGCGGTTGAATAGGGTTAATAATTATGTTTCAGGTTCTTTGTCTATTAAGTCAAGCAAAAAGCTGTGATGAAATTCATCATGCCAAGAAAGTCGGAAAGCATCTCAATCCAATTGCTAGCACCAATGATGATTTTCCATACATTTTCTGGCATAAGGACACCCGAAAAATTGAAAGAGATTATTCTACAACTGACTTAAATTCAATTGTCGATCAAATCTCTAACGAATTCGAACTAGAAAGAGATAGAGTTCAAAATAATTTTTCTCGTTCGAAATGGGCTTCCTACTCCAAGCAACTTTTCAACCGAATTAATTTTGATCTAGATAACGACGGTTTTAGAGTTGTATCTTTGGGCGGAACAGTTATGAAAATTACCAAGAATAATGGTGTTTATAACGTTAATTGCCGCAAAGCAAGCATCTACACAATGCTTCTCCAAAAGAAGTATCGAATCCGTATGTTTATTGAGCATTCAACTCCAGAAGATTATATCATCAAAACATTTCAACCAATTCCTGGCCAATTAATATCTGATATTTACAACAAATTGAATAGTGAGATCGAAGTTGCTATCAATACTTATAAGTCTATTTAAATAAAAAATGTTATTATTTTTTGTTTACAAAATCATAAATTTAGTTGTTGATAATAAGTATTATCTCAAAAAAGTTGCTCTTAATGCGGTTATCGATTTGGAAGATGATTTGAAAATTCAAATTTGAAAAATCTTGAGAAGATTTTGATGTAAATTCCTATGAGATGTTTGTGACAAACTCTCTATGCTGACTCACAATTCATTTTTATATCTTTAAAGATTTTAATGTCAATTACATGTCAAATGTCAGTCGCTCAGAATATTTCCGATGCTTGCAGTTTTTTGTCTATTAACTCAGGCAAAGCAATATGGTATAATCCATCATCCTAAGCAAGCCAGTAATCAGCATCCATATCTTGTCACTGGTGGAAATACGCCTTTCATCCTTCATGACAGAAGAGTTGGAAATCTTGAAAGAGATTATTCTACAACTGATCTAAATTCTATTGTCGATCAAGTATCTAACGAATTCGGTCTTGAAAGAGATAGAGTTCAAAATTACTTTAGTCGTTCAAAATGGGCATCATATGCCAAACAACTCTTCAACAGATTAGATTTCAGTTTCGATACAAATGGATACAAAGTTATAACTTTGGGTGGAACTGTTATTAAAATTACCAAGTCAAATGGCGTTTATAATGTTAATTGCCGCAAAGCTGATGTTACTTCAAAGCTCCTCCGTGCTGACTGTCAATTACGTATGCAACATCTTGATTGGCGATTTGAATATTGTTTGGCAAGAGTTAATGTTCCTCTAAATGGTCAAGAAATCGCCCAAGTATATGAGAAGTTGAATCACGAAATCGAAGGTACCCTCAATGCTTATAAAAATATTTAAAATAATTTTCATTTCAAGATTCAGTTAATAGTAAGCAAAATTATTATACTACTAGATTTTTCAACTCGATATATTTAAAAGATATGATGAATTTTTGGACCTAAGAAAATTAAAAAAATTAGTACACTCTTTAAATCCTGAATTGAGGATCTCAAGATTTAGTATCTATTCTCACTTATCTATGTATGGAGAACGCATTCAAAATTTAATTGATTTTAAGGCTGCACTTACGCCCATCTGACTTTAATTCATATTTTTGACAAATGGGGTGAAGCGTCATTTAAAATCAATCTTAAACATCAGAATTGAAGGCCGCGTCATAGGGGCGTAAGTGCATCCTTAAAGTCTCTGAAACAATCGTAAAAATTTTAAAGTCTGTCTTTGCTTGAAAAGAAAAACAAAATCGATCCGGACTTCTTGAGTCAAATACTTAAAATTTTTTGTGAGGAGTATAAAAACAACTTTATATGTAATGATTCATTTAAATGATGGAAAAATCAGTGAATTTGTGATATCTAAGTGGTATCTCTCAATTTTGTTGAAATATATCATGTCAAATCAATAAAATCAAAGATTATTACCCAAATAATTAGTAATCTGCGTATTGGAAAAATGAGGAAAAGAATACCTTATATGTAAAGCAATCTAAATGGTTATAAATCATTTGTTTTGAGAATGTGAGCTCATAACTAAAGCATTTGCTTCATGTGTTAGCTAGAAGATTCAAATATATTATTTTTAATGATAATTCAATTGCAAAAAAAAAATTTACGAGTTAGACCTGTCATATTAAAGGAAGATACTGTTTGGAGATTAAATGTAATGTTACACATAGAAACATTTATATTTGAAATATTGCAAATGATGGATTTTTGGGAATTTTGAATAGTCTACAAAATTTACAATTTGTTTTATATCGTTTTCTTATCAAAATCAAAAATTGAATTAAAAACCGCCAGGACCCATCAAATTTCCTGGACCCAGAAAAATGTGCTACGTTATATATATATCGAAATCCCGAATGCGTACAAGTACATATTTGAAACATTTTGATATCTTCTGAGACAACTCCTTACTAAATCTGATATTTTGCTCGATCAAACTGTAAATGCCAGAAATTGTCAAATGACGGTGGTTGAATAGGGTTAATAATTATGTTTCAATTTCTTTGTCTATTAAGTCAAGCTAAAAGCTATGATGAAAATCATCATGCCAAGAAAGTCGGAAAGTACCTCTATCCAATTGCTAGCACCAATGACGATTTTCCATTCATTTTATTGAAAAAAGACATCCAAAAACTTGAAAGAGACTATTCTACAACTGACTTAAATTCAATTGTCGATCAAATCTCTAACGAATTCGAACTAGAAAGAGATAGAGTTCAAAATCATTTTACTCGTTCGAAGTGGGCTTCCTATTCCAAGCAACTTTTCAGCAGAATTAATTTTGATCTAAATAACAACGGCTTTAGAGTTGTATCTTTGGGCGGAACAGTTATGAAAATTACCAAGAATAACGGTGTTTATAACGTCAATTGCCGCAAGGCAAGCATTTCCACAATGCTTCTCCATAAGGCGTTTCGAATGCGTATGATTGCTGATGGTAAAACTCCAGAAGATTATATCGTCAAAACATTTCAAGCACTTCCTGGCCAATTAATATCTGATATTTACAACAAATTGAATAGTGAGATCGAAGTTGCTATCAATACTTATAAGTCTATTTAAATAAAAAATGATTTTATTTTTTGTTTAAAAAATCATAAATTTAGATGTTGACAGTAGGTATTGTCTCAAAAAAGTTGCTCTTAATGTGGTTATCGATTTTGAAGAAGATATGAAAATTCAGATTTGAAAAATCTTGAGAAGATTTTGATGTAAATTCCTATGAGATGTTAGAGACATATTCTCAATGCTGAATCAAAATTGATTTTTATCTATAAAGATTTGAATGTCAAATACATGTCAAATGACAGTCGCTCAGAATATTTCCGATGCTTGCAGTTTTTTGTCTATTAACTCAGGCAAAGCAATATGGTATAATCCATCATCCTAAGCAAGCCAGTAATCAGCATCCATATCTTGTCACTGGTGGAAATACGCCTTTCATCCTTCATGACAGAAGAGTTGGAAATCTTGAAAGAGATTATTCTACAACTGATCTAAATTCTATTGTCGATCAAGTATCTAACGAATTCGGTCTTGAAAGAGATAGAGTTCAAAATTACTTTAGTCGTTCAAAATGGGCATCATATGCCAAACAACTCTTCAACAGATTAGATTTCAGTTTCGATACAAATGGATACAAAGTTATAACTTTGGGTGGAACTGTTATTAAAATTACCAAGTCAAATGGCGTTTATAATGTTAATTGCCGCAAAGCTGATGTTACTTCAAAGCTCCTCCGTGCTGACTGTCAATTACGTATGCAACATCTTGATTGGCGATTTGAATATTGTTTGGCAAGAGTTAATGTTCCTCTAAATGGTCAAGAAATCGCCCAAGTATATGAGAAGTTGAATCACGAAATCGAAGGTACCCTCAATGCTTATAAAAATATTTAAAATAATTTTCATTTCAAGATTCAGTTAATAGTAAGCAAAATTATTATACTACTAGATTTTTCAACTCGATATTTTTAAAAGATATGATGAATCTTTGGACGAACGAAAATTAATAAATTTAGTAGTGTAAATTGCATCAAATGCCGCAAGGTAAGTACACTCTTTAAATTCTGAATTGAGTATCTCAAGATTTGGTATCTATTCTCACATAGCTATGAATGGAGGACATATTCAAAATTGTATTTTGAATTCTATTTCAAAACCGTTATTTTTGAGAGAGCAAATTTAATTTGCTAAAATTTCATGTACAAGTTGATCGAAATAGAATTCCAATCATTCATCCAAAAATTGAGCATCCCTCAATTTTTGGAAAAATGATGTTTATTTTGTGACTGTCAGATATTTTTTGACAAATAAAAATAAAATTCATCTTACTTTGCTTTTCTCTCTATAAATTAAATAGGTTGACATCTTCAGAGGGCGAAAGTGTTTGGAATAGCTTCTTCGGCAGTCCTTTTGTAGGAGAACACATTGTACATTGTCAAAATTGTAATCTCCCTGCAGATAAAGGTCAATATTACTTAGAAGAGTGTAATTTTTTTTGATTATAAAGATCGAGTTATCACCTTTATCCAAATAACAAATACTGCATTCTTGCATAATGGCTGTTCCTTTAGTAAATGTAGTTCACCAAATGCTGGTGGTTGCATTTGCTACACAATTGGCAGGAATAGTTCCGTTGTTCAACGAAAATGCTGGTGTACAAAATGCCTAAGTGAGAATAGTTGCCATTTTTCATTTACAAAAGTAGATAGAGATAACTTAAACTTTTTTATTGAAAGTTCCTTTTTCGATCTAGGAATTGAAAGTGCTAAGCGTTCAATGGTTGCAGAAAATGCTAATATAGTAGTTTCATCAATAAATTTTTCATCATGTAAAGCAAAATCGACAACTGTTGGTTGGTTTAGATGTGGGACACTTAGTTACATAACAACTTTTAACTATTCAACTGTTGTTTAATATAGTACATCTGGAATATTAAATATTTGGTATAAAGGGTTGATTAATCCATGTAATTTTATAAATAATACTCATACAATATCAGGAAATGGAATTTTTTTCCATTCTAGAAATTCTCTTACAGTAAAAAGTTGTTCTTTTATTAACAACACTGCTCCTCAAGGTTCATATTTGATGAAGAATGATAATGATCAATTAACAGTTGATAGTTGTTACATTGACGATTCGATTTCAAAAACATTTTTGAGTAATGTAGTACCTACTAATTCAAAAGAACTATTTACTAACAATTTGACTCATCTTTCAACTGGTGATTTCCAAGCTGAATTTGAAATTATTAGTAAAACCAAATTCATTTACTCCTTCCCTCGTAAATTCCCACGACGCCGTTAATTAAATTTGTTATTAAATTCCAATAGAATAACTTTTTTTCCTGAATGCAATTTTCTGTAAAGAATTCGTGGATAGTAGATATAATTACTTTTTCATATGGGTAGATGAAAAAAATCAGATCCCTTAATATTTTAATCATATGAATCTTTTTCCATTAATATATTATAATAAATCTTGTAGTATACTTTTGAGTGAATTACAATAGGATAAATACTCAAAATTGGTATAATCAAAGGAATCTCGATTTTGGAGAAATCGAAAAAAAAAAGGTAGAAGTGGATCCACACTGGATAATAAGTACCATTCAATGGGACAATGGTGATGTAATGCATCCTAGTATGGATAACTGGATAGGTAGACATTGAAGTATTAAGGGACATTTGATCAGATATGGAGATACAACTGTATTTTTAAGGTCTTCATTGGATAAAACAATAATCATTGAAATAGCTTTAGGTTAAATATGATGATAAGTGCTGATATACTTTTGAGATAAATGAGGAAAAAAATATTAATTCTAGTTTTTATAAAAGTGAAGAGATATAATATTTTTTTATTCTTATAATATTATTGTTTTATTTAGAAAGTTTCCTTTTGATGATTCTCATTATTTCTTTTCTAACAATTGGTGATTCTGTCTGAACGATGTCCAGGATTAGTTTGATAGATGAACTCATGCAAGCATCAAATATTTCATTTGATGCATCTGCAACAGCAGCCAAAGTTGACTGCATTAACTTATTCCAACAATCATTATCTTTAACTGATTGGAATTCCGAATAAAGTTCCAAAGTATGATATAAATAATCTTTTGTTTGTTCGACTTCTTTGTGATTTATCAAAGCAAGAATATATCCATTTCTTGCAGCACAAAGTAATCTATGAGATTTTACGTTTTCTTTGATTTCTTCCGCTTTCTTTGCAGCCTTATCTATAATAGAACTGATTCTCTGATAGAAGTTTTCGCTTCTTGTGAACGTAATGATCATTTTAGAAATAGTTTCGATGTAAATAACTAATCTTCCAAATTTAGAAGAATATTTCTCCAAAACTTGTATTAACTCTTCAATATGTTCATCTTCAAAGTCTTCATGGCATTGAGAAACATATTTACCAAGTGCTTTAACAACAGACCTTGAGAATCCATCATTTGTAGATTCAATAAAAGTGTTCATAAATCTGACAAAAAGTGTCAAATGCGGTTTAATTGCATCATGATGAGAAATTGCGACTTCATCGATAATTTTATTGATTAATTCTGTGTTATGTTTATAGATCTGTTCATTGTTACTATCCTCAGAGAACTCAAACAATTCAGGGAACGAATGTTGTATAATAAATTTCCATAATTGTTCTCCTAACAATTGTTTATTTGCTCCTTTATCAATAATTATATTTAGAAGAACTTCTTCAGCGCTTTGTTTTACGTTGAAGAAAGGATGTTGATTGCATTTTCCTACGGACTGCAATAGACTTTCCCATGAATTTACGTGTGTCGGAGGAACAGAATCAGAAATAATCAAAAACAATTTCATGGCTTCGAAAGAAATTTCAGCGTTTTGATCTGAAATAACAAAACTAGAAATCATTGCTACCAAATGAACACAATAAGGAATAACAGCTGTCATGTGCTTATTAATAATCTGTTCTACAATAGAAAAGCCATGTTTCTTGAGTTCTTCTGACATAGCAGAAAAAGTTAAAATTTGGAAAACAACATCCCATCCTGACATCAAAATTGGAGCATGTTCATCAACTAATTGTTGTGTGCACTCCAATATTAATTCTCTCATGGAATGATCCCTTGTTTGATATAAGATATCGCAGAAAGGTTGAAGGAAATGGGATTGCAAAGAAATTGATGATCCTTGGTCTTGTTTCGGAATGAATTTCCTTGCGAGTTGTCTCAAAATATCAATTGTTGTTAAGGCAACTTCTAAATCATCACGAGATCCTTGCAAACTCAAATGGTTACCAATGATTTTCCAGATTTCTTTCCATAGATACATTGGTCTGTTCATGTTGTAATACGCGATATCTGATAGTTTCAAAAGAGAAAACATTCTTGGAGGATTTGAGTTTAGCTCGTTTGAAGACACTTTGCAAAGAGATCCAACGAAATCAATGATGGATTCTCTGTCTAATTCACTTGACAACAAAAAGATTTCGTCCGTTTTATTCATGTTACAGACGTATTTTTGGGAATCCAAAATAGTGTCTAAAGCTGAAACTTCGCCAAGAACAATATCCCATGCTCCTTTCAAGTACAAATGATCTTCAATTGCACAAAGAATCAAAGAATTAGTACATAAAATATTCTTTGTTTTAACATCTTCTAATGCACTCGATCTCAATCTTGTGAACTTCGCAAAACTGTCAACAAGAACTTGAAGGGCTTCTGTGACATAGCAATGGCTTGCAATGTGTGTACACAATGTAAAACCACTGAGTATTAAGTCAACAAGTTTCGCATCATCCGTCATTTCAAAACTCATTGTCAAAGCCGCTAAAATTGGCTGCCAAACCGTTTGAAACATCGGACCAATTAACAAATGAGATTCCGCTCTATGGAAAACTAAACCTTTTGCATCGTTAGCTGTTGTTCTTGCTGATTGCAGTGCTTGGTGGCATTGCTGTCTGTACATTTCAGCTTGTTGCTCGCGACTTAAAAGGAAAGAATTTGGAAGAGCATCTCTCGAAACGAAAATCTTCTTGGAAGTGATTCCGTTGTAAAGATCGGTTAGGAAATCTTTCGGAATGTCCTTGCCTTGGTCGATACCTCTGTTGTTGGCAATAAATTCGGGTAACGTCATGTGTTTCTTTAATGTGGGGTGATGAGCATCGGTATGAAGCATAAGAGCGGAGAAGGCAAGCACGTATACGGTTTCAGCGCATGAGAACATCTGTGGATTGTCGTTAAAGTACTTGGAACCGAATTGTTCCATGATTCGGTCGATCATTTGGGATTCTCCGGGAATTAGGAACTTGGAGAGGAAACTACGGAAGGCTTGTTCAAATGTAAGACCTTTGAAATCGAATTCGTCCATGAAAGAGTGGAGAATTTGGACGGATTCCGGAGTATTGCCGCCAATGATTTGTCCAATTGATGCGGGATCAAGGGTTGGAGTGTTATAGAAGAAATCTGCAATTTCTTTCGGAGTTTGGCCGCATATTCTGTGGTCTTTGAAAAATTGAAGACCTTTCTTTTCTTTCGTCTTAAAAAGCCTCATTCCTTCCTCGAGAACGTTCTTGGCCTTCTTGGCATCTAGGTAGATTTGTCCTTCGTCGTCTTTTTCGGCTTTTTTCTCGGATTTTTCTTTGAAATAATTCCAAAGACCTTCGAGGGTTGTAATTGTCGTAGTTAGGGAGGCTTTTTGCATTGCAGGGTCTTTTTGGCCCGGCTTTGCGTAGTTTACGATCTTTTCGACAAGATTCTTGTAAACATTCTTAAAGAAGCCTGTCTGATCGCAATCGTAGTTTACGTATGCATCGACTAATATCTGTGGGTATTTCGCGAGTTCGTTGAATAGTTTAATTGCTCTTACAACAGTCTTTGGATAAGGAGAAGCCATTGCAGTGGCAATTCCTCGATCAAAGACCTCGTTGAGGCCTACTAAGTATAGTTTGTGGAATCTCTGCCATACAATGATGATTAATTTGGCTGTAATCGCAATTAAAGAAGAATGTTCGTCAATTGAAAGGCCAATTAAAGTTACGTGTATGTCTTCTTGAAGGAGACGTGCAAATGTATCTGTTTCTAATATCGGATTGTTCGATTCTAGTAAAGCTAAGATGGCTTCCGCACATGTACGTAAAGTATCTTCATTTAGCTCGAATTTTTCAATGGCATGAGAGAAAGTTCGCATAATAGTTATCACATCGTCGATTGCTGAGGCTGGAGCGCCAAAATAATTGTTGATAATACGATCAATGACTTGTTTAGCGACATCTTCGACTGTAACTGGTTCATCACCATCTTTGGCGGCAGGCTCGATGAGAGCAAGGTAATTATGAAAGAGATTTTGAATTGTCATTGATAAAATTTCTCCTGCAGTCGCTGGTGACGTATTTTGCAAGTCAAGCAAGAAGTTAAATATCTCACTGAGTATATCTCCATGGATAGATGCACGAACATTTGGATTCTCGATGCAACATGAAATTACTTTTGCGGATTTTGCCTTGATTTCATCTGTGATGATCTTTTTCTGTTTAAATAGTGAAAACATGTTGCGGAGAACGTTTTTTGTCAGTTCTTCACTCGGTGATATTTCGGGAATCGCGTATTGGAACAAATTTGTAATCATGCTTAAAACGGATATGATATGATCTTTGTGCTGTTCATTAAGAACAATGAAATATGGATTGATAATGACTTCAAGATCGATTAATGAATCATTCTTTTTTCCACTTTCAATATTTCCCAATGATTTTACGATAGACTCCTTTAGATTCTTTTTACCAAAAGATCCGCACTCTTTTTTAAGTCCAAGCAGACTTTTTTCGAGCTGGTCTATGATAAGAAAAGAAGTCATCTGCCGATAAAAAAAAATTTATGAAAATTTTGCAAATCTCAACTCCTTGAAAGTTAGGTATATGATGCTCATTGTAAGTAAAATAATTTTTGTGCTGGATTTTTGGAAAGGAATGGGATTTTTCTGAAATTTTTCATCGATTCTGTCCATTTCGAAAGATAAAACAACAGAAATGTAATCATTAAAAAAAAAAAAAAAAGGTAGTGGGGCTTCCAGGGGCTGCGCCCCTTCTAGCCCCGAAGATGTTTAGTAAAAAATGAGGTTTTTATTCGGAAAATTGTTAGTCTTCTGGTGTGAATTCGGAGGACTCTTCTTGGATTGAGTCTTGTATTTCCTCCTCCTCTTCTTCCTCCTCCATTGCTTCTGGGAAGAAGTCTTCTTCTGGGTCGAAGACATTATATAATGTGTAATTGAATGACACATTATATCTTTCTTTGAGTTCGCTCCTGACAAAGAACTTAGTTCCAGGAATACAGAAGACTTCTGTGCGTTGGAAAAGCTGATGTCCTGGAACAAATTTGGCAATTAGAGACTTCTTTTTTCCGAATTGTTCAGGAGTTTCCATGACGACAGTAACAACATCTCCATCTGCGAGGTCTTGTTGTTGTTCGGAAAGGTAAAGAGCAATGATATAAATGGTTGCTGCGTTGAATTCGAGAAAGTCGAATTCAAATTGTGTAGTCGTATAGCAGTCAAACCATTTTGTACAGTTGTCTCCGAACTCGTCAATGTATTCATCTTGGTCATATCCGTAACTTAAAGACTTGGAATTCGGCAATTCTCTTGTCGAATGACCGTTGGATGGAACGAGGAAGATTTTGACGAACTTGGTATAAAGTTCTCAACATTATAAGCTTAGTAAATGTTGGAAAATACTGAACTAAGACATCGCTAAGCTCAATTGGACTTGGAATTGTCTTAGTAAGTTCAATTGAACTAGCAATTGCTTTTGTTCAGAACTTCACAGAACTGAGTATTGTATATAGCGTCTGGTTGTGTGTTTTCTTCGGCGTCTTTGAGATATTTAGAGCAAATTTGTTGAAGAATTTCTCTTAATTCGCTGTTAGACTTTTTTGGCGGTTATTCTAACAGCTGTGCCAGTTCTTGGAGGTTGTGGGGCTTTGGCTTTGGTTAGCGGTTGAGAATTGTTAATGTTGGCTTCCATTAGACAAAAATAAACTGTTTTTTTCGGACTACTCATAGAAAAGTTTAAAATAAAACCGTTTTCGTCAACGGTAACCCCCTCTATTTTTTTATTTTATTTAATAGTTACCGTTGGCAAACCGTTCCATCTCAAATATTGAATGAACTATAAACGTTTTTTGTTTTCTATACATACTTTTTTGTCCAACGGTAAAACTTTTTACACAACGGTTTTTGAGAGTCGTAGCCGTTGACTTTTTTGTAGAGCACTCAAAATAGTATAACTTTGTTCGGACAAGTAAGGGTCTATCGTCGCTACAGGAAAAGTTACAGGCGTTCCAAGGAAGTATACTTTGAGAAGACTTTCCCCTTATAGAATGAGATAGGACGGTTATTTTACAAACTGACAACACTTTGACCGAGTAGTTTTTGTGCTGAACAAAAAGTGTCATATAAACATCTTGTCAAAAACCGCTTTTTAACTTCACTTAAAATGCCACGTAAGCTACGTAAGAATATACGTAAGAGGAAGAGAGCATTGAAACATCCAATAGTAAAACTGACACCACAACAACAGTTGCAACAACAAATGCTGAATGACCCCACTATGTTGCAACAAATGTCAAGCAACCCTATGCTCTTAAACCGAGTTCTTGGTGCACAGAGTGGAGGTTTAAGAGCGGCACTTTTAGCGAAAATGGCAGGCTATGGTGGAGCTGCAGACGGAACAGCCTATAACCCTCAAAGTCAAATGAATTTGAGTTCACTCAAAAATCAAATAGCAGATGTCAAAAAGTCAAACATAGACATACAGAAACAAATAAGTGAAAACGAAAAGAAACTAGAATATGACAGACACACAAAGAAACTCAATGAGTTAAACGTAGAGAAAAAGAAGAAAGAAGAACAACTGAAAGAACTAAGTACAGAGGAATATGCGAAAAAAGTGTCAGAAAAAGCAACAGAAGTAGCAAAAATGGAACAAGATGTCATAAATTTGAAAAACCATACTACTCAATATAAAATACTGAAAGATGAAGAGATAAAACAAAAAGCCCTGAAGACATATATGGATAGCGATGAGTATAAAAAAGAAGTTGAAGCAAATGTAAAGGCAGAAAAACTTTTACAGTTGCAAAACCAAACCGTACAGTATGAAAACTTAGCACAAGAAAGTAAAAATAACGACGCAGCCATGCAAAAGGCAATGAAAAGCGCAGAATATATAAAAGCTAACAATGACTGGTTAGATGCCCAAGCCAACGCTAAAGCAGCCCAACTTATAGGGTCAATAAGGACAAAAATACAAGCGGATGAAGATAGTTCAAATGAAGCTTTAACAAATGCTGACTTTAAGAACGCTTTCGAAGCTCTTCATAGTAAGGTGAAACAAGTGAACGACTTCTCATCTGGAAAGAAACTGAAGTCTGAAGGTTTCGACAAAGAGTTAAGAGAAGTAGCACAAAATATGACGAAAATAACAGATGCAGCAGCAACGAGACAGGCAGTTCAAAGTGCCTATGACGCCGTTAGAGCAACTGTTGTGGAAAGTCAAGAAAAAGAGTTACAACAGACCAAAACAGACCTAGTAAATGCTTTCTTAAAAACGAAAAGTCAGGTAGGACATTATGCTGCAGATGGAACATATGTGCCAGCTGGTGGAACTTATATACCAGCTGGTGGAACTTATATACTAGCTAGTGGAACTTATATACCACCAAACCCTCCAAGAGAAGCACCTGCACCAGGACTACCTAAAACATTTACATCGTCACATGGACACAGACACAGGCATGCACCAAAACCAACACAACAACCAACACAACAACCAACACAACAACCAGCACAACAACCACCTCCACAACCAGCACAACAACCAACACAACAACCAGCACAGCAACCAACAGTTCAAAACCCTGCACAACAACAACCACAAACAGAGCAAGGACATAAAAGAAGTAGAGAACAAGGAAACCAAGAATTCTTAAAAATGCTTAAAGAAGAGTGTGGTTTCCCAGATACTGTTGACTTTAGTGACAGATATAAAGAAGCTATTGGAAAGTTCAAGGATGGAAATACTGACCCGAACCTATTTAGCTTTATGGCTCAGCACCAAAACGGATATAATCTCAAACCTGGAAAATACAAGCTCGCTAAGGGATATGATTTAATAGCATATCATCCAAATGACATGGATGAATTTACTCCGAGATATTTGATGTCAGAGCTAAATGACAATTCAACTTTCGTCATGAAACGCGTAAAAAATAGAGACGGAACGAAAGAACAAAAGCTTATGAATGCGGATGACGTAGATAGGGAATTGTTAAAAACGGTCTCGGAATATATGAAATGCCAGCAGATGAGGTACAAGAAACTCCACAGGAAGATAGTTCAGATACAACCAGACATGGAAGAAATAGTTCAGCAACAACAGCTAGAAGAGCCTGAAGGAAACGAACAAGTCACTCCTTTGGAAACTAACTTCACAGAACTAGATGAAGATTTGGAACAGCCGAAAAATCTTGACCCTCAACAAGAGTATGCGGAGAATATGGAATATTTCCAAGAGTCTAAAAAAAATTCGGCTGACATAGTAGAAGAATATCGAAAAATGTTTGCCGACATACAAAAGACTCCAACACCAGATGAAAATATCCAGCATAGAATGGAAGAACTGAAAAAAAATGTACACAAATACAACAACCCTTTTTACTTACGAGCATTTAACGTTCAATCTTCGGATGAACTCGGTGAAAATAAAAGGTTAAATTTCAAGAAAACATATAGAAATGAAACATTGTTTAAAGTTCATTCAGAACCTAACCAAGATGGAAACAAACCTACTTTTGTTTCTGCAGACGATGGAACTACAATGAGATGGGGTCATAAAGCTAACCCGGATAGGTGGTTCATAAACTTACAACCACAATTCCAAGAAGTTGTAGACGCAATGGAAGTCAATGGTGAACCAGATATAGCTGGTATTTTCAGCGCGGCTTTAATGCCATTGAAAGATATGAAACATGCAGATATTTTGGACCAGTATGAAATGAACATGGCTGATGGAAATATAACACCTGACGTTCTAGAACATTTATCTCAAAGAACTACACAGAACCATAGAGATGGTATATTTGGTGAAGAGTTTAGAAAGAAAGTTAGGGAGAGAGAAGGAAGAGAACCTATTGTACATGACCTTGCAAACGAAAGTTTACAAAATGTCATAAAAACTTACTTTGCAGACAATGAACCGAGAAGGGATGAATATTTAAGAAAACTCAAATGGACAGTACCAAATGAAATGTTAGTATTGAAAAACATGTTCCTTGACAAAATAAAACCAACTACAGAAATAAACGACGCAAGACTGAAAGATTGGGTAGAAGCTTTCCCATTCACAAAAGATATAGTTGGTAACATGGAAAGAAAACCAGAATGGCTACAAAAACATATATTTGGAAACGAGCATATTCCATATGGACAGGCACTGTTTGAAGAGCTTGAACCGGAAACTCAGGAAAGAGTCATGCAAACAATACGCGAAGACTCAAATACAGACTATGACAAACTCTTTCTAGGATATAGGTTACCTGAGATGGGCGACCAGAGCCAAAAGGCAAAAAGGACATGGGAAATTTGCAACATACTAGATGAACATAATGCAAAGATGCAACAACTTCAAGCAGAGGGCAATGAAGGAAAAAGAAGAGTTAAAAACTCAGTCAGGAAGAAAGTAAAGCTTGGTCCACGTGGGTTCTATTATGACATATAAATCCAACTATTCTATATTTTTACTCATATGAAATGTACGCCGCTCAGAATATAACGCCAACAGTTTTGGATGCTATGAATGGAAATGTTTCCGAATGGTATAACGAATGCGACAATGCCATTAGAAGGTCAGAAATAGTTCCTGGAACTTACGAATATACAACTGCTGTTTCTTATGGAAACGTAGGTGAGTTTGGAGAAGGTTCTTCAACAACAGTAGATATTGCTTGCGACAGGTTTCATATAATTTCTATTGACAACTCTTTCTTATACGTGGAACAAGACATTGAAATAAAACCTTCTGCCAAGTTGTCTGACAAGAAAGGTTGCAATGGAATTTTCTATGTCGGATACCAATATGCTCCAGAAGTTTTCATGGGATATAAGATATATTCTAACTCTGACTTAGTTCAAACAGTAACATGGGCAAACTATGAATGGTTCGCTTTGAGAAACTCAGTACAACCACAAGCTAGAGAACAAACAGACCAGTATGCAACATTGAGAAAATAAGAAGACTTGACCCTAACGTTCCAGGAGTTTATGTTAACCTTTCTGGACAAACTGCAGCAGCAGTAACCAAAGTAAAATTGAAACTTAGAGTTCCTTTGTCATCTTTCCTCATCTTCAGGTTTTTAAGATACTTGCCAAACTGGGCAGGAAAAATTTCTATCGAACTTACTCCAAGCAAAAATAACTTAGTCATTGCACCAACACAAGACCCATTCACTCTTACAGACGTAAAGGGAGCAAATCAAACGTCATTCGCCGAATTTTGCAAAGACAAAGTTGACTTAGACTTTGGTTTCTCAAACCTCAACACTGAAGTAAACTATTATTTCAATGCTGCTGGAACTGCTTGGGACCCAGTTAAGTTCACATGCGAAAAATTTGAATGCAAGAGAATAGAAAGCAGACTTGCAGTCTATATGTTGGACCCAGATATTTCAAATGCTTTAGCTGCCAAATATATTGCAGTTCCACTTATGTTCCCTATACACCAAATATCTGTCAAAGACTTTGCAGGTGAAGTTGGAAACCAAAGTGCTGACCCAGGTGCAAGAACAGATATTGCTTAACAACTGCAATGAAACATGCAGATACTATGTTTGTACTGTTCAGACGAACTATAAATGACTATTCTTGCTTCTACAACCCTGGTATTAAATACCATATAAACATAGATGGCAAATACTATCCAAGAGAAGAATATTCTACAGTTGAGGATATGAGGTCATACAACTTGACATTAGATGCTATGAACTTTAACAACAACTTCACAACAACCATTAACCCTGAAATGCAAAGTTCTATTATGCCATATGTGAAAGTATGGACCCATACAGGAGTCAAAAACTCAATATACAAATGGAGACCGTTCAAACTTTTGGCTTGGCATTCCATTTGCTGACTCAGAAGACTTTATGGGTGGTATTTCAACTGTTGGTACAGTTCAAATACAATATACTGGTGACAGAGACGGTCCAATGAATTGAAAGCAAAGAAGTTTACAAAACCAATAGCACTTTTCACGGAAGATGCTCTTTTGAAGATTCGTTCGATGAAACCTGCTGGGGCTCCTCAGATTGGATAACGACAGCTTCCATCGAGCAGATTTTGGCAGCAGGTCAGTAAGTTGTTCTTGAACTGACTTCTCTCCGTCAAATATTGACAGTACGCCAGTTTTGACATAAAATTGTATTATAAACTTACCTTTAGAAATATCGGTCAGTTTTTGTTGTTATATTTTTGTCTGCTTCAAGAACTTTCACCATCTCGGTTATACCAACTTTCTTTGCTTTATGAAATATTTTGGTTCAGCAAAGACTGCTATTCTATAACATTTTCCATTGTTTGTATAAAGAACTATTCTGTCAATGTATTTGTATTGTTTGTGTGTGTAAACTTTGTTCTGCTTCAATTCGAAGAGATACTCAAATACGTCCATCTTTTTATTCTAAGTAAAATGTCATTTCCGAAAAATAGAAGCGTAAGTGTTTCAAAAGGTTTAATGGCGGTGGCAGATGTGAAGTTAAATTCACCAACTCAAACAAACAGTCAAAGTGTTGTTGTCAATGTCAAAGAAAGAGATGTTGAAGTGGGGAAACCATACGAAGACGAAGATGGTATAACAATAGTTCCTGTAAAAGAACAACCAACATATCCTGAAGTTAGCAGAGACTTAAGTTCTGTTGCAGATATTCGAAACGACTACCAACAACTTAAAGACAAACTTAAAACTCAGGAGAAGATTTGTCAAGCTTTGGGTATAATGTTAAACTTGGTCGAACACAACCCTGTAAAAGTGAACTCATATGTCATCGCACCTCATGAAGTTTTGAAAGAACTATTGAAACTTTTGACAGAGGCAGACGATATAAACATCAAAGAAATAGAACCCGACATTGCTTGCTGTGGTGTTTCATATAATGTCATTGACAAGATATACGTTATGAAAGGAGGTGAAACGTTGAACTTAAAATATAGTTTCCCAGACGTCATAAAAATATTTGACGACCACAACATTTCATTAAAATTTATTTGCTAAGTAAATGGCAGAAGACATATGGTTTATACTATTACGACTAAAAACCCTGAGTCATATAATTCTATAACAACAAACTTACAAAGTCCTCAAGGACGATATTGTAAACTAACCTTAAACACAATGACGACTAAAGCCTGTTTTGCTCTTTTGACACCAGAAGACTTTATTGTTGTGAATGGTAAAAAATACTTTTGAAGATACTTACTCAGATATACCACCAACAGGTTTTGTTGACTTATTTAATACTTTAAGGACGGATGTAACATGTGCTGCAACTAGAGCAGGTTTCATTATGTTTGGATGTCCGACTGAGTTTAGTATAAACGATATGAGCTATAATACAAAACTTATATCTGGTTTTTACTACCAACAGTTTCCTATAACAGGAAAAGGTGTCATACAAGGAATGTCTGTTCCATTGACTTTAAGTACACCTATTTTATATATTGTTTCAAACTTAGGTTCAAAGTGCTATTCGAATGTCGACAGAAACTACTATGACCAAAAGATACTCATGCGTATAAACAACACTTTCTCTGCTGGTTTGCCTATTGTTCATTCGAATGCAGAGTTTTCAGCTTTAGTAAACTCAAACACTTTAGCAAACATAAACTTAACCTTAGTTGACGCAAACTTTGTTCCTGTAAAACTATGTTTATTAATGTATTTCAATGACGGCAGAAAGTTTCGAATTGGAAGATGCAACTGGTGAAAGTATTGTATTACAAGAACAACTTCAACAACAAATAGCTCAAGAACAACAAATGGAACAAATGCAACAATGAACAACAAAGTCAAGAATAAAAAAAATATTTTTTTTATTTTTATAAAAATGTACAGAATAGACGTTTCAGATTTTTATGACTTCCAAGCGTTCAGAAATATGTGTCCATTTAGAGACTATAACAAAGCAGTCGAGAATTTGAAACGTTTAGTCATTTATGTCGACTCTGCCCCAGAATGTTATGTATGAAAGAATGGGATGTTGTCTTTAACAAACCAAGACAATAGTTTCAGAACAAGAATGTAGACAGAAACTTAAGAAAATAAAAGTCGTACAAGTTGGCATGAAGATGTTAGATGCTTGGATATCTTATTGTCAAAGTTAGAAGATTTTTCAGTTCGATATAAAGTTCTATACACCTTCTCCAAACTTCTATTCTATCTTCACTGGATATAAATACGAACAAGTAGAATGGAAAGAAAATATTATAGAAGCTTGGTTAGACCATGTCAAAGAAATTATATGCAATGGAAACGAAAAAGTTATGAGTATATCTTATGTTGGTTTGCAAACATCTTACAACATCCAAGTGCTAAAAATGAAACTGCTCTCATTATAATTGGAAAACAAGGAACAGGTAAGAACACATTCTTTACAGATATCTTATGCAAACTGTTAGGGCTATTCGAACCCGAATATGACAAACTTAGAAAACATCTGCGGTAAATTTAACTCTTCAATAGAGAATATGAAACTTATAGTATGTAACGAACTTCAAAGTATAGATACAACAAAGTTTTAAACTCAGATGCTTTGAAGAGTCTTATAACAGACAAAGTTGGAGTTGTTGAAAGAAATATAAAGACCAAAGAGTTTGTGAAAATGTTGCAAACTTCATTATGGTTTCAAACAATGCTGTTCCGATGAAGTTAGAAAGTTCTGACAGAAGATATGTAGTTGTCAGAACGTCAGAAGCTCATATGCAAGATACAGAATATTTTGACGACTTAGCAGAAAACTTATGACACCTAACTTTTACAACCACTTGTTCTCATATTTTATGACATTAGATATTTCTAAGTTCAATCCAAGAAATTCCACACATACCGAAGAGAGACAAACATTGTTTAGAAAGCAAACAAGAGTGTATATGAACTGTTTATAGATGAGACTAACTTTGAGTGTTTAGATGAAAGGTCGTTGTACGATGAATATAAACAATATTGTCAAGAGTATGGTTATATGACAGCGTCTAAACGAACATTCTTGGCAAATGTCAAAAATCTTTTAGATGTTCAGAATGGTGTATATACAAAGAAAAATTTTTCTGATAAATTTTAAAAAAATATTTTTTTATCCGATAGAAAAGATGACGAAATATATTTCAGTAAATTAGTACATGACAGAAGTCAAAGAAGAACTAGACCCATTCGCTTATTTGAATGTTTACTTCTACCATTTTGAAAAGTCTACATTTGACAAAGTTTGGAACATCGAACCAGTTAAGTTTGCTATTGTGACTAAAAATGGTGCGAAATTTGAAGACTTAGACATAGAAGGTTTGTTAGCAGTCAAAGAAAATTTTGACAGAAGGTTCTCAAACCTTAAAGAAGGCAAAGCATACAAACTTGTTATACCTTATGAACCAAAGAAAGCAGACGACTATGAATATTATGAGTCTAAAGTTGTAGAAGTTCAAGGTAAATTGGGTAAAAAGATTTTAGAGTCTAAACCAGTGTTTGCTCCTAAAGAGGAAGAGAACATTGACATTGACCCAGAAATGTTCTAAAAATAAAATTTTATTTTTACATGTCAAATTTCTTTTTCTCTGGAACTGGCTCTGGTTCTTTCTTCTCTTCTTCTACTTTCTTTTCTTCTACTTTCTTTTCTTTCTTTTCTCTCTTCTTCTTCTTCTCTGGTGGAGTTATGTCAAATTTGGCGCAACCATATTTATGTAAAAGTTCTTTGTCCTTTAATAGCTCTTCTATTCTGTTTTCTATTTCATCTTCAAGAACAGCGCATGTGCCTTCTTTGCATTCTAAGAACTTTTGTTGGACTTCATCTTTCCAATCGGCGTCATCTCTGTCAACAAGTCTGTCATTGACAAACTTAAAGACTTCTCTGCCTAATGTTTTATGGTTCTTGTCATATTCCCAGAAACAGAACTTTAGAACAAATTCACCTTTCTTGTTTACACTATGTAAGATTTTATGGTCGACAGATGTTTTGCTGTCAAAAAGTTTGTCTCGAATATAGATAGCGAAATCGCTAGACATTTTCTAAAAGATAAAATTTTTAATTTTTCTAAAAATATGTTAGAAAAAAAGTTTGCTGACATTGACAAGAAATTTGAGAATGTTTTAAACAAGAACAAGAGGAAGTTAGAAAATGCTCAGATAAAACCCATACATGACAAGTTCCTATTTGCTCAGAATGGTATAACAGGTCTAATCGCACCACCTGGGTCGGGTAAGACTTTCACTTATCTTAAAATGGCTGCACAACAACAAGAACTAGATGAGAAGAACCCATTCTATGAGTTAGTAGTCATTTGTAGTACTTCTGGTCAATTTGACCAAACCGTAAATTCGTTCAAAGATATTATAAAAAAGTCTAAGTTAGTATGTATAAAAGACTCTGAGTTGTTAGATTGGATAAAGAAGTACCAAAGAAGAGTTTTGAAGTACAATGCTATAAATGAGTATATAAATTCGAAGTTTAAAAGACCCAAATGAGGAAATGCAGAGAATATTAGAGAAGAAACACTTCAGAAACAAACAGAAAGAGATAGAATACATTTCGAAGAAATTGCAATCGTACGATTGGAAGACTTACCCTCATAGATGTCTTCTTATTTTAGATGACTTTGCTTCTCATCCTTTGTTAAAGAACAGAGAACAAGACATGTGTCGAATTCTTAAGAAGCTCAGACACTTTAACATCTCTGTTGTCATTTGTGTACAGACAGCAAAGAGTTTAAGTAAGGATGTAAAGAGAATACTTACTGATATCATACTTTTCCCTGGATTGTCCGAAGACGATTTCATGGAACTTATGAAAGAGTCCATGGCAGGTAAGTTTGACAGACATGAACTATGGGAGAAGTACAAAGTCATACAAGACCCTCATACTTCTTTCAGAATTCACATCTACGCGAACAAAGTTCAAATTGTAAAAAGTCAATAAAAATAATGTTTAGGGTAGATGGGTATATCTAACCCGATATCTACCCTCTTTTCTACCCCAGTTATTTTATAAACGTTTTACATGGTAAACGTTATTTTTAAAATTTTGTGAAAACTCAACGGTTTGACACATGCCCTAAAAATTATTTTACTCAGAATTTTGTGCTGAATTCAATAAAAATATATTTTAGGGTAGAAGGTTAGATATACCCTCTTTTCTACCCTCTTTTCTACCCCAGTTATTTTATAACCGTTTCACATGGTAAACATTGTGAATTCGTGAAATTCTAAACAATTTCGTAGCTTCTATTTCTTCTGTCAGTACATCGAATGTTTTAACTATGCCGAATGTTTCTTTATATTTCTTCTTGACATCAGATAGAAGGAAATCGTCAGCTGTTGGATAGTTTTTGTTCAGAAATGTCAACATGTCCATTTTATCTTCTGCTGGTTTCTCTACTTCTTTCTTTAAGTCAGCATAGTCGTTTCGCATACGTTCTATCTCTTTGACGGAGTAGTTATATTTCCTCATTGCTGCTTTACATTTTGAACATTGTGGGTTCATTTTAGCATTGTACATTGAAACCTTACCTGCTAGTATGACTAAGGCGTCAATTGCTCTCTTTAACTCAAAAGTTGCGGGTTTTATCTGTTCATTCCATACCTTACCTCTTCTGTCTTTATCTCTTATCTGCCATACACATTTTGCAACTAACGAAACAAAGTTGTCGTAGGTCTTAAACTCCCCAGATTTGTATATGTCAGAGATGTTCTTATATACCATATCGCAATCTTTGTCCATGACTTTGTGGTTGCAATGAAATCCAAGAAACTCATAGTTTACCTTTCGTATGAACTTCTTTATTTCTACTGAGTCAGTTGCTTTGACTTCTATTTCATCGAATTCTGGAATAGTAAGCTTTTGTTGTTGGATTTCAGGAAGTTTAGGTAGATGGTCAATAATATCCTGCATTTCATAAAGATACTGTTCATTTGTTTCATCTTTCGCACTACAGTCTAAATTACTTGTTAAAAGTTCCTGCTTTATCTTCTGGATTTTTGTTTCGAAAGTATATGAAGAAGGAATGAAGCTTTTCATCTCTACTAACATTGACGTAGGATTCATGACTAACGAGTTTGGTGCTGTTGTTGCTAACATGTTCTTACAATAAAAATAAAAAAATATTTTTTTAAAAAAACCAACTTTATTTTTTATTTCGGGAAAACTCATGACAAATTCAAGAGGGTAGAAAAGAGGTTAGAAAAGAGGTTAGATATACCCTTCTACCCTAAAATATATTTTTGGGTGTAAATTTCATGACAAATTCAAGAGGGTAGAAAAGAGGTTAGAAAAGAGGTTAGATATACCCTTCTACCCTAAAATATATTTTTGCTGAATTCAGCAACAAAATTCAAATTGTAAACGGTTTAATAGAAAAAGTGTTATTTTTTCATGTCCGAAGACTCGAAGGTGCAACACTTCCAAAATACCGACGAACTCAGAAGAGCAGCATGGCAGTATCTTCTTGACAACTTCTTTGAGTTCTCCAGGTACACCTTGGAAAATGCTGAAGAACTCCGACACAGAGAATTTGGAGAAATTGCACTCCAATACTACCTTGACAAACAAAGGGTAAACAAAGGGTAAAATAAGACTAAAAACTTAACGTTTAAAAAGTGACATTTTTATGAGCTCCGAGTCACCGAGAAAACTTGGTCAGATGTTAGCAGCTTACTTCCCTGAGGAGGATGGAAGCGTTACATACGTAAGGTTCAAAAACAACGAACCTGGAATTGCGTACCAAATTCGCAATTACATGACCATGGAAGAGTACGAAAGGTTCCTACAAGAGAAACCAGCTCTAAACAACTCAGAAAAGAAAGAGTAAAAAGTTTAACTCGTAATTGTTTATTTTTTTACTTGTATGGGCAAGCTGCAAGAATGAAGTCAACTATCTCAGTCTTTGTCTTGACCATTGGACTGCTCTTGCGAGTACGTCTGTTTTGCGGTCTCCAGCTGGTGTCTGACCTTCGTAATTGCGCATGTTCTTGAGAGCTCCAGTTGTAAATGGTTGTAGGATGAAGAGTCTCTCAGACTGCTTGAGGTAGTCTTCACGGTCACGAACCGAATCTGTGGTACGAGTCGAATCGGTCGATTTGAGGGAAGAGACTGAAAGCCTGTCGTCTTCCATAGGGGCTGTGGCATACTCTTTGCGTAAGCGGTTCAGACCTTCTTCGAACTCTTGGTCTCTCTTGGATTGAGATTGAGATTGGAATTGCTGGGGTGGAGCTTGCTGGAACATCCAAGGGTTGGGGAAGTAAGGCATAGGCTGAGGAGGGTAGTTCGGGAAGCCTTGTAGTGGAAATTGGTAGTAACCTTGAGGTGGAAATTGGTAGTAATTTGGTGGAGGTACTTGCTGGAACTGAGGTGCAGGGGCTGGTGCTTTAGGTTCCTCTGGTTTGGGAATGGACTCGGTTGGTGGGACGTCGGACATTGTCTTGAAACAGTACAAATATTGTTCTGAAGCAGTGCAAGTCTTGTTCTGAAAAAGTACAAGTATTGTTCTGAAGCAGTGCAAGTATTGTTCTGAAAAAGTACAAGTATTGTTCTGAAAAAGTACAAGTCTTGTTCTGAAACAGAAAATTTTTCTCACAAATTGAGAGCTTTTACGGGAAATTTGTTCTGAAAAAGTACAAGTCTTGTTCTGAAAAAGTACAAGTATTGTTCTGAAACAGTACAAGTATTGTTCTGAAAAAGTACAAGTATTGTTCTGAAACAGTACAAGTATTGTTCTGAAACAGTACAAGTATTGTTCTGAAAAAGTACAAGTATTGTTCTGAAGCAGTGCAAGTCTTGTTCTGAAAAAGTACAAGTATTGTTCTGAAACAGTAGCAATGGACGAGGTCGAGCCATTAGATGAGGCAATTTACCTTATAGAGATAAATGAAGTTGTTAAGCAGTACTTGGGCAAGGACAAAGCCAACAAGTCCCTCGGCTTCTGGTTGTCTGGAAGAGGTGCGCTGAAAATCGAAATTGAAACCGGAATTCCAATTCAAATACCAGAAAAAACTCCTGTAGACGACATAAAGGAGATGAAGAAAGAAGCTCTTCTCAAGTTCTTTGCAAAGCGCCCATGGATACAACTTCCAAACAGAGAGAACCCAACTGTACGAATTGCCCAAATTCTCAGAGGACTCTTACACTTCTCGGGTCGGGCGTTCTTCATAAACACAGAGGGCGACATCGTACCTTTACAGTAAACATCTCATTTTAACTTCACTTTTTTATGTTTTTACTCACACTCGTACTCAACAGGTATGTGTACACATATGTCAACTGTGAACCTTGTATTGACCGGTCTTCCTGCAAATGCAAGTTCGGTCAATACACAATTTATGGTGGCAAGAAAGACAGTGGGGAATGTTATTCTGACATCTGTTGTTGCGCTCGAGAGAGAATTGAAATTCCAGACCCAACTCCAACACCAACACTCAAGTTGCCAAAGACTCATGTGAAGAAGAAGCCTTCTGGTAAGTTTCTTATAGCCATATACATGGCACGCTTTGAGTAAAAACATTTTTTTCATTTTTTGAATGAAGCAAGTTAAATTCGTCCCACACCAATCTCAATGGACCGATGAAGAGTTTCAAGCCATGGTTGAAGGCGTTGAGAACGACATAGACGGCGAACTTGAAGGAGCTCAAACCACAATTGCAACCAAAATTGCACAAGTCAAGGAACAGATAGCTCCACTTAAAGCTACCAAAGCTACTCTTGACCTCATGGATAGTTACCGTTTAGATGTCAAGAGTGGAATAAGACAATTAAAATTAAAACTTCTAAACTACGAAGCTATACTCCAAAAGTTAGCAGAAATGAGAAGACTTTACCAGAGCTACTTACATGTAAGGGACTTACCTTCAAGCAGTCCGACCAAAGATGAATTTTCTGACATTGTCCCAATTTTGTCCGAAAGTCAGCTCAGATGTTTCGAACTGCTCCCAACATATCCAGAATATGAACGTTTGCCTGAACTCTTCCGCAATCTCAAAAAACGTTTTTTGGTTCTCATGTTCGAAACTTTTATCGGAAGAGACAACAAACGTTCAGAAGAAGAACAAGATATTATTTTAAACTTGTTGTATGACTTAACCGTCATAACAAGCTTTTTGAAGTAAAACCGTCATTCTCAAACCACTTCATTTTTTCGATGTCCGAACAAGCACCGAAGCCGAACACAATGGCAGATGTCCTTTCAATGTTGCCAGACAAGCGCCCAGTTCAAATTCAAATTTTGAATTTGAAAGCTCATCTGACAAACACCGTTAAGACTCTCCAAAGTAGTCTTATGGAAGAGATGAAGGGACTTAAAGGTGAGTTCCTCATGAACCAAGCTTCCAATGAGAAAGTCCTGAACGATTTGACGGAAACCTTGCGCATTTACGCGAGAGAGAACCGAGACCTTGCCAGACTCATCTACCGTTTCTTCGAAGAGATAGATGCCATCTGGAAGGTACTCGGAAAGGACAGAACCTCCAACACCGTACTTCGTGAACACAGAATTGCCGAAGGAATTGTCGAGGAAGAAGAGAAACACGAAGAAGAGGAAGAGGAAGAAGAGGAAGAAGAGAAACACGAAGAAGAGGAAGTTTGGGCAACCCTTGTTGCCGATGACACTTACGAAATTTCCCAACCCTACCCATACCAAATCCGCAACAAGGAGACAGGCAAGGTTCTTACCCCAGTTCTCAACAACTTGGGACACTTGAACCTTACCCTTCGGAATTACGGTTCAATCTCCATGGGCAAGCTTGTCGCAATTCAATGGGTTCCAAATCCAAACAAGAGGACGAAGGTCAGACACATTGACGGTGACAAGCTCAACAACCGTAAGGAGAACCTCGAGTGGTTCTAAGAGTAAAAAAATTTTATTTTAGGGGGAAACCCCAAGTAAATTTAAGTTTTTAGTTGCGTAAGCGGCTTAAATTAAGGATAATTTGGACAAGTAGTTCCTGACCTCTGAATTGGACTCTTTCGTCATCCCAGTTGCGTAGGAGGTCGTCCCAGAGGAGTTGGTAGAATTGCCATTCCAAGGACGATTTGTCCTCCCAGGCATTGAGGATGTACTGCTCGTAGAGTCTCATGACCTCTGCCTTGCACCAGACACCCTCTCCCTTGGAACGTAAGGCTTCTTCGAAGTGCTCGAATGCGATTGGCTGCGGGACCATCCGAAATGACACTTTTTGTACGTTTGGTCAATGTTCGTGTCTCGTGCCATAGTCGACGAAAATACAAACAAACAGGTTATATATGAGTTTGAGACCAAGAATGGTGTAACTCGACCTGTCCGATTCAAATTCGAATAAAAATTTTTTATTTCATGCAATGTTTTATTTCTGTGCCGTCTTCAAGTATACCCCAATACTTACGCTTGGAGAGGACATGAACTTCGGTGAAAATTTTGTCCAATTTGAATTGACCCATCTTTTCACCGACCATTCCCATTTCAATGAGTTTGTTGTATCCTTCTTCGTTCGTCATGAGTGCGTCAATGTTCTCATAGTAAACCTTCACTTTGGATTTGACTTCGGAGAAGAATTTGTTGTAGTTGTCAAGGACTGCCTTTGCGAACTGAGGGTAAGACCAATGTTCGACAATAGGTTTTAATGTGGTTACTAAGCCACTTTGACCTTGAGTGAATTCGTACTTCAAAACAAAAGGAGAAAACCTTTCAACAAAGTTGTCGACCTTCTCATAATGTTTACTCTTCATCTCTTGAGGTTTTTTAATGGAATATCCCCATGTCGAATTCATAAGCAATTTGAGTGTCATTGCAAGTTTGGGGTTTGAAGCTTTCCTAATATCATACAGTTGTTGTATGACTTTTCCAACTGTATAGTTCCTTCCTGGGAACTCACCATCTTCGTTTGGAATTCCAGTCGGGATATATTGGACGAACCTCATGTATGCAGCGTTAAGGTCGACATAGTATATCTTTTCGTTTGAGTCGAACTTGTCGCAACCAATGGGTCCAGTTCGTGGAAATTCAAGTGAGTCTCTTATCTTCTGAGAAACTTCGCCTGCTATCTCATAAACATCGTCGAAGCAACCTGTTTCATATAAAACCTTCTGACCTAACTCAGATGCTCTCCAATACAATTTGACGTCAATTGGATGTCTCAATGGAAGTTTGTTTATAGCATCTTGAAGTTCTTGCAACCTCATTGGAAGTTCTTCTGGTTCAGGTTGGTATCCGAACAATCCAACTCCTTTTGGAACAGTGTACTTCTTTTGTGCTATAACTTTGTCTGGAACAACTTTTGGTCTTGCTAACAATGAAAAGTTTGTTTCGTCTTTTGGTACAAAAGTTTCTGTCAGCTTGTCATCTGGAATTGGTTCCAACAAACCTTTCTCGAAAAGAATGTTTACAGCTCTGACAATGTTGCACTTGCCTTTTCCGAACAATGGGTTTGTAAGACTTTCGTTCAACATGAAGTGGTTGTGGACAATTACAATCTTCAACCATGGTAAGTCTTTGTCAACAACATAGTCGTCATGTGAAGAACCTTTAGCTGTAGGTATGTTGACTCGGATATTGACATTTGCCAACGGTGCAATTTTGCCAATTGACCTCTGAGAATGTACCTTGTCTTCACACATGACTCAAGATACTTCATCTTCTCATCTGTAACAAGACAGAGTTCCTGAGACATGTAAGAATGCAAGGTTCATTGACAATTGTTTCAATTGAATTGTAAATTCCATACCTTGTCAATCAATGTCAGACTTATTTATGAACGGGAAGTATCCAGCATGTTGTCTGACTGCTTGAGGGTTAGGTTGGTACCATTCAAATTTTACACTTGCAATTCCTTCAATTGCATTCAAAATGTCTGAGTCTGAGTCAACCATTTGTTCTCTCTTTGTAGTCTTGAAAGCGTCAAGAAGTTGTGCGGCTGTTGTGACATTGCCATGTGCATAGTAAATGTGACCGTCCAAATCTGTTACGGTTAGTCTGAGATTGTATCCTTTCTTATTTCCGTCTTGTATGGCAGCAAGTACTCCCATGAAGCCTTCTTTGTTCTTTCCTTCGTCAAAGTTTACTGTAAAGGTTCGACCAGATGTAATTTGACTTCTAACTTCACGGTACTTTTCATATGCATATCTTGTTCTTTCCATGGGAGCATGTTTGTCTTCACCTTTTCCTTTTTTCCTTCTCAAAGGATGCAATTGTTCGTCATGTTTCCAATAGAATCTGGCAAAGCCGTCGTGTCCTTCAACTTGCGGTTCAGAAACATCGAAAGGCATGTCCATAAGACGTTCTTCTTCTAACCTCTCTAGTCTGTTTGGATAATTTGCGCGTGCTGTTTCCAATTCCATTTCGTAGCGAAGACCAGACAATTTGTCATAGACTTTTATGGGTCTTCCCTTCCTATATTTAAAATTCTTCGAAACTTTCCAACCATATCTTTCTAACTCTGCTTTTATTCTAGCAGACTTTCTATCCATTCTATGCGGGGGCATTTTTATAAAAATAAAAAAAATATTTTTTTCTTTACTTTACGTAACCACCAGCTACCAGAAGCCTTTGACGCCAACCCATACCAGCTAATGAAGGTTGACTAAACTTTGGTTTTGGTTTTTCTTCTTCTATCGGTTTTTCGTCACTTTTCGGTTCCTCTGACTTTACCTCACTTGCAGGTATGGTTGTGTCGTTAACATCTTCATAAATATCATATGCCATTTGTTTTTGTTTTCCTTTCAACTTTTTGTGTTTGTTGTAAAGTTTAGAATATTTCGACTCTAAAATGAATGTTCTATAATGAACTGTTGGTCGGTGAAGTATACCTTCCCATCTGTTGTCTCGAAAGCTCCTTCAGACTTCAATATTTTATTTGTGAGAGTCTGTTTCTTTTTTGAGATACTAGCCGTTCCATTTCTATGAAAAGTGACTTTGTAGTTAGGGTTTGTATTTCCAGACCTGGCACTTTCTATTATTGAATTTTTTCTTCATCTGTAAGTTCTTTGACAGGTTTTGACAATGGTTCTGAACTTTTTGTTTGTGGTGTCAAATCTACCGTTTCAACTTCTTCGGTCATTTCATCTCAGTAAAAATTTTAGTTTGGTTTGTTTTCAACTGGTTTTTAGGTTTTTAAGTCGGTCTAAAACTTCTTGAGGTATAGGAAGAACTTGACAAACACGTGGTTGTGTAACTGCTGGAAGCCGACAAATCCATCTTGAACCCATTTGTCTCAATGCTGTATTGTTCATTTCATCTCAGTAAAAAAATTTACATTCCCCACGTTTGAGGCGGTTGAGGTTGGTTATTGTTTACCCACTGTTGTGCATGGTTATATCCTCTGTTAAAGAATCTTTCACCTTGGTCCATATAGTGCCCTGCTTGGTTATAGTAGTCATTTGCTTTGTTATAGTAGTTTCCTGCTTGTCTTCCTACATTGTCCATCCATCCTTGAACTTTTCCTCTTGTTTCAGGATTTGGAATAAGATTTGTTGCATCTCGTGCTACCTCCCAACCTTTCTGTACAGTTTGTATAATAGGTTGTGCTTTCTCTTTAAGTATACCTAATGTACTCAAAATCTTCCTTCCAACTCCAAATACACCTCTGGCTATTGTTCCCACTGCGGGCAAAAATCTGGATGCAACTCCTGCTAATGCGCCAAATAAACCCATTTCTTATAGGGTAAAAAATGACGAATCCAAACAAGGACCCCTATGTTTCTAAAGCGACAAAGAAAGCACTCATGATAAAAATCTTTAGTTCAACACCAAATGCTTGGTTTATGGATATCTTGGAAAACATTCCGAGGTATAGAGAAGATGGACCACCATACTGGCTAATATTTGTCGGTCAAAACACAAGATACTGTGAAGCCATACCATTATGGTCCAAAAATATTTTAGATGTGAAAACTGCTTTGACAATATTCGTTGACAAATACCATCCAACAAAACTGACATCTGACTGTGAAAGTTCTTTCAAATCAGATGATATTAAAACTATCTGCGTTCAAAAAATGTAAACCAATATTTCATTGTCGACCAAAACCATTCTGCTCTTGGTGTCATTGACAGTTGTATAAAAATCTTAAGAGACTTAAACCAACCACAAGGTGGTGAAGCAAATGAAATGTCATATGACGACAAGTACAGACACTTTCCATGGCAAAGATGAGACAAGTTTTAAATATTTACAATAGCCGTAAACAAAAAGGTTTGGGAAACCACTCCCCCGAAAAATGAAAACAACCCTGACTTAGAGAAAGACTATATATTTAATAGTTTAGTCAAAAGAGACAAACAAGAAAGAATGCCGGGCTTCAAACTTCAGAAAGGTGACAAAGTAAAAATAGAAATACCTAAACGCGACCCATATGAAAATACTATTGACTATGACAACAATGGGAACCCGACAGGTACTCGCATTCGTGTTCGTAAAAATAGAAGAAAGTATACAAGAGAATATTATGAAGTTTTAGGCAAACATGGCAAAATGTACACACTGCAAGCAGAAGATAAAACTACTATTGTCAGACCTCGTTTCAAACTTGTCAAAGTTCAAGGTGGTATACTTTCAAAGACAGTTCCTAACAAATATAAGACAACTCCTGACCAATATGCTAAAGAAGTTGAAAATGACGACTAAGCAATTCTATACCATGCGTAAACTGTCATGTAAGGTGGCATGTATTCTTTACTTTGTCCCGTTGTTTGTGTATATCCTGAAACGCGATGTGTATGGCTTCCTCCTCCCTGAGTGTCATCCCAGTAACAATTTATAGCAAAATCAACGTCGTCTTTAACATCATATCCTTTACCTTTTGTCATTCTTGACCAATCCCAATATCTATGCTTATGCCAACCTTCTAGAGATGTAGTTAAATCTACGTAGTGACTATGCGCAGGTAAGTTTTCACCTGAAATCGTTTTACTTCCACCTGTTTCCTTTGAAGAGTTTGCACAATACAAAAACCTGTCGACTATTTGAGTCCAAGTTCCAAAACCAAGTACTACTTCTGGTCTGGTAGAGTTCATTGACGTATAAATAGAACCTATAGGATATACTGTTTGAAGTATTTCTGTCTTTAACGTTTGAAGCTCTGTTTTGTCTGCTTTTTTATATAACTTTTCTTCAAGTTCATTTACGTCAGAGATGCTATGTCTATGATATTTTTGTGGGTATGTTCCTTCTGTCCATGCGAAAATACGTTCTTTTGTTGCATCTACATATCCTTTTATCCATGTCGAGTCTGCTTTTGTATTCCTTAACTCTGTAACACCTTTCTCAAGCTCTTTCAACTGTTGTCCATCTTCCATTAAACCTCTGGTATGACTTGAAACCGTTTGTGCCAACATATCTACAGTTTCTTTGTCGGCTTTAAGGTCTAAACATCCTGAAACCCACCCTGTATTGGCTTTACCTTCTAAAATCTTCGATGTCCGTTCATGGTACCATTCAACCATTTTTTTAATTTCTTCATCTTTTTCATCCACATATTCCTTATTTGCCTTCTTCACTAACGCACTAGCCATAAGTCCCTTATCTACTTTCTCCTCTAACTCACTGTTGACATATGTTTTGTCAGCTTTCTTTTCAAGGCTAACGTTTAAGTCTGTTATTTCAGATATAGAATGTGTATGTCCAACGTCACTTTTCCTGTTTAAGGTTTCTTGTAAGTTTGTAATATTTGCAATGGTATGTGTATGAGTCTTTTTAGAATATTCTTTGTCAGCTCTTGTCACTTCACTTGACATTTTATTGTCAACATATGTTTTGTCTGCTAGTTCAGGATGAGTATGTTCTTTCGTTGCATATGTTGCATCTGCTCTGTCATGTTCTTCTTGAACTTTTTCAATGACATACTCTTTGTCAGCTTTGTTGTCAACATCTGTTTTCAAAAGAAGTTCATTTATAGGTTTCTCGTTTAAAGTTCCTTTTGTTGGATTTATACAGACAGTATGGTTCTTATTGTCTTGAAACAGAAACTCATCTGTCATTGGGTTTAATGTCAGTTTTAAGTTTCCTTCTTTCAATGACTCAGATATCTTAGAATAGTTTGAAAAGTTTGTTGTGTTCTTATTTAGAGCTTGCATAATGAGTTGTCGGTTGTGTTGTATTTCTCTCATAGACGCTGTTTCTTTCGACATTTTTATTCTAGATAAAATATGCTTCCAATAGAAAAAGAAAATTCAAGAGTTGCTACAACTAAACCATTAGATGAACTTTTTACGAATGTCGGTCAAAAGTTTGAGACAGAGACCGTAAAGCATGAAGGCTATCGTTTTGACTACCCATTAAGATGGCTAAGAGACCCATCTGTCACAAAAGCTATTGGCTTTCGTAGAATGAAGTTTGTGTCTGTAGAAGATAAAAGTTTTCCATTTATTGTAAGGTTTCATATAGATTATATATCTGAAGGGAAACGAAAAATGTGGGAAGAAATTGAGCTAATACAAGTTGACCTTTCATCTTCTCTACAGACTGCGTTAAAAAATATAGAAGATAAAATAAATTCATGTTATGCAAAATATGCTGATGAATATGCAAATACCGAGAGCACACTTTATGTGAGAATTGTATATGACAAACAAAATTCACAAGTGTCATTTCAAATCTACGAAGACAATCCAAAGAAAGACGAACAAATATATACAGAATTCACTGCAATGTCATGGTATTATTTGCAAAGAATGTTAAATCAGAAAGTCGAACTTCCTTTAGCAAATATTTACAGTCGATATGCAAGAGATGAACCATATTTATTTAAAGATGTTTTCGACCCAGCTGCTATTATAGTTCATGCTTCATTTTCTGGTGCACAAAACTCTTTTTTATGCTTGGCAAATGACTTTTACGAAAAACCTACAAAGTTATATGAACCGCCGAGTGGAAGTATTTCAGACTTTCAAGTATGGTTTACTACAGATGGAAGAAAAAGAATAATTCCATTATACCATGCGTTTTACTTAGAACTTAGTTTCATATACAACTACTATCGAACGGTAAAAATATAATTTTTTAATACGGTTGAGGTGTTGGATTTGGTTGCCAACTAGACTGTGGTGCAGGTTCAGGCTGTTGTATAACAGGAGCTTGCTCTTCTGGTTCAGGGTCTTTAGGTATAATACCAACGAACTGACCTACTCTTTTACCAATATTTTTGACTCCGTTCCAAATTCCTCTTCCTACGGTTTTTATTCCATTCCATATACCTCTTCCGACATTTCGAAAGAAGTTTCCAATACTACTGAAGAAACCCATTTTACTATATGTAAAAATCTAATGTCCACCTAGTCTCTTACGTTTCCTTCTGAGTTCCATAGCATTTTTTAACTGGAGCTCATACATTCTATTTCTCCTCTGGTAGAAAACATACTCTGGGTCAACTCCTGTGTTCGCGTCATCTGCATAGAGTTGTTTATATCCCACTTCAGGGTTTGTATAAAAAACTCTTTCCATCTCATATTTGCATACCATGGTGGTAAGCCTAACGCAGCGTCATTTGACATGGCAGTTTGCATTTGTACATCTGTTGGCACTTGACCATAGTTTGCCATTGCAGTTTGTATTCTAACTTCATTTGGAATATTCTCTGGGTTTGGTTGTCCAGGTTGCTGTGCATTCGCTAAGTTCTGTGCGTCCATTTAATATTAGATAAAAATATCTCTTACGAGTACATATACTGAACATTTGCAGGCATTGGTTCATCTTCATATTCTCTATATCTTTCTGCCACGTCAAATAAATAAATGACACAATGGAAAAAACCTAAAACAAGTAGTCCTATTTCAAACCACATTTACTTACTAATAAAATTTCTTTGTTATGACACTTTCTCCAGTTTATAGGACCTCTCTCATATTCTATCTTATCGTATCTAAACTCATAGTCATGTATGTCCTCTAACCATCTCATGACACTTTCCAAACCACTTTTATCGGATGTAAAGTAAAAGCATGGATGGTTATGTATAACGTCTAAAGTTTCTAAAGAGTCTCTCAAAGTCCAGTCTACTTGGTATTGAAAATCCCATGTGTTATAGAACGGCGGGTCCACTATAAAGAAAACATTTTCCTTGTCTTTATATTTTTCATACAACTCTGTCCAATGACATCTCACAAACTCTATACCCTCAATATATTTTTCTATGTCCTCTTTGAAAACATTTGTATAGTTAAGATATAAAACTTTTGACATAAGTGTTTCAATGTCATGAACTCTTATAGAACCACTATATAATAGTCTAGCAGATATACTATCCCAGTCTATATGTTCTGCTTTTTTCAAAACCTCTCTCACAATATTTTTCTTATCTAATGGTATACGTTCCATCTTACCTATAGGTATCTTTTCTTTTAACTCTTTCAATATATTATTTGTGTCTGGAATATGTTTGAGACGGTCCATATAGTTGTCGAAGTCATTGCATATAATCTTTGAGTCTGGGAATATTGTATGGCACAAATGGGATATATAGAAACTTCCACCGAACAAATCTACAAATGTTAGACCATTCGGTAGTTTCTTAAGTTCTCTCAATATAATATCTTTACATTTACTCTTATTTCCAAAGAACGGTAACGGTGGTTTTGTAAAATTCATTTATATATAATAATAAAAATGTTTTTACCCGAAAAGTGACAGAAAAGTGACAAAACATGTACGAAGAAGTCTTGAAAATTCAAGAGGGTAGAAAAGAGGTTAGAAAAGAGGTTATATCTAACCTTCTACCCTAAACATTATTTTTGTCTGATTTTACGAAGAAGTCTTGACAAAACATGAAAACATATATAATTTGTGAAAAGCTCCTGGAAGACCCGTATATAAGAACTTCATTTATACTAAACATCTTCAGGGCTAGAAGGCACGAAGTGCCTGGAAGCCCCACTACCTTTTTTTTTTTTTTTTTTTTTTTTTTTTTTTTCATTAGAATATTTTTGCCTTCATTATGAAACAAGTATTTCAATCATATTTCAATGACAAAATTGTTGTGTTTATTGATTATAAATTCAAATGAATGCTTCATCCTATGAAATACCCATTGAATTTTGATTTTGGAAAGATTGGGAGTATATAATCCAATACTTAATGTTATATCCTTATATTTTTCTCTTTCTAATCGAATTATGTTTCTGTTTTTGATATTACACGATTTTGAGCAGATTTTAAATGTAAAATCAAGTTATTGTCAATAATATATGTTTAAACTTAGAAAATAATCAAAAAGTTAGTAAATAACATTGAAAAACAAACATGTATAAGGGATTTTATTCTTGTGAAGAAACATAATTTTCTAATTCAGTTATCATCATCTGAATTTTTTCTGGAACATCTTCAGGAAAGGCTTCATATATATCATCTATAAAATCAGGATCCAGAAAAGCATCTAAAATTGCTTTTCCGTTTTGGACAGTAAATGAGTTACAATATTCAAAGATTTTATGTGCTGCTATTATTGCATCAACTTTGAATTGTACTGATGATGAAACTAGCATTTTAATTGTTGAAAAAACTATATCTTGGTAATTTTTGAGCAGAAAATCAACTAATTCTGTAATACTTGATGACATGCAAATGCATATCAATCTTCCTACAGAATTTCTTACTTGAAACACAGAATTCTCTGATAATCTAATAATTGATTCAAATAACTTTGATTGAACCATAATTTGGCACATTCTTGGGTCGTCTGTTAATATTATATTGCTCATCATATCAGATAAGTGAATTCCTTCTTCAACAGTCAAAGATGAGTTATCATATTCTAAATCTAAAATAGAAGGTTCTAAAACAAGTCCAGAAATTGTTTTAGAAATAATTCTGAGTGCAGAAGCACTTGAACTTCTCATTTTCTGGTCTTTAACTTGTAAATAAAAGGAAATTGAGTTGATTGAAACATCATTTGAAAATGCTTCAAGAAACTCTTGGTCATTAGAAGTAATTGCCATAATAATTACATAGACACATGAAGGATTGACTTGGTTAACTCTGCTCATGAGACTCATTGTAATATTAAAGAGCTGTGGTGGTGAAAAAATTGTTTTAATTGAATCAGGATTAAAAAGAGTTATATCTGCAATTAAATGAAGCCATGCTTCGATCAAACAGTTTCTTGATATTGTTATGTTTCTTTTCTCTTTTGTTTTCTTAGTTGCATCGATATCTGCACTCATTATTTGATAAATTACGAATAATTTTTGTAAAAATTTCTCATCAACAAATAAAGCACCAAATTCAGGGTTTTTGAGTATGATTATGTCTAATATGTTAATTGCATATCTGCAGCAATCTTTTTCTGTAATGGCGCTTGGATCTGGATTATAATTCATAAAATTCATCAAATAATTGAAATAATCTTGTGAAAATAGAGATTCTAATGTTTCTACTTTGAAGAATTCGACTTGGGATAAGTCTAAGTGTAAAAATTCTGAATGATCTTGGAAATTTTGACGAAAGTACATAGATTTGTTAAAGAAATTAAGATCTGTAAACTGTTCTGATCTAGTGAATGCATTTAAATTAATCATATCTTGTAAAAAATTTTCAATAGAATCAAATGATAGATCTTCATTAGGAGTTTCTAAAAAATAATCAAGTTCGGATTTGTAGTTACTAATTCTAGCTGAAAGCCCTTTATCTTGATTTGGATCTGCCTTTTTGTCTGTTATATCATCACATTTGTAATCATCAATCATATAAATGGCTTATAAAATATCAATTATTGGAATTCAATAATGAATTTAAATGATTTAAGCATATTGTATTCATAAGAGTGCAAAAAAACTCATAATTTATCACTGATATATTTTTTGCTTCAAATGAATCTCATACCAAGATTGTAATTGTATCAAAGCCAAAAGCATAGTAGATTTAATAGTATACTCCATATGGGCTGAATATCTTATCAAAAAATCTAATATTGACTGATTTTATCTGTTAGATATTTGTCAAGGAAAAACATTTAATTTTGACAAAACAAACGTAACAGACTTTCTCAAATTTATTCATAAAAAAATGAGTTCTCAATACGAGAATTTTCATGCTTATTTGCGATCAATTAATATTGGAGAGCCAAGTCCTTTCATCCCTCCATCTATATCAAAATATCCAGAAGGAATTCCGAACAAAGAAGATCTTCATGAAATTCCTCGTGATTTCACACAAGTTGAATTTGAATCTCCGAAATACACTAAGCTAGATCCAGATGAATTGAAAAAAGAATTCGTCCATTACGAAGTTAAGAAAATTACTTCACAAATTGACCATTCTCGACCTGATTCGAGCATTTATATGAACGAAATAGACTTAAATACCCAATTTACTAGTGTTAAAAACTTTATTAAATTCAAACAGAGCTTAGGAACGTATTATGATCTTAAATCAGCAGAGTTACAACTTCCTGAGCACATCAAGATGTGTGCTTGTCCGCAGTGCTTGAATGCAGCCGTTCCTAACTTCCAATATTGCGTTAATCATCTTCAAAAAGATCCGAAGTTTTCAAAACAGCATTTCATTGCACCAACTCCTCATAAGAAAGGTCCAGCTCAAAATGCATCTCAAAAATATTAAAATTTTTCGAGATTTCTTTCAAATGAAATTCAATACAAAAAAGCAAGCTCATTGGAGAAAAGCAATATGATTATCATTCATGAATATTTACAATAGTATTACAAATGATCGTTTAGATCTTTAATATAAGTTAAATTTCGTAATTTGTTAGTTGTATATAAAATAAACATTAATATAGATAGTAATAATATTCTATTGATCATCACCTTTGTTGTTCTTCTTCAAACAACTTTTTTTGAGAAAAATAATTAATTTTTCTTTGAAAACTTGGCCAAATGTTAAGAAATCTGTCAATTAATTGGTCGGGACAATTTTACGGACATAATTTTAGTAAATCTTATATGGATATTCTTTGCTTGGAGCAGGGAATTGTCCATGTTGTGCGGCATATAGTCCTATCTTTATAGCTCTCATTGTGTGTGTCAAATTCAACATAATTGGGTCAAATGTGTAATGATCATAATCTGGAGTTGAATAAGTGAAATATTTGATGCCTAATGACAGTGCTAAGCTTTGGAAACTGAACTCATTCCAGTTTAGTTGGGTAGTTACGACAACTGACCCTTTTGGCATAAATAAAATTCGAATTAAGTTTGTTCCTGTAATTGTGTACAAAAAGAGAATTCCGGTATGTGATATAGCTGCTTCTTTCAATGATGCAAACTCGTCTGTGATTATTTCCCATTTAATTTCAGGAAAAGTTAATTTTGCAGTTTTTGTAAGATTTTCAAAGTTTCCAATCCTCCTCTTTGATTCCTTAGCTCTGTTGTACATTACGTAGCGTGTTGCTGGAAGTTGTTTCAAATTAAAATTTTTGAATAATAATTTCGAAAGATTTCGAAATGCCGTTGCAGGATGTCTGAAGTACGTTGGTGGATCAAATACTGTATAAATATTTTTAGCGAAAATCCACTGCGACTCATTCAACATCAAAATTCTTTCATCTGGGAATCCAATGTCGTGAAGAATAAGGAAATTGTATGTATCACTATGTCTCTTGCCAATGACAATAGTGGATTTGCTCCAGTACTCCTGGGGAACGCACATAAGAGGACATAAACAATCTATAAAGAAATGACCGTATTCGCTACTCCACCAATGGCCAACGGCTACAACATGCTCATATACACCTAAAAATATACGCTCTTGGTCGTAATCATAAGTGAATGCTGGAATAAATTTTTTCTCTTTAATGAAAACATCTGATTCGTTTGCAAAAAGTATTGAGGAGCAAACATATAGGTTCTGTAGATGAGCAAATGTGGCTACAAGTGTTTTTGAATAATTAATTACGCTTTTTGTATTATTATAATTTAATAAAGTTGGTTCATTTAGTGAAAAGTTGTTTGGTACAGTGCAATCGATGATGAGACCGTTATGGTCTATTGGAATTGTTTCATTGTAACGAATAAATTTTTTATAGTGACAAGCAGGCATAATTGAATCATTTGTTGCAACGAGATGTCGAATTGTGTCTTCATAGTTGTTGAATATCGATGTTTCAAAGATAAGTCCAGCTGGAAAAATTGCACAAAATAAGAAAATAAACAGAACTGCGAAAGATACTGATCCTGGAATGATTACACTGACTAACTTTTGGTAGGATCGTGAGTTTAGCACTCTGTATATATAGATAAATTTTTTGTAAAAAAACATGAGAATTCGATTAATTTCCTTCATCAAATTTAAGAACAAAAAAAGTAAAACATGTGTTTTAATCAATGTTTAAATCCAAATAAAAATGAAAAATGAAATTAACATTGCAAAAAGGATCATTAACATTTACTAATGAAATAACAAGCAGATACAAATATATTTTCAAGTCTTAGGTTCTAGAAATTGGATATTTTTGTTCAATTAAAGGCATTTTAACTTTAAACCATGCAATCAAAGCATCATGCACTTTAATCGCAGATGGAAGTGGAATGTTGTTATCAGAAGCAATCTTCTTAGCACAACTTCTGAGTTCCATAACTTTTCCAGATTCAATTAAATTGCGTTTAAGGAGTTCATTAGTCACTATAGCCTGGTCTTTTTTTGAAGCTGGTTTAATATATTTCTTTGAGTCTAATGCAGCACACAAGGAAAGCAATACTGTTTGGTATTCATTTGGTTCAGCTTGAATATACTCACTAAGCTGAGTTAACGATTCATCTAGTGCAGTCTCAAGAGTTTTTTGTGTTACTTTCCCTTCTTTCTCAGTTTTTGCTGATTTACCGCTCATTAAATAAATTTGCCACCAGCAATTTACGGGTGTTAAAATTAAAGAAAAACAAGAAAATGTACGATATACCAAGTCTAAAGGAAAACGGGTTTTGGTTGGCAAAATTTTACATTGAAAAATTTTTTCCGGAGGTGTTGGTAAAAATAAACGTCTTTTAAAATGAGTACATTGCAGTATCCAGTTACGCAATTAAATTATACTGCAATGAAATCTCTCCTGGATGAAGGCAGATCCCTGAGGAAACAACTTGACCAAGAAAAGGCGCAACTTCAATCAAATATCGACAGATTTTTAAGTCATATTCAAAAATCAGAATTTTTGCAGAATACAGGTAAAATTTCACCTAACTTGTTTAATAAAGTCAAAGACTTTCCCTCATTTTTCGAAAATTTTGACCCCTCGCCATCAATTCGCAAATCAGATACGCTTCAGTTCGATGATTCTGATATTTCAGAGCAATCTAGCCAGATCATCAAACAGATAGATGAAATAGAGTCTCAAATTGTTATGTTAGGTAACGAAAGATCAACTTTAGCTATTCAAGAACAAAAAGCATCAGCTCAGCAAACTGCTGTTTTTGAAGAATCTATAGTCCTTCGAGAGCAATGTGACGAATTATTACAGCAGAGAGATCTTTTAGAACATGAACAACAGGAATACCAAGATCTCTTAGAGTTTTGGAGATCTAATAATCAAAAGTTATCAAGTGTTCTTGATGATTCAATATATCAACTGAAATCTGCTCAAAATATGAAAGACGCTGATTCAATTCGTTTAATGCAAGAGTTATCTACTATTTATACTCAGCTAGATGCTGCATCTCGGAAGTTACGTGTTAAATCATTCTAAATTGTTTGTATTTTTCTATAAAAAATTATTTTGGAAATCAAATATTATTGTTTTGATAGGATTGTATATGTGGGGATGCACTTTTTCTTTCTAATAAAGCACATTTTCTCAATGAAATTCGAAAAAGAAAACAATCCCATAATTGCACATAAAAAAACTTTTTCAAATAAGGCCTACATAAAAAAATTACGAAAATTAAATGCTATCATTTGAGTACTTTCTGAGACTCTGTTTGCCAGAAAGTATATATGCATTTGTAAACTTTCAGAAACGGAAAAAAAATAGGCCGTTCGAAGTTTTTGACATTGTGTCAGGACTCAAAAATCTTTATAGTCCTTTGTCCTCTCAAACAATGGTTTTCTAAAAACGTACAATATTTTGTCGACATTATACTCAACACATATTATTAAATGAATTACATTAAAGAGTCGAGAGTATGCAAATTTTTTTATTTATTTATTTCTAATGAAATTCATCTTCGAATATACGAGAAAAAGAGTAGTATCTTATGTAAGAACATTATTTTGCACCATGAGAAATGAGAAATTTTTCAGATCTTGTATTATATAGACATTTTGCAAAATGAGATGCGGTTTTTCCATTTTTAGCTTTTACATTGATATTTGGCCAATGTGAAATAAGAAATTCATGAGCTTCTTTACTGTTATTCTGTGTGGCAAGATGAAGTGCAGTTTTACCATCTTTATCTTTTTCAGTGACATTCGCACCATGTGAAATAAGCACTTCGGCAGTTTCTTTACTATTATTACATGCTGCAATATGAAGTACGGTTCGTCCATCTTTATTTTTTACATTGATATTTGCACCGTGTGAAATAAGCATTTCGGCAATTTCTTTACTATTATTCCGTGTTGCAACATGAAGTGCAGTTTCTCCTTCTTTATCCTTTTCATTGATATTTGCATCGTGTGAAATAAGAAATTCAACAGTTTCTTTACTGTTATTCCGTGTTGCAGCATGAAGTGTAGTTCCTCCATATTTATCTTTTTCATTGACATTCGCACCATGTGAAATAAGCACTTCGGCAGTTTCTTTACTATTATTCCATGCTGCAATATGGAGTGCGGTTTCTCCTTCTTTATTTTTACATTGATATTTGCACCATGTGAAATAAGAAATTCAACAGTTTCTTTACTATTATGCGTTGCTGCAATGTGAAGTGCAGTTTCTCTATCTTTATCTTTTTGATTGATATTTGCACCATGTGAAATAAGAACTTCTGCAATTTCTTTACTATTATTCCATGCTGCATTATAAAGTGCAGTTTCTCCATCTTTATTTTTTTGATTGATATTTGCACCATGTGAAATAAGCACTTCGGTAGTTTCTTTACTATTATGCGATGCTGCAATATGAAGTGCAGTTTCTCTATCTTTATCTTTTTGATTGATATTTGCACCATGTGAAATAAGAACTTCTGCAATTTCTTTACTATTATTCCATGCTGTAATATGAAGTGTGGTTCGTCCATCTTTATCCTTTTCATTGATATTTGCGCCATATGAAATAAGAAATTCAACAGTTTCTTTACTATTATTCCATGCTGCAATATGAAGTGCAGTTTCTCCATCTTTATATTTTTCATTGACATTCACACCATGTGAGAGGAAGTATTCGAAAAGGGATGGAATATTAAACATCGGTGAATAAACAAAAAATTTGATAAAATCATCAGTTTGATCAAAACAAACTAAAAAGGATTCAAGGTTATTGTAAGCTCCACAGTATTTTAAATCGATCTCTATATTGTACTCATTCATCAAGAATGTAATAAAATCAATGTTATGTGAAATAATTGCATATTCCATGCATTCTTTATCTGGTTCTTGATGTTTCAAGCATTCACTCATGATCTCTGGATTTCCTCCTAAAAATGAAAATCTGAGGCATTTTTGAGTTATTTCTGAGTTAAATTTTGTTCTTAAGAACTTGAAACAATCAACTGCTCCATGGTAACAACATAATTCAAGTAATGAATATCCTTCGTCGGAATATGGATATAAACTGCTTTTAACACTTTGATTTTTATCAAACCATTCTCTTTCTGTGAATGCAATGAATCTTTCTAAGTCATTATTCATAATTGCTTTGTATATTGTATCATCTATGTGAATTTCGAGATTGTTAAAATAATCTTTTTGGAAATCATCAGATTTGTCTGATTTAATTCCATATTCTTTATAAAAAAGGAATTTTGAAACGTTCCTGACGCTGTTGACCTCTTTGACATGATATTCATCAGATATGAGTTTGGCAAGAGTTAAATATGACTTTGCAAAGCGATTATTATACGGAATGATATTTAAAATGTCTTTTATCATATTTTGGGGAGGATATTTATTTGAATCAATCAATTCTATTTTGATAATCTTGTAAATCGAGTTTAATTCTTCTTCTTTTTCTTTTTTCAACTGATACAACGCATTATATATATCGATATAGTATTTGTAGGTACTTCGCAATTTGCTGTAATTGCTTGGATGAAAGTTTTGATCGGACATTATTTATTTTTATAATGGAAAAATATATAAATATGACACTAACATATTGTAGATTCATAAAGTATAAAGTAAGGGTTTCGTTTTGCGAAAAAAACGTACAATACGCAATTTCGCTAAAAAAACATTTAGCTAGCAATTTCGACATTTGACTCCACTCAAGACGTCACTTTTTTAATTTTGCGGTATCATATTTTTGGAAAATCTTTATGAATATTATATAAAAAGTCTCTTTAATATCTATATTTCATATTTTTATCGATTTTTAAAGTTTTGGCGAAAAGTATTCAATTATTTTTGCTATTTGGTCGGGTAAATGTCAGATTTGCGACATTTTCTGATATGATATTCAGATTCTACGTTGATAATAATGCTTATAGAACCCTCTTGCTATTGTGTCAAAATTGCGAAACCGATAGCAAAAATATCTCGCAATATCAAAATTGAGATATTGAGTGAATTATGCATTATAGAGATTAAAAATCTGATTTGTGAAAACATCTCATCGGTTTCTAGCTAATTCAAAAATCTTTACTATCTTATTCGATTAAAATGAAAAGGGAATAGTTTCATTATGCTTTAAATGACAGCCTTATAATATAATCATAGTTTTCGCTCAATATGCAGCATTTTTTTTTCGAAATCTATGGTCAATATCCTAAATACTGATTGCTTTGCATTCATATCTCTTACATTTTCTATACCCACATCACTATTCATTGCTATTCCTATCTTTTTCATTTTTGTTTGTTTCTCATAATTTCTCAAAAAACATGATAACTTGATATTTGTAAATATCATACTTTATAACGTAAATAAGAACTTGACCTATTAAGAAAAGCAGTAATGAAAAGAAAATCTGAAATTCATAAAAATTACAAGTTTCTGATGACAATTAGCTTAATTAAACCAGGTACAAGATTATATAATTGTATTTTCTATCCAATTATCCATATAATATCTTATCCAGAAAAAATAACTTGATCAATACCAAATGATTTTTTAACTAGTAAATAAAGTATTTTCTTTACACACAAATTGTATATCATAGTTTTTTTTTTGGTTTCGCAAAACATCCAAAAACAAATATGCTATAAAAGTGACAATTTAGCAAAACGAAACCCTTATATAAAGTGTTGGTATTGTCTTTGATAATTCTTTGTGCCGATAGATTTGACCAAAAATTTTTCTGAATTTCATAGGGGAAAAAAATAATCGTCGAAATCAAGCAAAAAAAAATGTTTCCAAATGATCAATTTAATCGTGGATACCAACACGACAGAATGACAAGATTTGCATCAAATGTAGATAGGCCTATCGAGAGTCGCCCAAGAAGAGATTTCCCGATGAGAAGTCAATCAACAAGAATTGAGCCTAGCAGCCCACGCGAGATTCCGATGCAGAGAAAGACATCAACAATACCACCTATAGTTAATTTCGATCTTTCACAACGTGAAAGCAATATAGAATGTGAGATTTTACCAACAGATGTTTCAATAGATGATGATGACCCACTGAAAAAGATCATTCAAATGCAAAATGCTATTTCAGAGAAATTTATTAATACGATAGAAAGCAGCTGCAAAGTTATAACAGCAGCAACGGAAATAATTAACGAAATGCCTAAATTCTCAAAACCATATCAAAACGCTCAACATACAGGTAATGACTTAGAAAGTCGTATTCAATACGTTCAATCTATTGAAGATGGAGCAGATTTGAACTTAGAAGAAATTCTTAAATGATTTCGCAAAAATAGAGTCTGGTAATTGTTTGTTGTGTTCTTAGAATTAGATTGTTTAGTAACTGTTATAAAATATTTCTTATTTAATTGAATATTTTTAATTATATTCGCTGTTACAATAATTTGTGTTATGAATTACTTAAAGTTATATATTATATGATCAAAATGCTTTCCTTCGAATTCAATATAAAAAGAAATTCAATTCAAAATTTTATTTTGTTGAGAATGATTTGTATTTGTGCTCTTATAGATATTAGATTTGTAAGGTTGTAACTGAAGAATGCAAAGGCGTAATAATCACTTTTATACATATAAAATTAGGTTGGAAATAGTCTTGGATTTTTCTTCAATGGAGGATATTAAAAATACTAATCACCTCAAATTGTTTTGGGCATTACAAATTCATTAAAAAACGGGACCCAAAAATATTTGAATTGATTGGTGTTTAAATATCGTTTTAAATAACATTAAGGTCTCAACAGTTTTCAGCATTAAGCAGGCAAATACTTTAAGCTCGTTAGCATATTTTTGGAATGGAAATAAAGATATGAAAATTAGCTAATAGAGGGAAAATACATTTTGATATGATATAAAAAACTGATTTGATTCTTTTATTTCAAATTCTTGAGAATTATCTAAAAATAACTTATTTGAACCTGTTAGCTGCTCTGACAATTGAAACAACTGCTTTAGCAGCGGCGTTAACGTTCTCGAAGCAAGCGATACCTTCCTTTCTGAGTGCTTCGATGAGTGGGCGATACTTTCCGCCTGACTCGATAGCGCAGATGATTGGCTTTGTTGGGTATTCTGCCTTGAGTTTCTTGAGGAGTGGGAGGATTGAGTTTGGATCCTTGAGCTCTTCCTCGAGGCACTTCATTGAGTTTGTCTCTGGAACGAATGCGCAGACAGCGATATCGCACTGTGGATCCTTGAGAACACCCTTAAGGATCTCGTAGTAACCTCTGTCTGGGAAGATTGGTGTGACATCGAGAACTTCTGCGACATCGACAACTTCTCCGATCTTGTACTTCTTGTAGACACCATCGATGACTTCGAGAGACTGCTTTGACCACTTTGGAAGGTGGAGCATGTTCTCTGTGCCGTTCTCCATCATCTGGTCAGCTATTTCGCACTTCTGGAAGCCAGCGTTTGTGAGTGCTGCGATACCGATTGAGTGCTTCTTTGCCTCTGTCATGAGGGATGGATACAATGTTGCCAATGTGACAATATTGTTCCACTGTTCTGTTGAGTCAGCAACAATTGCACCTGCGTTCTCCATCAAGCTCTTGAACATGCCGTAGTCGCCAGCCATGGCTGCTGTGTGTCCCTTGGCTGCTCTGACGCCTGCCTGTGAACGGCCGGCCTTGTAGATGACAACGGTCTTTCCGATGTCGTTCGCGTGCTTGACGACGTTCATGAGACTGATGCCCTGGCCGTCGCCGAGGCCTTCGATGTAGAGACCGAATGTTGTGATGTCTGGAAGGTCGACGTAGTGCTCGAGGAAGTCTGTGACGGAAAGATCGAGCTGGTTGCCGACAGAAATGGCGATCTTTGGTAAGACGGATGGTGAGCAGTCTGAAATACGAGAGATCATGTAGGCACCTGACTGGCAGAGGAATGCGCAGTTGCGTGCACCGGAGACGCCATCAGATGAAGACCTGTTACGTGGAACAAAGACAGTATTGATGCCACCTTCCTTGAGGTTGCCGACTGTATTTGGTCCGTTGACAACTGGTCTGTCGTTTGACATCTTGAGGAGTTTCTCGTGTAATTCGTTCTGCATCTTGGAGCCGTGCTCTGTTTCGCCGAAGCCGCCTGAGATAACTTGGATTGACTTGACGTTGTTGATGTCAAATGCGTCTGAAACGAGTTTGCCGGCGCCTTGTGCTGGAATGCAGATGGAAAGAAGGTCGATCTTCTCTCCGTTGCGGGCTTTGTTGAGAGCTGCGAGGTTCTTGAATGCTGGAACACCGCAAAGTTCCTTGGCCTTTGGATGGAGAACGTAGCAATCTTTGACACCGTAGTCCTTGGCGTTCTTGAGAATAACTGTACCTGGATTGAGTGGGTTTGTTGTTGAAGCGCCTGCAACGACGATGGATTTCGGATTTGTAAGGCACTCGATGCGATCAAGTGGTTTTCCGGAGCACTGTGCATCGTAGTATGGAAGGGTTCCGCGTGGGCTGACACGCATAACACCATCGAGAGCCCACATCTTGCCCTGGACTGCAACTGTTGGGTTGACTTCGAGTTCATCGATGATATACTTAGCATCTCTGTTGTACTGAGAGTACTTTGAGATGAGGCCTTGGACGTTCTTGAGAAGTGGCTCAACAATGGCCTGGTCAAGATGCTTCTTTGTGCCACGGACACGGCCTGTTGCGAGCTTTGATGCTGGGAGATTCTCGATGATGCGGCCGTAGTTGGTGCCTGTGAATAAGGATGGGACAAAGATTTGGGCGTGGTCTGGTTGCATGACAGATTTGAGATACTCAACTGTTGTGCCACCGAATCCGTAGCAGACGAGTGGGCCGAAGAATGGATCCTGGTAGCCGGAAACGAGGAGTTCTGTTCCGAAATCGCCTGACATCTTCATTTGTTCAACGAATAATGTGCCTTCGAGCTCGTATGGAGAGTTCTTGTTGAAGCGTTCGTCGAATACCTTCATAGCCTTAGCGATTCCTTCTGGTGTATTTGGAATGTTGAACTGGAGACCGCCGATGTCTGTCTTATGTGTAACAAGAAGACCATCCTTGCGGTATCTAACAACACCCTTTGCAACAACTGTCTTAGCATTGATATTTTTGACAACCTCTTCTGGTGACATTGTCTTTGTTGCATAGCAATGTGGGGCAATTGAAAAGCCAAGATCGCCGATGATTGAAAGAACTTCATGTTCAGCAAGAAGTCCATCTGGTCTCTCGGCAATGACCTTTTGTATAAGCTTCTCTGTTGAGTTACTGGAGAATCGAATGCCGCTCTTTAAAGCACTTAACATTTGTCAATTTTTCTTTCAATTTGGGGAGAAATGATGATAGCGGTTTTATATTTAAAAATATTGGGATTGAGATCTGAAAACGAAATTTATAAAATTTATGGGATAAAAATTTCATTGTTTTCGGCTTTGTAAACTATTCAACCTCACATCATTTCTCCACGAATGAGAACTTTTTTTTCTCCATTTACAACTCTCTTAATTTATTAATTCTTTAAGAATTAAAATAGATTATTAATGGAGAGTAATACTTGTTGAGCTAATTATCATTTATATCGAACAATTTTATTATCGGAGCAAAGATTATGAAAGAAATTGGCCATTCTTCATATCATTGATTTTTCCTGCCATTGTTCAATATAAGTAATTATGAATTACCGATTCTTTAGGCTAAATTAAAACACAAAATTTGGAAGAAATTGTAGAAACATGCAAAACACGTAAAATTCATACTTTCCACTAATGACTAATTTTTGAGAGTGATTTTCAATTGTGCATATGCAAAAATATTTTAATACAGAAAAAAAAATAACAATAAACAAAAGTTTGTGCTGAAAAATACTGAATTCTATATATAAATGTAAGATTAACAGAATTTTTTTTTCCTGCATATGTTTCGCTTATCAAAGAAAGTAATTTTTCAAGCGTGATATCTGGGTTTATATACCGGATTTTCACTGTAAAGTATTATAAGTTACTAGTATGAATTTCAACTTGTGAAGTTCAATTCTAGAATCACCCAAAGTTTAAGTGATATATAGATTAAATCAGACTTAAGTATACATAAAAGTTTTAGAATAAAATGATAATCCTTAATTAATGATATGAGAGAAATTCAATAAGGAGGGTAATTATAATAGATTTGCATGATTGGATTGCCTTATAAATTATTTTTATAATGTTCTGGCCCATGTGCAATCAATAATTGAACAATTTCGTTACGATAATTTTCTTTTGCAATTTGAAGTACAGATTTACCACTGCAATCTTTGGCATTGACATCAGCACCATGCGACACAAAAAACTCAATGAGTTCCAGATAATTTTTATCAATTGCATAATTTTGAATCTCAACAACACTATTACGAATTTTTATTCCCTCCGACTTATTAATGCGTTTACAAAAACTGGAAGTGTTAAGAATTTCTGTTACTGCATAATGAAAAGCTGTCTTACCGAAGTCATCAGATGAATTAAAATCAGCACCATGGGAAATAAGAAACTCAATAGCATCTTTATGAAGGTTCTTAGCTGCAATATGAAGAGGTGTTGTTCCATTTCGAACTTTTGCATTAATATCAGCACCATTTGATATGAGAAATTCAATAATTTCTTTTAGTTTAGAAATAATATCTTTGTCATTATCTTCAGATATTAGATTTTCTACTGCAAAATGAATTGCTGTTTTCATAGTACCTTTACTTTTATATATAGCACTGACATTTGCTCCATGTTCTATAAGGAGTTTGATAATTTCTCTGGAACAAACCTTCACAGCTTGATGTAAAGGAAAATGTCCATCATCACCAATAAAATTAACATCTGCACCATTTGAAACCAGGAGATCTACCATTTCTTTATTTTCATTTGTTATGGCATCAATCAAAATGTTAGAATACTTATTACATAAATTGACATCAGCACCATAGGAAATGAGAAGTTCAGCAACTTCTTTTGAGTCGTATTTAACGGCATAATTTAGAGCAGTTCTTCTATTGCCATCTGTTTCATTAATATCAATACGATTTACTACCAAGTTATCTAATAGAAGTTTGCAATTTTCAGCGCAATTAAATATAGCTGCATAATGTAATGGTGACTTTGAAAATCGTGTGTCGGTATTAATTAATATCATATCATTTTTGATAATATCATAAGTTTGTGGAAATGCTGCACACCAAGGAAAAACTATATTTTTATCTTTCTCATAGAGAAGAAAAACAGCACCAACATTTTGTGAGTCAAAAACTGGAGTCATACGAATTATTTCAGCGAGACTCGTTTTATAGAGATCTTCATATAAATCATGTTCTAAAACGTAATTGAGAAAAGAATTGTTATGAGAACAAATTGCGCAATATATGCATAACTCATCAACCTGCTTCACATTCATACATTGATTGATGATATCTGAATTTCCACCAGTGATTGCATTTTGGAGACACTTCTTGGTTATTTCAAAATCTTTAAAATTTATTCTAATAAAATTGAAAATGTTCACCGAACCGAAATAAGCACATTTTTCAAGAATTGTTAATTCATCATGTATACTTGGATATGCTCTATTGCTGAAAATATTTTTTTTAACTTCTTGTAGATTATGTTCTAAAACGTATTTTTTAAATTTATCAATATCATCGTAAATAATAAATGAATCATATGCACATGTAGAGAATCTAGAGTCATGATCGAAAAATAAACTTGGATCCGCTTGAGTATTTGAAAAATAATAGTATAATTGTCCGAATAATTTATAATAAAAATCTCTTGCTCTGTAATTGTAAAAACACGCTAAATTGAAGCTTTTTTGAAGTTTTTCTTTTGAAATTTTATATTTCTCTACTAAAACTGCAATTATCAAGTTATAAATCTCATCAAAGGATTCATTTTCTCGCAAGTGAAATAGCCTCTCGTATGTTGAAATAAAATCACTATATTTTGCTGATAAATCACACATGAAAATTTAAAAGTGACTCAAAGAAATTACTGGTAGACTATTTGCACTTTTTCAATAAAAATTTTGACTTCGAATTTTATTCAAAAATTGTGTTTTTAATTGAAAAAATACACAAAAATTTTATAATATTGTTTCACCATATGAATCATTTCCATTTGTATAGTCAAATTTAACGGTTTGTTATCGGGAATGGCAAACTCATGTCTCAAACTCCATACTATGTTCTTATTTCTTCTGAGCAGCATGAAAATCCTAATATTGTGCTTCATCGATCATAGAATTTAAAAATCAAATATTTTAAAAATCAAATAATATCAAATAAAATTATGAAAGTAGATCTCGCTTCAAATATAGAACATAGGGAAGTTTCTTTAGCATCATTAAAGTATTTTCATTTAGACGATACATTTTCTGTGGATAATTAAACTTGAAATCATATTTTTCGCGTGTATTCCGTTTCATTTCCTCAAATTTTGAGAGACATATGCGAAGTTTATGAATACAAGTTAATTAGGAATAATACAAAATATTTTAATAAAAAGGAAAAAAAATAAAAAAATAATATTTATTGTTGTTGTTGCTTTTGTTTGTTAATTACTTCTTCTCTCATTTCCTCTATTTCCTTTGCGAATTTCTTCTTCAAAGCGTTGACTCTCATCTTTCCAGTGATTGTAACACCTTCATTTTCGACTGTAAATGGTTCATCAGTCAATCTTACAGCGGCTAATTCAGAACCATCTTTAAGTCGGTCGTATTCTTTACCGTATTTGTTTGCATTGTAATGGATATAGTTTATGAAATCCTTATTCTTCAGAAGCTCCTTGAATTTCTCGTCATCGAATGTCTGATCTTTGAAGACTTGTGAGAAGTAGTATTCTCCAATATTCCTTGGAACAACAACAATGGCAACTAAAGCGTGAATATCATTCTGTGGACTGATGAAAATGTCATCAATGAATGAGTATTTTCTGTAAGTGAATCTCAAGAAAGGAATTGCGAGATCCATGCCTGGCTGGTACTCGTAGTTATCATATGCTCTTCCTGGAATGATCAAATGATGTGTTCCTGGCTCTATCTCAGCTCTGTCGCCTGTCTTGTACCAGTCATCTTCAAATGCATCTTTCGTGATCTCTGGATTTCGCCAATAAGATGTGAAAAGTGCTGGAGTTTTGATCAGGAGCTCTTGTTTTGTGCCGAATTTGCATTGAAGATGTGGCATTGGACGGCCAACTGTTCCTGGTGTGTATTCGTTCGATGGACATACAAATAATGGTCCGGCTGCTTCACTTGTTCCATAAATTGCAACAAATTCCGCTCCGAAAATGTTTGAAAGGTCATCATGAACTTTTGCATCGAAAACATCACCGGCAACAGCAAACCAATCGAGGCGGCCGCCGAACACATCGTTCTTTATCTTGTTAAAGAGTAAAGAATCTGAAATTCTGGACCTGAAACCGAAATATCTTGTAAATGAAGATAATTTAAGGCAAAAGTTCATAAGTGGCTTAACTTTTTCGGTCTTTTCCATGATAGCAGAGTGTACTTTAACAAGGAAGGCAGGAATTATTGGTCCTCCTGTAATTTTACAGATTTTCATATCATCTTTTGCTGTTGCAATGCCTTGGCGAGCATAAACGATTTGCGCACCTCGATAATTGAAGATAAGGAAGCCAATCCTCTCAAGAATGTGAGCCATCGGAAGAAATGAAAGATGGACATCTCCAAATTTGACAGGAACGCTGACTTTAATGTAGAAAATACCAGTAATCATAGCATAATTGGAAAGAACAACGCCCTTTGGAGCTCCAACAGTACCTGACGAATAAACAATTGTACAAGGATCAGAACTCTGTACTTTAGGTAAGGGGGCAATTTGATCGTATTTAATAACATCGTCGAATAAGTAATACTCGTATGGCATTCTATCTCCTATTTCATTTACAATTATGAACTTTAATTCTGGACAGAAGTCTGATTTTGGTGGGAAAAGAACATCAACTCTTTCCCATTTGGTTGGTGAAACGTAAATGCATGAAACGCCTGCATCAACCAATGTATATCTTGGATATGTCGCAATTCCTGAATCAAAGGCGAAAACAGCAACAAAGCCGAATAAATGACATGCTTCTAAGAAAATTCCGGACTCTAAACGATTCTCTGTATAAACGCCAACTCTGTCGCCTGGAACTATGCCTTTACTGAGCAAAAATGAGCCAACTCGAAGCGCTAATTGATGAATTTCTTCTCTTGTCTTATAAACAATTTTTTCATCAACAATTATGCCTAATTGATTTTGAGTACGATATTTCTTGTATGTATACATGAAAAAATCTTGCATAGTTTCGATTTCTGCTGGTTTAGAATCATATTCTTCAACCCATTGCGGTAAACTTTCAATTAAATCCTTTTCCATGAAAAAATAATTTAAAATTTGGGGTCTATAATCAAAATATTTTGGGAAAAATAATTTATTTTGTAATGCATGAAAAATAGTGTGACTTCACTTTTGACAGTTTACAAATGTAAAGTGTTGCATCCTTAAAAACTTGGAAATATATACATTCATGAATTATCTTGTATATTAATTGAAAATCCATAAAACCCTAACAATATTTTTTCTTAAAAAAAACTATAAAAATATAAATAAAATTAATCGTTAAATAAAAATATTTGATATTAGAATTTTATTGGAAAAATAAAAAACTTAATATTTTAAAGAAATACTTAAATACTTGAATGTTTTAACTTTTACATTATCATATAGACTCTCAAATTATTAGCCATTTTGGCTGAGAACTATGGTCTGCGAGGTACATAGATAGAATCAGTACCTCGCAGACTATAGTTCTCTATATGGCGCCGAAAATTTTTGGTGAAAGCTAAATTTTGCCAGCAAACTAAAAAATCAAATTAATTTATAATTTTATTCATTTTGCGATCCTACTATAATCAAATGTATTGAAAACATACGATTGCATGAATATGGTAAATTATTTGTTTTGCAATTATAATCAGAAAGAAAAGTGATTCGACAGATGCCATTACCAACATGACCAAATATTTCACCATAACTGAATGGATCTGGCATTAGATCACGACCACTCTTCATGTCAGTGTTAGTGAAATAAAGGTTAGATTCGTGGAATGGCGTATTTTTGTTTGGGATACTATTCTCAGGGTAATGTGGACTTATACATCCAGGATGTCCACTGATATACGAACTTCCCCCTGATCCTCCGAATTCATAAGAATATTGCTCTTTCATGTCTCTGGTAAAGTTATGGTAGCCGCCTCGATAACCACTACCACAGCCTCCCATACCTCCTTGGTTTTCTCCAGAATTTAATCCGTCCATCCCTTTTCCAAGTTCTCCTTCAGTCTGGGTACCGCCAAACATATTTTCGCCATTATTTAATGCGGTGAGAGTTCCTCCTGGAAATCCATATCTTTCTTCATCTGAAACAGCACCACCACCAGAACCGGCAACAATAATACGACTCTTCAACGAATGTAATCGTGCAGTGTCATTATAAGGTTTATTTAAATCAATAAAATCTGTCCTAAGGTCAGTAGCCCCTCCTCCACCTGCTCCACTTTCAGGAGGTGCCAATTGCGCCTCGTAATGCTGATCTTTCTTATCAACGCTACCTTGTCCGCCAAAGTTCCAACCTCCAAGAGTTGGATAGAAATATTCATCCATTTTGGTCTGATCTTCTCCTTTTCCGCCTAAGTATAAATATAATGTCCTGGGATAGCGGAATGTAATATCGCCAGTGACATATGATCCATTGCCACCCGAATGGAGGCGAAGTGTCGCTTTATTGAGACTTCGGCCATCGCCTCCGGAAGCTCCCCAAAGCTCGATTCGAAATATTCCTTTTGGGAATTGAATGATATATGGTTCGCATACGAAGCTAGATTCGCAAGGATATTCAACAAAATATGTGTTTGCAGTATTTCTAACTTTAAGAATGGCGTTATTTGTTGTATTATGAAGAGAGAATTCAGGTCCTTTAAGCTTCTTGGTTTAAATAATCCATTTTTAATGTTGATCAGAATTCTCAAAAATTGAATGACCGTTGATTCCATTCAAAATTTAAAACAATAGATTTGAATGATATGAAATCAGATAACATTATAATCAGGAACGGTTCATTATTGAATTTTAAAAATATGGAGGAACGGCCCTCCACAATGCAGCAACAAAATATTGAATTTGAAACATTTGGTGATAATAGTAATATTAATTAAAATCTACTCATTTGTGAATTGTATGATAGATCCCTTGATTATAACTATCAAAACTTTTTTCTGTTTTAATGGTAATTATTAATTGGTTATTCTAGAACTAAGCAAAAATATTTAGCTGCAAAATTAGCAGCCTAGATTAGTATGCTTCAAAAAATTTCTGATAAAAAGTTTTAAACTAAAGAGATATACATAATATTGCAAAACAAGATGAATAACGCAAATAAAGAGTAGAATTTGGATACGAATTACACTTGATAGTAAAATCGCATACTTTGTTAAAATATGACTTTTTAAATGTTCTATACACTAATGTTCCAGTGAACTCAAAAGGAACAAAAATCTCTAAATCATCGGGTGCTACTACTTCATATCCTTTCACATAATCTTTAAAAATGTCGGTTTCAATAGAAGGATTTCCGCAAATATACACGTATTTCAACGACTTCATATAAGAAATACTATAATTCTCAATAGTACGAATAGAATTTGGTAAAATCAGAGTCTTAATAGAATAACATCTACAGAAGGAGTCTGAGGAAATTGTTGTTAATTTACTCCCTGGGAGAAAAATAAATTCTGTGCAAGAAATCAACCAATCAAAAGCCCATTTTTTAATAGTTATTATTGTGGGTTGGATTATCATTTTAGGAACATGTGTACAATTCCTAAAGGATGAGAGACCAATTTCAACAATCTCATATTTAATATTATTGTGATATACGTAACTAGGTATTTCTACTGGTTGTGCGTAGTTAATATCTGAAATTCCGGAATTTGTTGTTTGTAGGTTTACTGCATTCCAGATTTTGGCTGTTTTTGAATTCGGAATCGTGGCATATTTATAGATTCCAACTGAAAAATTCTCCGACATTAGTTGTGATCGAGGGTTCTATTTTTAAAAATCAGTAATTCAGTTTAGATAATTTTCTGAGATAAACTTATCCGATTTCACATTCAATTTTTTGACTCTTTTTAAGATTCTACGGTCCGACCAAACGAAGACTATCGTTAAAATTTGATAATTAGGTGGACATTTTGTTACGCATGTTTGATTAAATAAAACATTGTTTTCGATGCACGAATAACAATAACTTGAATTACAAGTTTTACAATTTAATATTGAGTTTTGAAAGAATTATGGAACGGCTTTCTGCAATGCAACACCAAAAGATTTCAAAGAACGCATATATGATAAGCTATAATGTTCAATCGTGCGAACTGAACTTGGAAAAACTAGAGTCTTAACAGAATAACATCTACTAAAGAAATTTATATATGATAACTATTCTACGACGCATGTTAATAATTGTTTGATAAATGAAGTTTCTATTAAAATTTTCTTATTTGTAAGTTTCAAGATAAAGAGGATATTTTACTGACTTTAGGAAAAGTGACGACATTATCAGTGTTGCCTAAAAAGAGGTTTGATTTGCTATCTAAATATATGAAGAAACGCTCTCATGATTTTTTCAAGGATAGTATTAAAGTGAAGATATTTAATGAGAAAAAGTTTTTTACTCTTAAGGGTGCACACGAGAGGATCATGTAAACTTCAGAATTTAGAACCTTATTTTTAGGCATTATCTTGGCTACCTATTTCGGCTCGAAAAGCAAAAAATATCAAAAAATACAACTTGACTCCATTATGACCCTTTCATGGAGGTAGTTTTTATCCGCTAGTATTTTCCCTTTGAATCTCTTTACAATTCGAAATCAAATTCAAATCTCAGTAGAAGAAAGGAAGAATCGACTTACTACGGTTGTAATACGAATAAATACATATATTTAATTATTTTTATTTACATAATAATTGTTTGAAGCTCATATTCCATCAAATTTTTAAATAAAAACATTAAAATGTTGAAAATGTTCATATATTTTAATAGGGTTTTGGCACTTTATTGAGGAATTACTACATACATAGTCGAACTGAACTTGATATTTTGAAATTTAAATTATTTATCAAAATTAAAATTTAACTTGAAATTTATAATTATTTAGTCATATTTTGCATAATTCTAAGTAGATTTTGTAAAAAATCAAGAAAGAAAAATTTTAACGTACTTTATTTTTTCTTTTTTATAATAATACATATTATTATATAATTAACATATTCATAATGTTTCACCCTTTCAAAAATATAATCCTCCTCCTCTCAAATAAACGTACATACGGGTGGCCTCTTTTTTCAAAAAATTAAAATTTGAAATTTTTGGCTCAAATATTAGAGATTTTTTCAACCTTCAACGATATATGTTGTCTATATCAGACCTCCTTTCTTTTTGATACTTAACATTGTTCCTAAATCTTAGCCGTTAAGGCTGTTCTGAAAATATTTTTTTTTCGAAAAAATTCGAAAAAAATTCTTAAAATTCAAAAATCCCTTAATTCCTGAGGATTTTGGAAAAAAGTTTTTACATGAACATGTGTATATTATATGAAGTATATTGATAAGGTAAAAATCAAATTTTATTGCATATTCATCGAGAAAATAAACTAACGAATCCCTCAAAATTGAGAGGGTAATCCTCCTCCTCTCAAATAAACGTACATACGGGTGCACCCTTAAGATATAAACATTATAGCAAATGTATGAGAAAAGCGCAAATTATGTCTATTATTTAAGCATGAATTGCATTTGATAGTGAAATCACAAACGTTGCTATAATAAGACTTTGCAAAAGGTCTTAGTGCAGATGTTCCATTGAATTCAAAGGGAACAATAATTTTTAAATCATCTGGTGCCACTTTGTCATATCCTTTCTTAGAATCTCTCAAAATGTCAGCTCCGATTGAAGGATTTCCACAAATATATAAATATTTCAAAGAACTCATATATGATAGGCTACAATCTTCAATAATGCGAACAGAACTTGGAATAACTAGAGTCTGAACAGAATAGCATCTGGAAAATGCATCATAAGCAATTGTTGTTAATCTACTGCCTGGAAGAAAAACAAATTCGGTGCATCCAGTGACCAAATCGAAAGCCCATGTATTAATGGTAATTATCGTGGGAGGAATTACTATTTTAGGAATATATGAGCAATACCTGAACGCTGAGATACCAATTTCAACAATTTCATATTTAATATTTTTATAATATACATAACTAGGTATTTCAACTGGTCTAGAATAGTTAACATCAGAAATACCGGAGCATGATGTATGTTGGGATATTGCATCCCCGATTTTGGCTGTTTTTGTATTCGGAATTGTCGCATATTTATAGATTCCAACTGTAAAATTCACCGACATTAGATGCTATCGATTGCCCCATATAAAAAATCAGTAATTCTTGTGATTTATTTTTAATAGAAGGTCTTGCAGGAATTTCTCATTCAAAATTTTATGGTCATATCTGACATTTGAATGAATTCAATACCTATGATAATAATACTGATAAAGGTGTTTGTTTTCATGAATATAGAATGTTCATATTAAACTCCTTAGTTAAAACCTGAATTGTGGTTGGTATCTTCATAGGCGTTATTGAGGCTATATGACATTTCAAATGGGTCAAGGACGTGTCATTTCACGCATGTAAGAAAACATAATAATAAAAAAAAGATTATATTTAGTTATCTTTGAAATTGAAATTTTTCAATGAGGGAAACTTAAATTTTCATTTACAAGAAGGATTTGTTTTGATTATATTTCATTGATATACCAATGAGGCAATTAAAATTCAATATCTTTTCAGCCTGACAATAATTCGTGAGTACCCATATGGTTTTTATAAGAAATATAGCAAGATGGATGCAGGAATGAATTTGAATTCATGGAAAATAATTAAAAAGCAAGGTATTTCATGAAAGATGCATTTCCAAGCATTAAATAGGAATATACCGCATCTTGAATGTAGGAATATTAAGTTAAAAAGTAAAATTCAAGTGGCAATAAAAAAATTCAATCAAGAATTAAGTTTGGCCGCTAAATAAATGATGAATTAAGTGTATAAATATGGAGTACAACAAAGATTGAATAGTGATATTAATAAATAAAGGATGGCGAAAACAATAAGCCAAAGTGAAATATGGTACTAGACATGAAATTTCATGATATGTATCTTCATTTAGGCTGTATAATATGTTTACCTTTTCCTTTTTGAAATAGACAACGAAAACATTTATTGACTTCAATTATGAAAAAGAAAGGGGTTATCGCACGACAAATGACAAGTAATCCAAATAGCTGATATGTCAACTATTGTATTATTATGTTAAATTGTATATTCATTAAAATTTTGATATGTCAATATTAATTATTGCAATGTTAAGGTATTTCGTGTCATAGAATATTTATATTTGGGTACACCTTTGATATATCTATCATTCAAATGCCTCGAATATCACTCTTTTATTGATGGATAATTCGACAAAATGGTCATACTCCGATTAAATAAACAATCAAAATTCGAAATAATTCTGATACTGATAATAATTAAGTAACTTGGGAGGTTAATAAATTTTTGCTGAAAAAAATATTTGAATGCTGATAAATTGACAGATTTTCAAATTTCAAAACTTAATTGGCTAAAAGCTCTCTTCAAAAAAATTGTTATTTTATTTTTATCTCTATGTGAAGATGAATTTTGGAGCTCCCATAGTTTTGATCGATATGTCACTTTTGTATAATTTCAAAATGTGTGAAGCAGCAATAAATACGCCTGCCGATGAAGCGAACGCACCAACAATTGGAGACTTCTTGATCCTCAATACGATTGGTGTTGGTTCAACCGCTAAAGTTAAACTCGGAAAGAATAAGATCACTGGCGAAAAAGTGGCCATCAAAATTATGAAGAAGAAACTCTTTGTACAAAAACCAGATCTTCAAGTGAAGCTTCAGCGTGAAATAGTTCTCATGAGAATCCTCAGACATCCAAACTTGCTCAGATTCATCGATTTTCTTGAATCCGAGAAGAATGTATACATCATCACTGAGCTCGGATCACGTGGTGAACTCTTCGACTTCCTTCTCGAGAAAGGCCCGCCAGGAGCAGCCCTTTCTTTGAACATTTTCAGACAATTAATCTACGGCCTTGACTTTTTGCATGTTCACGACATTTGCCATCGTGATATCAAGCCAGAGAACATTCTTCTTGATGAAAACAACAACGTTAAGATCGCTGATTTCGGTTTTGCAAGATTCTTGAAATCATCAGCAGCTGAAACATCATGCGGATCACCACACTATGCTGCTCCAGAAGTCATTAAGGCTGAACCTTACGATGGCAAGGCAGCCGATGTTTGGAGCTTGGGCGTTGTATTTTATACACTTTTAACAGGTCGTAGACCATTCGAAGATGCATCATTGAAGAACTTGCTCACCAAGATCAAGACCGCTGACTACAAGATGCCTGATTTCCCACCAGCCATCCAAGATCTCATCAGAAAGATGCTTACAGTCGATCCAACCCAAAGAATTACCATTGCCGAGATCAAGCAACACCCATGCTTCAGACTTTTGTTACCACAAACATACACAGTTCCAATTCCTCTTCCTTCGTCAATTATTGACGAACCGATTGATATCGCAAAGGTCGACCAAACACTTATCGACCTTCTGATTCAAGTCGGCTTCGCTCTTGACGAGGTTAAAGAGCAACTCGCCGCTTCTGAACATACAGTTGGCAAATCTTTCCTTGTTCTCGTTTCTCATTTCATCAGCTTCGATATGCTTCCATGGGGTGATAAACCAGGCATTTCTGTCGCTCCTTTGACAAATCTCCTTACAAGTGCTAAAGGACTCAATTTCGAGAAGGCAAGTAAGCTTCCAAACCTTGCAGAACATAAAATCGAAATCACTACGACAACAGCGTTCCCAATTCCTAAAGTTAACAACGCAATACAGACAAATCTTACAAATGCGGGATTCAAATGGTTCTTCCCCAACGAAATGTTGTTCTACGGAAGAAACCATGAGAAGAATCTCGATATTACAATCAAGACGAGATTTACAGGAGAAAATCAGTTCCAAACAACAGTAATCCTCGTTTCAGGCGACAAGGCTCAGTTCGAGGAGTTGTCTCAGTCAATTGAGAAAGACATGAAGGCTGCTTTATAAGTCTTTTTCACCGGCCTTTCGAAATTTTGTTTATTCTTAATTACTAATCCTTCCTATGGCTTAAATGCCATTCGATTAAATATATATTGATATACTAATAAAAGTTCAATAAGTAAAATCAAATGAAAATAGCTTTTTTTAATAATTTTTGATAAATATTGAATTTTAATGTCAAATTGACGAGCAAAACTAGAATACTTATATCTATTTATGTATTTATGATTGAAACATATGTATTTAATCGGATGTTAGTGAAGATTCAAGAATATAAATATAAAAACCATACTATTCTCCAAAAATTAAGGATTAAATTAGAAGCTATGATTAAATTAAAGCATATTAGCTCAACTCAAATTTCCAAAAAAATCACAAAAATACGATTTTAATTAATTTTTTCTTGAAAATTCACTTTATTTTTTGAAAAATGAAAAATTTTTGGAAATTCAACATTAAAGAAAAGTAACTTTTTCAACATTGGTGCACTTAACTTTCCATTCTATGAGCTTTTTAGCTTGAAATTGCAAAAATTCGTATAAATTTGAGTTAATCTCCGTATTTTCTTATGATATTAATAGATTTTTGAGTGTTAAAGTTTCAAGTACAAATGATACAACTCCAATGAAGCTAAAGTCATTTACATATCTTAGATAATAGAGAAAATTTATAACTGATTATCGATCATATTACATATTTATTCAATGAAATTCATACACTTCATTACTTTCTTAAAAATACAATATTGTATTCATCTACAGATGTATCATCACTCAGTACAAGAGCTTATATCGTTTTTGTTATTCAAACAAGAAATTACCTTTTAGAAGCTCTAGTTCAACTACACATTCGAGCGCTAACGAATTTACAAACAGAGAATGTCTCATTTACACAACAACAAATCAAAATAAAGTAATAAAAGTGACACCTAAACAACAATGTTTGATGAAAGGACAACATTTATATATCTTCTCAATCTTTGCTTCGTCAACCCATTGGATGTTCCACGTGTTGGCGAAGAGGAAGAAAATGTTGAAATGATGAAGAGAGTTATTCAAGCAAATCCTCAGTTATCAGAACCAGAGCGTAACTTACTCTCTTGCCTTTACAAGTCAATAATTAATCGTAGGAGAGAAGTATTGAGAGATTTTGATAAGAAGTTTGTTGATGAGATTGTTGATTATCCAAATAGAGTTCAAAGACTTGACGAATTCCGCGAAAAACTTGTCAGTGAAATTGATGAGCATTGCGAAGATTTATGCAAGCTCATTGAGACAGAACTCCTTCCTGTTGCAAATAATCCAGAAACAAGAGTTTTCTATGAAAAAATGGAAGCAGACTATTACAGATACATGGCTGAGAATCACACAGGTGATGAAAAAGCAGCAATTATTGAAAAAGCTGGTTCTCATTACGAAACTGCCCTTGCTATCTCAAACTCTGAGCTTTCTCAAGCATCAACAACTGCTCTTGGATTGACATTGAACTATTCCGTTTTCTTATACGAAATGATGGATAGACATCAAGAAGCTATCGATCTTGCTGCAAAATCAGTGCAGGAAACAATCGACTTACTTGACACTCTCAGTGATAAAACCTACAATGAAGCAACAAAAATTATCTACCTTCTCAAAGATAATGTAAAGAACTGGAAAGAACGCTTAAATCTTTAACCTTGTTACAGAATAAACTTAATTTGTATGAAAAAATAATTACCAACTATTTTTAACTATCATTTTCCAATTTTATATCATATCAAAATTTCAAAAGTTGAATATAATGCTTTGATTTGCTTAAATTACATATCTTATCACGAGTCTTATTATTGTGTATTGCTTACAAAGTTATTCCTTCTAAAATATCGATTTCAATTTGAGCTCTTCTTGATTCAAAACACACTCACAATGTAACTAGGTGTGGGTGGTGTAATGCAAAGGTAAGATAGTACTGCTTTTGTAACGAGAGGCGTTAAATTGAATACTTTACATTTTGCGTTTAGGATTTATCTAAATTTCAAAAATGGAGAAAAAAGCCAAGAGCCTTCCAAAGCCAGCTTTCAAGCTTTCAAAAGTGCAGTTTGAAGAAGTCGAGAGAGCATTCAAACAGTTCGATACAGATGCCAGTGGCCTTCTTGATCGCCATGAATTAAAAATCGCATTCAGAGCTCTTGGATTCGATGTAAAGAAAAGCCAAATTGATGAGTACATGCAGAGATATGATCCAAAGGGATATGGAGGTATTGATAAGAACGCTTTTCACACAATCATAGATCCTCTTGTTTATAACAGAGATCCAGTTTCAGAAGCACAAAGATCATACAAGGGATTCGATCCAGAAGGACGTGGAAGACCAATTGATTTAGCCAGACTTCGCCAATTGTGCGATCAATTCCATATCGTTTTTACTGATCAAAAACTCAAACAAATGATCGCCGAATTCGATGAGGATGGTGATGGATGCATCAACGAAGACGAATTCATTCAAATCTTCAACCCAATCAGATAAATTCCAAATCTCTCTGAAGCAATGAAGAATTTGAGGCGTTAATAAAATGTTTATTATTACTCTTATAAAATACTGATGTATTTTCATAAAATATTATTTAATTTTGTTCATAATCCACCTTTACCATTTACAAGCTTTTATCAAGTTATTTTACTACTATATTCTAAGTTTATATAAGTCTTAATACTTGCTATGGCGTTTTCAACTTTTTCTTGTTAGATATGTTGCTATTTTTAAAAAATTCATGGAATTAAGTTTTTGAAGAGCAAGGTTTCTCAAGAATTACGGATGGGAGCTTTGGAGTAACAATTTTGAATGAAAAATTCAATATGATTTGTCAATTGAATATTCAGCTCAAAATATTCATTAATTTATCAGATATAAGCAACACAAGACATGAAAATACATATATGATTTCGTGTGATATTGATTTTAACACTGTTTTGATGAAGGAATCCAATATGAATAATTATAGAGTTTCTTGGAAAATCTGTCTTCAAATATAAAGTATATTGGAATACATGTTGTAGTCTTTAAATCTTAAGATGTTGATAACATCTTGTCTCTCATTAGATAGTATACTAAAAGATTCAACTTACTTCGCAGTTAGATAATGGTGTAAAAATATGCTACAAATACCTAAACTAGATCAATTTTTCAATATGCTACAAAAAGCAAAACTATTACAAGGAGAAATTTCTATTTAAAAGGTGGGATGACTATACCCTGTGGAAGATAATGATACATAGATTTCTTATATTAAATGAATAATTATTGAAAATTCAATAGCATTCTCTAAGCTTTCTTTTAGAACAATATACCGATATCAATAATGTAAATATAAATTTGACATCTCAGAGAGCAATCATATTTGAATACACAGTAATTACAACATTTTTTAATTGAGTTTGAAAGTCAATAAACCTTCACTCTGATCCAGTAGTGTACATACACTTCCATTTGTAGAAATATGTTTTTAGATATTGTTTACGAATTGTAAACATTAAGAAAATTTAGATGAGAAATGAAGAAATCCTCCATAATAATGGCAATCTTAGCGTTACAGCGCCATCAGAACTAGCCGACATATTTACCCATCAATTAATGCCACAAGATAGATGCATGATAATTAATGCGCTGTCTAATGCATTTCTTGTTGGCGTAAGAGAAACATTAGGTCTTTTTAACGGGGAAAAATTTTCTATATACACAACATCCTTTTGTAGAGCTAAAATCATGGAAGGAAAGTTTCTAAAGGAGATCCAGCTTATTGACATTCAAATAGTACCATACAAAGATTAAATTCAGAACACAACGATAATGACAAATAAACATTCAAATTTTTGTATGATTGCTTAATTTTTTTAATGATTCATAGAATGTTGCTGGAGAAAATAAACACATATAAAGAGAATGAAACAATATAAATTTACAATTTTCGGTTTTTTTTAAAGCCTTGGATTCCATAGAAAATCTTTATAAGAAGAAGAGGTTAATAATTGGCCAATTAAACTATCATATTACATATTTCCAGTAACATAAACAATCCCATTAATAATAATTGGCCAATTAAACTATCACTTGCTTATTTCCAGTAACATATATATTTTTGCTTTGATATAGATACAATCTTTAAGTAAATGAAGATGGATAACACGACTTCTTCAGTACACGAAAACACTTTGATTACGTCTTTGATATTAACAGTTAAACATTTAAACATTCAGTGATAAAGCATTAAAGTTATGTATTAGAAAAATAATGAGTTAATTCTAATCAAATTGTTTAGAATATTTTTTACAAACATATAATAAAAAACTAAAAAATTACAATGAATAATTATTCATCCCAAAGTTTCTTTGCATCGACATCTCCGTCGTCATCATCGGAATCCAAGTTCCATAAGTCCTTTGCATTATTGTTATCGCTAGACGAATCAGACAAATTGCCCCATCCATCAGAATCACTTTCACTCTTCTTCTTTTTCTCTTCTTTTGGTTTTTCATTCTTTTTATCATTTTCTTCATCTTCATCGACCGAAATAGACAAAGAAGCTTCGATTTCCTCCTCTTCTTCTTTACGTTTTCTTTGTCTTTCTTCTTCCTCTTTTCTTAGTCTTTCTTCCTCTTCTCTTTTGATTCTTTCTTCTTCTTCTCTTTTCAGTCTTTCTTCTTCCTCTTTCTTCTTTCTTTCCTCTTCTTCTTTCTTCCTCTTTTCTTCTTCAATCTTCTTCTTTTCTTCTTCAATCTTCTTCTGTCTCTCCATTTCTTCTCTGTCTATTGAAGATGACTCAAACATTTGTGAATTTGTGGCACTGCTTCTCCTGCTACTTGGCCTTCGACTGTTTGTGGCTGTAGAAGACCGGCGGCGCATTGCTTCGAGGTTGGCCTCGTTTCTCATTGCGCGGCGCTTCTCTTCTATTCCTTGGTTCACTCTGTTTCGGTCTTTTGCATTATTCATCTGATCGAGGAACGGATCTGTGACAATTGCGTCTTCAATAACAATATCCAGGTAATCACCATTCTGATGGCTGACCATTAGGTTGAAAACATTGTCTTGTTGGGCGGATTCGCCATCTTGAGCGATGAAACCATTGAATGCCTTGATGGGAGACTTGCGAATATACCTTAAATATATTATAAATACTATGAGAAGTATCAGAACTATGATTCCTATGACAAAGAACAAAATACTCAAAATATTCTGGAGAGAAGCTATTCCTTTTGAGCCAATTTCAATAGGAATGGGTCTTGTTTGATAGAATGAGTAGTATTGTATACAGGAATTAGTGGAATACAGTGAAAGTTCTGGCATTTCACCAGTTGTAACACAATCCATAAGTAAAACGTTATTAGTTACTATAGTTTGAGCTATAATGGTACAATTGAAAAAGTAACAAGAGGAAAAACCATAAAAAGTGTTTGAATTGAAATAACAACCAACAAAAGTTACAAAAGCATTATTGGAAAGGCTTGAGAATGTAACAAAGTTAGAATTATATACAGTGGCAGGAGAATTCATTGAAATCATTTGAATTTGCATGAAATTATAGCGAAAATTAATATAACTTTCTTGAAGTAAACCGAAATTGTATCCGTTAGATACATTGTTACTTGTAAATGCGATTCCATCATTTGAAATCGAAAACTTGAGCTGGTTTAGTTCTGAAATTACAGAAATAAAATCGTAATTAAAAATTCCAGAAGAAGAGTCTTCGATGGAGATCAGCATTCCTTGAGAGTAAGTAGTTGTCGTAAAGCAAAGTTTCGAAAAAGAGCCAGTTTTGATTTTAGTAATTTCTATTGCGGAATATTTAGGATTTACAAACATTGATGATGTGATTTGGATGTTTAGGTCAGTGTTACCCGATGAATATATGCATTTAGAACAATTGGCGAAAGTACTACTGTCAATTGTGATATTTCCGAAAGAATTGCTAAGATCAACGTCATCAACGTATAGGCCACTAAATGAATAACTATTTGCTGACGAACTAACAACAGAACGAAGAAAATTATTGAATTTTGAATTCCGCAATTGCAAATTTTTCGGATTTAAAGCAAAATGCGAGAAAAACTTCGAAGCCGTGCACTTTGAAAACTGAAGATTACTCCTACTTGCGAAAAGAGGAGATTCTTGGTAGTTTTTCGTTAATAAAGAAAATATTGTTAAATTCATTTGTCACTTTTTATCTCGAAGGGTTTTTCAACGATTATCGGCGTGCAGCACCAGAACAAAAAAATTCATTATTTCCCATCAGATAGTGAGTGTTTGTTTAACTCAACAATGGTACAGATGAGAAATCAAACTATTGAAAAGATGTGGGTTAGAAGATTGAATGGAACTGTTTTAGAAATGCAAACTCAAGAATTTTAGTCATTTGATTTGAAATATATCAAATGTTAGGGTTTGAACTTTCAAAATTTCCATATGTTAATGAATTGCAGTATAGATACTGAACCAGAGCTCCAGCTGTAATGTCTATTTAAAATTTCTTTTTTAATCAGTGAAAATATAACATTGAATATATCTTATCACATTTCAAAATCGAATTATATATCCTTCTCTTTGCAATAAAAAGGTAATTTTTAAATATTGAAGTTCTATCGGTTTTTATATCCTATTTGGATTATTGGACACTTATATTCAGTAGATTTATAACTAAAATACTAGTTATGATTGATAATTTTCAAGATAAATTTATAAAATTAAAAAATTTAAATAGTTAGTATATAAATAAGGAGTTTATTCGTAGCCATGCACGAGAGAAGCAATTTCTCTCCTAGTTCCCAGAGGAATAAAGTCATATTTAGCTGAATCTGACAAATATCTCAGAATTTTTTCTTTCGAGTCATCATCAGCACTCTTCAATGCGTTTATTAGATTGAAGATTATCTTGTTCAAGTTCTGGAACAAGTTTCTATTTTCAATAATAATTTCTTTACTGAAAATGAACGAAATAATGTCTCTGTTACACATATATATGGCCATATTCTTCGATTTCGTCATGTTCATGATACAAAATACCATTACTCCTGAAATTGTATCAAATTCTTCGTCGAACATCTCATTTTGACAGAGATCTTGAATGATATCAACTACCTTTGGTCCGTATTCATCAATGAAACTATTGACACTGCAAAGATTTGTAATTAATCCGATTGCTGGTAATAACACATCAGGATCTCGTTCTGATTTAGCAATTAGCATAACTGTATCACAGATATCATTCTCTGATGATAAACTGTTGAGATCGAGCTTTTTTGATCCGGATAAATTCCATAATCCTGTCAAGAGCTTTTTTTCTTTGTCAGAGCATATCCTTGTTAAATTGGAGATAATTGAATCATTTGTATCATCGTATTTTATCTTACTTTCAAGTTCTGATTTTAATTCTAAAATTTGTTCGTCTTTTGCACGTAATTGCCCTGCCATTTGAACAAGCCTTTCTTTAAGAGTTGTAACTTCGTCTAGAATATCTTTTAATACTTCATTTTGCTCCGAAATGCCTTCAATCATTAATTTCTAATCTTCACATCATGAAAAGTGACAAAGGGAAGTTCACATGTCAAGATTTTTCTAATAACTTTTTACCTTATATACATTGTATATATTTCTATATTTGAATATGCATCAAAAAAAAAAAAAAAAAAAAAAAAAAAAAAAAAGGTAGTGGGGCTTCCAGGCACTTCGTGCCTTCTAGCCCTGAAGATGTTTAGTATAAATGAAGTCTTAGAGGACAAACATGACTATGAGTTTTGATATGACAAGATAGAATATGAGAGAGGTCCTATAAACCGGAGAAAGTGTTATATAAACATCTGTCATATTACTCAGAATATTATACAGAATTCAATAAAAATATATTTAGGTGAAGAGGTGAGATTTCACCTGTTTTTTCACCTCATTTTTCACCTCTTGAATTTTCATGAATTTCATCGTAAAGACTTTGTCAAGATTTCATCGTAAAGACTTTGTCAAGATTTCATCGTAAAGACTTTGTCAAAACTTCATCGTAAAGACTTTGTCAAAACTTCATCGTAAAGACTTTGTCAAAACTTCATCGTAAAGACTTTGTCAAGATTCTTCGTAAAGACTTTGTCAAGATTTCTTCGTAAAGACTTGTCAACTTCATCGTAATGAGCGTAAATCAGACAAAAATATATTTTAGGGTAGAAGGGTATAATCTACCCGTTTTCTACCCTCTTTTCTACCCCATATGTACTTACTGAAAAAGTATGTGTTCCATCTGTCATTTTACTCAGAATTTTACAACCAAAAAATAATGTTTAGGTGAAGAGGTGAGATTTCACCTGTTTTTTCACCTAATTTTTCACCCTCTTGAATTTTTCATGAATTTTACACCAAAAATATATTTTAGGTGAAGAGGTGAGATTTCACCTGTTTTTTCACCTAATTTTTCACCCTCTTGAATTTTCATGAAATTTACACCAAAAAATACTACTAGGGTCATTTACGAAGAAATCTCAACAAAGTCTTTACGAAGAAATCTCAACAAAACATAGACAAGAAAGTTCATGAGAAATTAGATGAAGAAGTCTTAACAAAGTCTTTACGAAGAAATTCATGAAAATTCAAGAGGTGAGAAATGAGGTGAAAAAAGAGGTGAAAATCTCACCTCTTCACCTAAAATATATTTTTGGGTCATTTACGAAGAAATCTCAACAAAGTCTTTACGAAGAAGTCTTGACAAAGTCTTTACGAAGAAGTCTTAACAAAGTCTTTACGAAGAAGTCACAATAAAACATCTGTCAAAAAACCGCTTTTTTAACTTCACTTAAAATGCCACGTAAGCTACGTAAGAATATACGTAAGAGGAAGAGAGCATTGAAACATCCAATAGTAAGACTAACACCACAACAACAGTTGCAACAACAAATGCTGAATGACCCCACTATGTTGCAACAAATGTCAAGCAATCCTATGCTTTTAAACCGAGTTGTTGGTGCACAGAGTGGAGGTTTAAGAGCGCACTTTTAGCGAAAATGGCAGGCTATGGTGGAGCTGCAGACGGAACAGCATATAACCCTCAAAGTCAAATGAATTTGAGTTCACTCAAAAATCAAATAACAGATGTCAAAAAAGTCAAACATAGACATACAGAAGCAAATAAGTGAAAACGAAAAGAAACTAGAATATGACAGACACACAAAGAAACTCAATGAGTTAAACGTAGAGAAAAAGAAGAAAGAAGAACAACTGAAAGAACTAAGTACAGAGGAATATGCGAAAAAAGTGTCAGAAAAAGCACAGAAGTAGCAAAAAATGGAACAAGATGTCATAAATTTGAAAAACCATACTACTCAATATAAAGTACTGAAAGATGAAGAGATAAAAACAAAAAGCCCTGAAGACATATATGGATAGCGATGAGTATAAAAAAGAAGTTGAAGCAAATGTAAAGGCAGAAAAACTTTTACAGTTGCAAAACCAAACCGTACAGTATGAAAACTTAGCACAAGAAAGTAAAAATAACGACGCGGCTATGCAAAAGGCAATGAAAAGCGCAGAAATATTAAAAAGCTAACAATGACTGGTTAGATGCCCAAGCCAACGCTAAAGCAGCCCAACTCATAGGGTCAATAAGGACAAAAATACAAGCGGATGAAGACAGTTCAAATGAAGCTTTAACAAATGCTGACTTTAAGAACGCTTTCGAAGCTCTTCATAGTAAGGTGAAACAAGTGAACGACTTCTCATCTGGAAAGAAACTGAAGTCTGAAGGTTTCGACAAAGAGTTAAAAGAATAGCACAAAATATGACGAAAATAACAGATGCAGCAACGAGACAGGCAGTTCAAAGTGCCTATGACGCCGTTAGAGAGCAACTGTTGTGAAAAGTCAAGAAAAAGAGTTACAACAGACCAAAACAGACCTAGTAAATGCTTTCTTAAGAACGAAAAAGTCAGGTAGGACATTACGCTGCAGATGGAACATATGTGCCAGCTGGTGGAATTTATATACCACCAAACCCTCCAAGAGAAGCACCTGCACCAGGACTACCTAAAACATTTACATCGTCACATGGACATAGACACAGGCATGCACAAAACCAGCACAACAACCAACACAACAACCAACACAACAACCAGCACAGCAACCAACAGTTCAAAACCCTGCACAACAACAACCACAAACAGAGCAAGGACATAAAAGAAGTAGAGAACAAGGAAACCAAGAATTCTTAAAAATGCTTAAAGAAGAGTGTGGTTTCCCAGATACTGTTGACTTTAGTGACAGATATAAAGAAGCTATTGGAAAGTTCAAGGATGGAAATACTGACCCGAACCTATTTAGCTTTATGGCTCAGCACCAAAACGGATATAATCTCAAACCTGGAAAATACAAGCTCGCTAAGGGATATGATTTAATAGCATATCATCCAAATGACATGGATGAATTTACTCCGAGATATTTGATGTCAGAGCTAAATGACAATTCAACTTTCGTCATGAAACGCGTAAAAAAAGAGACGGAACGAAAGAACAAAAGCTTATGAATGCGGATGACGTAGATAGGGAAATTGTTAAAACGGTCTCGGAATATATGAAATGCCAGCAGATGAGGTACAAGAAACTCCACAGGAAGAAGTTCAGATACAACCAGACATGGAAGAAATAGTTCAGCAACAACAGCTAGAAGAGCCTGAAGGAAACGAACAAGTCACTCCTTTGGAAACTAACTTCACAGAACTAGATGAAGATTTGGAACAGCCGAAAAATCTTGACCCTCAACAAGAGTATGCGGGAATATGGAATATTTCCAAGAGTCTAAAAAAAATTCGGCTGACATAGTAGAAGAATATCGAAAAATGTTTGCCGACATACAAAAGACTCCAACACCAGATGAAAATATTCAGCATAGAATGGAAGTACTGAAAGAAAATGTACACAAATACAACAACCCTTTTTACTTACGAGCATTTAACGTTCAATCTTCGGATGAACTCGGTGAAATAAAAGGTTAAATTTCAAGAAAACATATAGAAATGAAACATTGTTTAAAGTTCATTCAGAACCTAACCAAGATGGAAACAAACCTACTTTTGTTTCTGCAGACGATGGAACTACAATGAGATGGGGTCATAAAGCTAACCCGGATAGGTGGTTCATAAACTTACAACCTCAATTCCAAGAAGTTGTAGACGCAATGGAAGTCAATGGTGAACCAGATATAGCTGGTATTTTAAGCGCGGCTTTAATGCCATTGAAAGATATGAAAGATGCAGATATTTTGGACCAGTATGAAATGAACATGGCTGATGGAAATATAACACCTGACGTTCTAGAACATTTATCTCAAAGAACTACACAGAACCATAGAGATGGTATATTTGGTGAAGAGTTTAGAAAGAAAGTTAGGGAGAGAAGGAAGAGAACCTATTGTACATGACCTTGCAAACGAAAGTTTACAAAATGTCATAAAAACTTACTTTGCAGACAATGAACGAGAAGGGATGAATATTTAAGAAAACTCAAATGGACAGTACCAAATGAAATGTTAGTATTGAAAAACATGTTCCTTGACAAAATAAAACCAACTACAGAAATAAACGACGCAAGACTGAAAGATTGGGTAAAAGCTTTCCCATTCACAAAAGATATTGTTGGTAACATGGAAAGAAAACCAGAATGGCTACAAAAACATATATTTGGAAACGAGCTTATTCCATATGGACAGGCACTGTTTGAAGAGCTTGAACCGGAAACTCAGGAAAGAGTCATGCAAACAATACGCGAAGACTCAAATACAACTATGACAAACTCTTTCTAGGATATAGGTTACCTGAGATGGGCGACCAGAGCCAAAAGGCAAAAAGGACATGGGAAATTTGCAACATACTAGATGAACATAATGCAAAGATGCAACAACTTCAAGCAGAGGGCAATGAAGGAAAAAGAAGAGTTAAAAACTCAGTCAGGAAGAAAGTAAAGCTTGGTCCACGTGGGTTCTATTATGACATATAAATCCAACTATTCTATATTTTTACTCATATGAAATGTACGCCGCTCAGAATATAACGCCAACAGTTTTGGATGCTATGAATGGAAATGTTTCCGAATGGTATAACGAATGCGACAATGCCATTAGAAGGTCAGAAATAGTTCCTGGAACTTACGAATATACAACTGCTGTTTCTTATGGAAACGTAGGTGAGTTTGGAGAAGGTTCTTCAACAACAGTAGATATTGCTTGCGACAGGTTTCATATAATTTCTATTGACAACTCTTTCTTATACGTGGAACAAGACATTGAAATAAAACCTTCTGCCAAGTTGTCTGACAAGAAAGGTTGCAATGGAATTTTCTATGTCGGATACCAATATGCTCCAGAAGTTTTCATGGGATATAAGATATATTCTAACTCTGACTTAGTTCAAACAGTAACATGGGCAAACTATGAATGGTTCGCTTTGAGAAACTCAGTACAACCACAAGCTAGAGAACAAACAGACCAGTATGCAACTATTGAGAAAATAAGAAGACTTGACCCTAACGTTCCAGGAGTTTATGTTGACCTTTCTGGACAAACTGCAGCAGCAGTAACCAAAGTAAAACTGAAACTTAGAGTTCCTTTGTCATCTTTCCTCATCTTCAGGTTTTTAAGATACTTGCCAAACTGGGCAGGAAAAATTTCTATCGAACTTACTCCAAGCAAAAATAACTTAGTCATTGCACCAACGCAAGACCCATTCACTCTTACAGACGTAAAGGGAGCAAATAAACGTCATTCGCCGAATTTTGCAAAGACAAAGTTGACTTAGACTTTGGTTTCTCAAACCTCAACACTGAAGTAAACTATTATTTCAATGCTGCTGGAACTGCTTGGGACCCAGTTAAGTTCACATGCGAAAAGTTTGAATGCAAGAGAATAGAAAGCAGACTTGCAGTCTATATGTTGGACCCAGATATTTCAAATGCTTTAGCTGCCAAATATATTGCAGTTCCACTTATGTTCCCTATACACCAAATATCTGTCAAAGACTTTGCAGGTGAAGTTGGAAACCAAAGTGCTGACCCAGGTGCAAGAACAGATATTGCTTTAACAACTGCAATGAAACATGCAGATACTATGTTTGTACTGTTCAGACGAACTATAAATGACTATTCTTGCTTCTACAACCCTGGTATTAAATACCATATAAACATAGATGGCAAATATATCCAAGAGAAGAATATTCTACAGTTGAGGATATGAGGTCATACAACTTGACATTAGATGCTATGAACTTTAACAACAACTTCACAACAACCATTAACCCTGAAATGCAAAGTTCTATTATGCCATATGTGAAAGTATGGACTCATACAGGAGCTCAAAAACTCAATATACAAATGGAGACCGTTCAAACTTTTGGCTTGGCATTCCATTTGCTGACTCAGAAGACTTTATGGGTGGTATTTCAACTGTTGGTACAGTTCAAATACAATATACTGGTGACAGAGACGGTCCAAATGAATTGAAAGCAAAGAAGTTTACAAAACCAATAGCACTTTTCACGGAAGATGCTCTTTTGAAAATTCGTTCGATGAAACCTGCTGGGGCTCCTCAGATTGGCATAACGACAGCTTCCATCGAGCAGATTTTGGCAGCAGGTCAGTAAGTTGTTCTTGAACTGACTTCTCTCCGTCAAATATTGACAGTACGCCAGTTTTGACATAAATTGTATTATAAACTTTCCTTTAGAAATATCTGTAAGTTTTGTTGTTATATTTTTGTCTGCTTCAAGAACTTTCACCATTTCAGTTATACCAACTTTCTTTGCTTTATGAAAATATTTTGGTTCAGCAAATGCTATTCTATAACATTTACCATTGTTTGTATAAAGAACTATTCTGTCAATGTATTTGTATTGTTTGTGTGTGTAAACTTTGTTCTGCTTCAATTCGAAGAGATACTCAATACGTCCATCTTTTTATTCTAAGTAAAATGTCATTTCCGAAAAATAGAAGCGTAAGTGTTTCAAAAGGTTTAATGGCGGTGGCAGATGTGAAGTTAAATTCACCAACTCAAACAAACAGTCAAAGTGTTGTTGTCAATGTCAAAGAAAGAGATGTTGAAGTGGGGAAACCATACGAAGACGAAGATGGTATAACAATAGTTCCTGTAAAAGAACAACCAACATACCTGAAGTTAGCAGAGACTTAAGTTCTGTTGCAGATATTCGAAACGACTACCAACAACTTAAAGACAAACTTAAAACTCAGGAGAAGATTTGTCAAGCTTTGGTATAATGTTAAACTTGGTCGAGCACAACCCTGTAAAAGTGAACTCATATGTCATCGCACCTCATGAAGTTTTGAAAGAACTATTGAAACTTTTGACAGAGGCAGACGATATAAACATCAAAGAAATAGAACCCGACGTTAGTTGCTGTGGTGTTTCATATAATGTCATTGACAAGATATACGTTATGAAAGGAGGTGAAACGTTGAACTTAAAATATAGTTTCCCAGACGTCATAAAAATATTTGACGACCACAACATTTCATTAAAATTTACTTGCTAAGTAAATGGCAGAAGACATAGTGGTTTATACTATTACGACTAAAAACCCTGAGTCATATAATTCTATAACAACAAACTTACAAAGTCCTCAAGGACGATATTGTAAACTAACCTTAAACACAATGACGACTAAAGCCTGTTTTGCTCTTTTGACACCAGAAGACTTTGTTGTTGTGAATGGTAAAAAATACTTCTTTGAAGATACTTACTCAGATATACCACCAACAGGTTTTGTTGACTTATTTAATACTTTAAGGACGGATGTAACATGTGCTGCAACTAGAGCAGGTTTCATTATGTTTGGATGTCCGACTGAGTTTAGTATAAACGATATGAGCTATAATACAAAACTTATATCTGGTTTTTACTACCAACAGTTTCCTATAACAGGAAAAGGTGTCATACAAGGTTTGTCTGTTCCATTGACATTAAGCACACCAATCTTATATATTGTTTCAAACTTAGGTTCAAAGTGCTATTCGAATGTCGACAGAAACTACTATGACCAAAAAATACTCATGCGTATAAACAACACTTTCTCTGCTGGTTTGCCTATTGTTCATTCGAATGCAGAGTTTTCAGCTTTAGTAAACTCAAACACTTTAGCAAACATAAACTTAACCTTAGTCGACGCAAACTTTGTTCCTGTAAAACTTTTATGTCCTATGTATTTGTCAATGACGGCAGAAAGTTTCGAATTGGAAGATGCAACTGGTGAAAGTATTGTACTACAAGAACAACTTCAACAACAAATAGCTCAAGAACAACAAATGCAACAAATGGAACAAATGCAACAACAAAGTCAAGAATAAAAAAAATATTTTTTTTATTTTTATAAAAATGTACAGAATAGACGTTTCAGATTTTTATGACTTCCAAGCGTTCAGAAATATGTGTCCATTTCGAGACTATAACAAAGCAGTCGAGAATTTGAAACGTTTAGTCATTTATGTCGACTCTGCCCCAGAATGTTATGTCATGAAAGAATGGGATGTTGTCTTTAACAAACCAAGAGCAACAATAGTTTCAGAACAAGAATGTAGACAGAAACTTAAGAAAATAAAAGTCGTACAAGTTGGTATGAAGATGTTAGATGCTTGGGATATCTTATTGTCAAAACTTGAAGATTTTTCAGTTCGTGGTATAAAGTTTTATACACCTTCTCCAAACTTCTATTCTATCTTCACTGGATATAAATACGAACAAGTAGAATGGAAAGAAAATATTATAGAAGCTTGGTTAGACCATGTCAAAGAAATTATATGCAATGGAAACGAAAGAGTCTATGAGTATATCTTATGTTGGTTTGCAAATATCTTACAACATCCAAGTGCTAAGAATGAAACTGCTCTCATTATAATTGGAAAACAAGGAACAGGTAAGAACACATTCTTTACAGATATTTTGTGCAAACTGTTAGAGGGCTATTCGAACCCGAATATGACAAACTTAGAAAACATCTGTGGCAAGTTTAACTCCTCAATTGAGAATATGAAACTTATAGTATGTAACGAACTTCAAAGTATAGATACAACAAAAGTTTTGAACTCGGATGCTTTGAAGAGTCTTATAACAGACAAAGTTGGAGTTGTTGAAAGAAAATATAAAGACCAAAGAGTTTGTGAAAATGTTGCAAATTTCATTATGGTTTCAAACAACGCCGTTCCGATGAAGTTAGAAAGTTCTGACAGAAGATATGTAGTTGTCAGAACGTCAGATTCTCATATGCAAGATACAGAATATTTTGACGACTTAGCAGAAACTTTGACACCTAACTTTTACAACCACTTGTTCTCATATTTCATGACATTAGATATTTCTAAGTTCAATCCAAGACAAATTCCATATACCGAAGAGAGACAAACATTGTTAGAAGCAAACAAGAGTGTATATGAACTGTTTATAGATGAGACTAACTTTGTGTCATTAGATGAAAGGTCATTGTACGATTCATATAAACAGTATTGTCAAGAGTATGGTTATATGGCAGCGTCTAAACGAACATTCTTGGCAAATGTCAAAAATCTTTTAGACATACAGAACGGCGTATATACAAAGAAAAATTTTTCTGAGTAAATTTAAAAAAAATATTTTTTTATCCGATAGAAAAGATGACGAAATATATTTCAGTCAACAAGTACATGACAGAAGTCAAAGAAGAACTAGACCCATTCATATATTTGAATGTTTACTTCTACCATTTTGAAAAGTCTACATTTGACAAAGTTTGGAACATCGAACCCGTTAAGTTTGCTATTGTGACTAAAAATGGTGCGAAATTTGAAGACTTAGACATAGAAGGTTTGTTAACAGTCAAGGAAAATTTTGACAGAAGGTTTTCAAACCTTAAAGAAGGCAAAGCATACAAACTTGTTATACCTTATGAACCAAAGAAAGCAGACGACTATGAATATTATGAGTCTAAGATAGTTGAAGTTCAAGGTAAATTGGGTAAAAAGATTTTAGAGTCTAAGCCGGTGTTTGCTCCTAAAGAGGAAGAGAACATTGACATTGACCCAGAAATGTTCTAAAAATAAAATTTTATTTTTACATGTCAAATTTCTTTTTCTCTGGAACTGGCTCTGGTTCTTTCTTTCTTCTCTCTACTTTCTCTTTTCTTTCTTCTCTCTCTTCTTCTTCTTCTCTGGTGGAGTTATGTCAAATTTCTCAGAACCATATTTATGTAAAAGTTCTTTGTCCTTTAATAGCTCTTCTATTCTGTTTTCTATTTCATCTTCAAGAACAGCGCATGTGTCTTCTTTGCATTCTAAGAACTTTTGTTGGACTTCATCTTTCCAATCGGCGTCATCTCTGTCAACAAGTCTGTCATTGACAAATTTTAAGACTGCTCTTTGTAATGTTTTATGGTTCTTGTCATATTCCCAGAAACAGAACTTTAGAACAAATTCACCTTTCTTGTTTACACTATGTAAGATTTTATGGTCGACAGAAGTTTTAGAGTCAAAAAGTTTGTCTCGAATATAGATAGCGAAATCGCTAGACATTTTCTAAAAGATAAAAATTTTAATTTTTCTAAAAATATGTTAGAAAAAAAGTTTGCTGACATTGACAAAAAATTTGAGAATGTTTTAAACAAGAACAAGAGGAAGTTGGAAAATGCTCAGATAAAACCCATACATGACAAGTTCTTATTTGCTCAGAATGGTATAACAGGTCTAATCGCACCACCTGGGTCGGGTAAGACTTTCACTTATCTTAAAATGGCTGCACAACAACAAGAACTAGATGAGAAGAACCCATTCTATGAGTTAGTTGTCATTTGTAGTACTTCTGGTCAATTTGACCAAACCGTCAATTCGTTCAAAGATATTATAAAGAAGTCTAAGTTAGTATGTATAAAAGACTCTGAGTTGTTAGATTGGATAAAGAAGTACCAAAGAAAGTTTTGAAGTACAATGCTATAAATGAGTATATAAATTCTAAGTTTAAAGACCCAAATGAGGAAATGCAGAGAATATTAGAGAAGAAACACTTCAGAAACAAACAGAAAGAGATAGAATACATTTCGAAGAAATTGCAATCTTACGATTGGAAGACATACCCTCATAGGTGTCTTCTTATCTTAGATGACTTTGCTTCTCATCCTTTGTTAAAGAACAGAGAACAAGATATTGTCGAATTCTTAAGAAAGCTCAGACACTTTAACATTTCAGTTGTCATTTGTGTACAGACAGCAAAGAGTTTAAGTAAGGATGTAAAGAGAATACTTACTGACATTGTACTTTTCCCTGGATTGTCCGAAGACGATTTCATGGAACTTATGAAAGAGTCCATGGCAGGTAAGTTTGACAGACATGAACTATGGAGAAGTACAAAGTCATACAAGACCCTATACTTCTTTCAGAATTTCATATCTACGCAAACAAAGTTCAAATTGTAAAAAAGTCAAGCGTAAAAATGTAGTGTTTGAGTCTTAGTCTGTTGTGGTGCTGGGGCTGTCGGTTCTTCTGGCTTTGGAAGGCATTCAGGAAGAGGAACGTCGGACATTCGTTGTGTCTTAACCGTCTTGTTCTGAAACAATATAATATTGTACTGAATAAGTACAATATTGTCTTGAAAAAGTACAATATTGTCTTGAAAAGTACAATATTGTCTTGAAAAAGTACAACATTGTCTTGAAAAGTACAACATTGTTGAAAAAGTACAACATTGTTCTGAAAAAGTTCAAGAACTTGTTCTGAAAAAGTACAGCTGTACTCAATTTGAGAGACATTGTACTGAATTTATACAACATTGTTCTGAAAAAGTACAATATTGTACTGAATTTATACAACATTGTCTTGAAAAAGTACAATATTGTACTGAATTTATACAACATTGTCTTGAAAAAGTACAATATTGTCTTGAAAAAGTACAATATTGTCTTGAAAAAGTACAACATTGTCTTGAAAAAGTACAACATTGTTCTGAAAAAGTACAACATTGTTCTGAAAAAGTTCAAGACTTGTTCTGAAAAAGTACAGCTGTACTCAAATTTGAGAGACATTGTACTGAATTTATACAACATTGTTCTGAAAAAGTACAATATTGTACTGAAAAAGTACAATATTGTACTGAATTTATACAACATTGTCTTGAAAAAGTACAATATTGTACTGAATTTATACAACATTGTCTTGAAAAAGTACAACATTGTACTGACTCAGTATGGAGCTTGACCCCTTAGACGAAGCAATTTATCTAATTGAAATTAACGAGCTTGTTAAAGACTTCCTCAGGCAGAATGTAAAAGGCAAGCTTGAAAAATAAAGATTGAAATTTACCCTACTTGTTTGAAGTTGTCAAAATACTCTGTTATTTTTTCCTTTAACAATGGCAAATCTTCTTTGAAGGTAAAAATTGTACAACCTTTAATATCATAGTGTGTTTGAGGTAACGTATCTTGAACTATTTGTTTCACATCTTCATTTGGTGTCATTGAAATCGGTAAGTTTTCGCGATAGAACCAATTTCTGTCAGATTTGTAAATCTTAGCAAGGTCGTAAAAGCTTTTGTTGTTTCTTCTGACTAAATGCAACATAACCATATCTCTGTCTTCTTCATTTTCCATCTCTTCAGTATAAATCATATACTTATAGTTCTTTTCCTTTCCTTTTGGTACCGAACGTGGTATTCTTTTCTGAAGGCTTTTGTCTTTTGCTTCAATGACTTCATCTTTTGCATGAAGTTTCTTTTCCATCTCTTCACGTTCTTGTCTATGAATTTCGTCAAGAAGTTTACAAACATACCATGAATAGCGAGCTGAAGCCCATTGTGCCACATTATTTACGAGAAGTCTATGAACATAATATCCTCTTAAATTTATTGGCAAATTTTTACGATTTTCATGTGTTTTATGCAAGGCCGAGAATTCTCGGTCTAGAGAAATTTCACTCAAAAGTTCTTGTGTGCTTTGGTTTTTGAACCAGTCGTCTGCGTGTTTAGTATCTGGAGCAAAACATGCTGTCAAAATACTTTGCATTTGGTACATGTCATCTTTGACCGAACGAATGAGACGTAACTGTTTGTTAAACTGAACCCACTCATATTCTTCATTTATGGCTTCATGAACGATAGCAGTTGTTGTGTTCTCTGATGTTGACATATCTGTCTTTACATACAGGATAAAAAAATATTTTATAAAAAATTAGCGTTATTTTCTGACTTTCACAAAAGACCAAAAATAAACGCTTTACATGTATTTTTCAGCAACTTCGTCAAATAATTTTATAGCTTTATCTATCTCATCTACTTCAAACGTTTCTTTACCTTTCGTGGGAGCACCATACATTTTCTCAAACTTTTCAAGTAGTTCTGTTTCAGCAGCTCTCATATCGTTAACAAACACAACCTTAACTCTATTGACTATACTGTCATATCTTTGAGTTATATTAAATGTTCTTCCTATCTTATATCTCTTTGTATTGAAGTCCTTCGGTTTGAACGATGTAAAGTAAGCCTTCACTGCAACGTTCCGTATCGAACGAACCATATGTTATGAAATTATATCCAACAACTGGGTCAATCCAGAACAAAACTACTGGTATAAGACTTTTGTCTATAAGAATATGCTCTTGTTCCATAGAATCTTACCGATATCATAAGCTCAGGATTCTTGTCAAAATTTTCTGAGTTGAACATTTTTAACCCAGTCGTGTGCTTTCTTTCCTTCAGATAGTGTTAAAATGTCTGACAAAGAATATTTTTTGTATTTCTTTGAGTATCTTACGTTTAAATCACCTATTCTAACTATTTTGGTCTCATTGTCTATCTTTTTAACTGTTTCAAACTCAACCTTTAACATTTCTGTTCTTACATACAAAATAAAAAAAAATAAATAAAATAAAACTAACTTTATTTTTATTTTTTCTATCTTAAGGAAATTCATGAAATTTCATAGAATTTTTTACGAAGTGTAAAAGTTCTCTTCGTCAAAAATAACAGTTATATAATGAAATTTGGTCATTTTTCAGCAAAAATATATTTTAGGTGAAGAGGTGAGATTTCACCTGTTTTTTCACCTCTTTTTTCACCTCTTGAATTTTGTATAAAAGATATGATTTCATAGAATTTTTTTACGAAGTGTAAAAGTTCTCTTCGTCACTCATAACAGTTATATAATGAAATTTGGTCATTTTTCAGCAAAAATATATTTTAGGTGAAGAGGTGAGATTTCACCTCTTTTTTCACCTCTTTTTTCACCTGTTATTTTATAAGCGTTTTACATGAATTGTATGATGTATATTTGAAATCCTAAACAATTTTGTGGCTTCTATTTCTTCTTTTAGTACATCGAATGTTTTAACAATGCCGAATGTTTCTTTATATTTCTTCTTGACATCTGAAAGAAGGAAATCTTCTGCTGTTGGATAGTTTTTGTTCAGAAATTCTAACATGTCCATTTTATCTTCTGCTGGTTTTTCTGCTTCTTTCTTTAAATCTGCATAGTCGTTTCGCATACGTTCTATCTCTTTGACGGAGTAGTTATATTTCCTCATTGCTGCTTTACATTTTGAACATTGCGGGTTCATTTTTGCGTTATATTCTGAAACCTTACCTGCTAAAACAACTAAGGCGTCAATGGTTTTCTTTAACTCAAAAGTTGCGGGTCTTATTTGTTCGTTCCATACCTTACCTCTTCTATCTTTATCTCTTATTTCCCAAACACATTTTGCAACTAACGAAACAAAGTTGTCGTAGGTCTTAACTCCAGATTTGTATATGTCAGAGATGTTCTTATATACCATATCGCAATCTTTGTCCATGACTTTGTGGTTGCAATGAAATCCAAGAAACTCATAGTTAACCTTTCGTATGAACTTCTTTATTTCTACTGAGTCAGTTGCTTTGACTTCAATTTCGTCGAATTCAGGAATAGTTAGTTTTTGTTGTTGGATTTCAGGTAGTTTAGGTAGATGGTCAATAATATCCTGCATTTCATAAAGATACTGTTCATTTTCTTCATCTTTCGCACTACAGTCTAAATTACTTGTTAACAGTTCTTGCTTTATCTTCTGGATTTCTGTTTCGAAAGTATATGAAGAAGGAATGAAGCTTTTCATCTCTACTAACATTGAAGTTGGATTCATAACTAAAGAGTTTGGTGCTGTTGTTGCTAACATGTTCTTACAATAAAAATAAAAAAAATATTTTATAAAAAACTAAAATATATTTTTTATTTCGGGAAAATTCATGAAAATTCAACGGGTGAAAAATTAGGTGAAAAAACAGGTGAAATCTCACCTCTTCACCTAAACATTATTTTTGTCGAAAAAAATGGTTCATTTACTCACAATATTTTTGTACAAAACAACCCCAAGCTTTTAACCTCTCTTCTGCAGCTTCTAATGCTATCTTAGCGAGTTCATATTCTCTAAATTCTCTCTTTAAATCTTCTTGTTCCCATTGGTCTAGTTCGTATGGAGAGTCTCTATAACCAGAACATATCTCACGTTCATGTTCTATTTGTTTTTCATGCATTTTTCTAACTTCTTCTTCGAACAAAGGTTTTGCATTCTCTACTGTATCTTCAAGTTCTTCTTCATCTAACTTCTCATGAACTTTCTTGTCTATGGAATCCAAAATTTTTCCAACTGCTATACAATATTTTGGAGAAGCCCACATTGCTATATAGTTTACAAGTCTTGGGTCTACATACGTTCCTCTAACCTGTTTGATTTCATCAGGAATTCCTGCATGAACTGTGTATAAAAAGCAACCCGCGGAATTCCGCGGGTTGGTATATTCTTCACAAAATGCCTCAAAATACTCTTCCCAGGACTTATTTTCCAACAACCTTCTAAAGTCCTTCCTAAACTGCTGACACATATTTGTTGCATTTATATAACCATCCTTGTCTCTACGTAAGACTTCAATACCGTTGTAAGTGCCTTTTGTGAATGTTTCGCCATTAGATTTGTTCGTGAACGTTTTGCTTCGACTGTCATTTCTGTTCTTACAATAAAAATAAAAAAATATTTTTGAGTGGCTTAACCGTCGGACATTCGTTTGTGGCTTAACCGTCGGACCACAACGATAAAAATCTCGACAAAACATTTACGAAGAAGTCATGACAAAACATTTACGATTAAATCATGACAAAACATATACGATGAAGTTTATTTCCTGTGTTGTTGTCAAAATGTCATGTTGTCACACTTTTTCAAAAAGATGTTAGTTGACCGAGTGACCTGGTCGCCTAAAATATATTTTTTCTATCTTAAGGAAATTCATGAAAATTCACCTGTTGAATTTTGTATAAAAAGCAAACCCGCTGTTTTCCGCGGTTGGTATATTCTTCACAAAATGCTTGTTTTGAGTCGAGCCACTTTTGCTCCACCTCTTTTTCAACCAAAAAACTCATTTTTGTCGAATTCAGCACAAAATTCATGAAAATTCATGAGGGTGAAAAAACAGGTGAAAAAAGAGGTGAAAATCTCACCTCTTCACCTAAAAATATATTTTCAATACTTTTTCAGCACTTCTCCGTAGTTATATATGAAAGACAATTCGAGATAAAAGTCGTAGTACAATGGAACAATATGTTTGCACACCATTTGTTGTGAACCAAACTTGAAAGTCAGAGAAACTGTTACTAGGTGGTTCGGATGAAATTTCTTCATCGATATAGTCCTACCAGCATTTGTAAAGATATAGTCTAACGGTTTTGTATCTGCTACTTTTGTTCTTTGTTTTTCAACCTGAAGCATTAATATATGTAAAAATATACTGTTTTAAAAATGTTTTAAAATGGTAGCCATATAGCTTCTTGAATTTGTTAAGAAGTATTCGAACGTATTTTCCATCTGTATCTCTAGCGTTTACAATAAGCATAGCCATCCTTAGTAAAATTATACTTGTAATTTTCTATAGTTTTACGCCGGTATAAAAGTAGAAAGAGTCTTGTTCTTCGCTATAGTAGTAAAACTCAAACGTATGCTTACCATAGTCTGTAATTTCAATTGCTTCATCTTCTAGTTCGTCGACAAATTCGAATACTATATCTCCAAATTTGCCTCTGTTCTTATTGTTTTCAGAACAAGTGACCCAGCGTAAGTTTTCAAGTCTATTGTCGTTTCTTATATGGTTTATATGGTCTACAAAAGGTAAATTGTTAGGGTTCGGTATAAAATGAGTTGCAATGACAATATGTTTAAAATAGCATTTCCCACCAATCCTCATCCTAGCATATCCGTCATTTCGCTCACATTCGCTTAAAACTCTTTTTGTCTTTTTGTTTTCTGACTTCAAATGACTCACAACAGTGAATTTCATATTTCTCATCTAACAAACAAGTTTCCCAATGGTCCTTTCCGACAGACTCAGCGTACATTTCAAATAAAATAAAAAATATTTTTTGAAAAAAAATACTGTTTTACTTTACTTAACATAACCACCAGCTACCATAAGTCTTTGACGCCAACCCATACCAGCTAATGAAGGTTGACTTGGTTTAGTTTGGAAAACTAACCTTTGTTTTGGTTTTTTTCAGTTTGTGGCTTCCCTTCTTCTATCGGTTTTTCGTCACTTTTCGGTTCCTCTGACTTTACCTCACTTGCAGGTATGGTTGTGTCGTTAGTATCTTCATAAATATCATATGCCATCTGTTTTTGTTTTCCTTTCAACTTTTTGTGTTGTTGTAAAGTTTAGAATATTTTGACTCTAAGTCAATGAGATGTTCTATAATGACTGTTGGTCAGTGAAGAATACCTTCCCATCTGTTGTCTCGAAAGCTCCTTCAGACTTCAATATTTTATTTGTGAGAGTCTGTTTCTTTTTGAGATACTAGCCGTTCCATTTCTATGAAAAGTGACTTTATAGTTAGGGTTTGTATTTCCAGACCTGGCACTTTCTATTATTGAATTTTTCTCTTCATCTGTAAGTTCTTTGACAGGTTTTGACAATGTTCTGAACTTTTTGTTTGTGGTGTCAAATCTACCGTTTCAACTTCTTCGTCATTTCATCTCAGTAAAAAATTTTAGTTTGGTTTGTTTTCAACTGGTTGTTTAGGTTTTTTAAGTCGGTCTAAAACTTCTTGAGGTATAGGAGAACTTGACAAACACGTGGTTGTGTAACTGCTGGAAGCCGACAAATCCATCTTGAGCC